TCGATAAAGTAACATTTGATGTCTTAATCTTTTGATAAGTTGCATTTTCTTATTAATTTGGCATTTGATAACAATATGCTGTGCGAATTTTTTACAAAACCGATTTCGAGCCTTACTGTAATAATATATGTACGGATTTAAAAAATCACTTTAGTGATTTATAAGCTAGTTGGTTGAATCTTAAATTTATTTTTATTTTTTTTTTTTTTTTGGGTAATGGAACCAAGAGGTTTCTCTAAATTTATGAAGAGCATCTTGTACAAATTTTTTCTGTGTTAAGAATTATATGCTTATCATTTTCATCACTTATTTTCTCAAAATTCACTATATTAATAAATATTGGAACAGTTTATTATTTTGTTAAATTGGCAATTAATTAAATATTTGACTTTCACAATGTTTTTCTTAGTTATGTCTGTTATGTTGAAATTTACATTCGATCTTATTCTAATTTTATTTTATTTTTTTCACTGTCTGCCATTCTAGCATACAAGGGAGGGGAGGTTGTTCTAGAGGTACAAAATTAAACCTAAGCTGAACAGAGGTGAAAAGTTGAGATTTATTCTCAGGGTCCGCCATGAAATATATTTCAATTCGCCGGATTTAAATAGGCCCCACAAGATTTGAATGCAGGCAACACTTTAGCCACCAAAGCATGATTGAAAATTAACCGAGAATGGTATGCCTGGATATGTGCTATACATAGTAAACAAACTGATATTGTATCAACTTACAGTTCTGAGTTTTTTCTCTATTTAATTAGATTTTGGAGTCACTGTGGTGGTAAATGAAAAGCCTATGGAGGAAGTATATCCTCCAATTCTCACCCAGCAGAGTTTACAAACCAAATTGTAGGGCCTTGTAAATCGAACACCTATTCCCCAGCTGCAGGATCCTGCAGTCTAAGCACATCATGAACTGCCTTTGAGTTATTAAGATACAAATTGATGAGAGAAATGGGCCCACTTACATCTAAGAGGGAAATTACCACCTCCTGGAAGGTTCCCAGAACGAGATGTAGAAGAAAACAGAAACTTATTCCAAAAAGAGGACTGAAAATTTTGTACTGTTTTAAAACACAGGACAGGATTAAAAGAAAAAAGGAATATCCAGAGTAACAAGGCGGAAGCAGCCGTTGACGTGACTGACACTACTATTATCTAGGCCAGTTCACCTTGAAGGTGAATAAAGATCCCACCACTGTACATTCTTGTTTTGATTGACCAGTGTTACTGGTGCACCATTTTTCTCCCTGAAGCCATTTATCATTCCATGATAGGGAGCGACATACGTGAATATAAATACAAAACAACAATCTTCGGCGTCCTCTTTGATGGCGCCAAATCATTCTATGGTGATAAAAATTATTTTGGGAGCCACACATACCAGGTTACCAGATAAATACAAAACATCTGTCTTCGTAAGGGGTGCTCAATTATTCTGATAACAAATACAATACAATAAGTTTGATCCATCATACATTTCCAATACCATACAATAAAACGGTGATATAAAATACAAAAATAATAATTTTGAGGTCCACTAGAAGAGTTCCAAACATTTGCGGGGATAAAATAGTCTTCTTTTTGATTCCTTGCAACGGATTGAATTTGTATAGGTGAACTATGGAGGAGAGCAAGATACACGAATTCGCTAGTAAATTTCCGTTTTAGTTTTATTTAATTTGGTGTTTGATACTGACGAAATTATTGGTAATTATGTTACTTTTTTTGCATAAATAAAATTAAAATTTAATAATATTTACTTTAGTGAGTAGTATATAAAATTCATCTATAGCATTGAAGAAGACCAGTTCAAATCCCCCCCCCAAAAAAAAAATCCAGTGATTGCACAATGATAATCAACTTGATGTATGTGCTACATAAAATAGGAACATTGTCAATTTCTGAGTTGTACCAGCAATTTTCTAAAGTAGGGATATATAAATATGCATATGTAAAGTATACCTACTTTTACGAAGATACGAGTCTATATGTTTTGAGGGATCTCCTTAAATAGCCGGTCGGGACCGACTATTATCTGTCAATGTTTATAACCTTATGGTGTGTGTAGCAGAGAGAATAACCGAAGGCTCCCCTCCCTTGTATGCTAGAATGGCAGACAGTGAAAAAAATAAAATAAAATTAGAATAAGATCGAATGTAAATTTCAACATAACAGACATAACTAAGAAAAACATTGTGAAAGTCAAATATTTAATTAATTGCCAATTTAACAAAATAATAAACTGTTCCAATATTTATTAATATAGTGAATTTTGAGAAAATAAGTGATGAAAATGATAAGCATATAATTCTTAACACAGAAAAAAGTTGTACAAGATGCTCTTAATAAATTTAGAGAAACCTCTTGGTTCCATTACCCAAAAAAAAATAAAAATAAAAATAAATTTAAGATTCAACCAACTAGCTTATAAATCACTAAAGTGATTTTTTAAATCCGTACATATATTATTACAGTAAGGCTCGAAATCGGTTTTGTACCAAATATAAGCTCCTGTCATGCTCAAATACCACGAATGGGGTACAGTTGGATTCAGAATTTCACGGGGGGTTAGCGAATCGTATTCTCCACTTTTGTTTTTCTTTCTAAAATAAATAAAGTCGATACAAACTTTTGCTAGGCTTCGATACTGGAACGGTGGTAGGTCTGTATATCGATACGGGACAAATTGGATCTTAAAGATTTTGATTAGAGGAACTATCGGATCCTGCGTTTTTAAGCCGAAAAACGTACTATTTTCGAGATAACGCAAGGCATAGGGTTCGCATCCACACAACCTTACATTAATTGTAGTACTGTCATTGAATACATGTCTCATTTCGTCAACTTGAGGTCACTATGATCGAGAGAGGAGTTTATATTATTCATCGATGGTGTTTTTGATCGGCAAGCCATATCATCGTTAATTTTTCACCAAATCTCAAGATTGAGCCACCAATTTCGAAGGCTTCCTTCTCATTCAGGCTGGCAAAATAGTCCCAATCACCCAGAAAATTCAGGCAAACAAGTTATGAAAGAAAATAAACTTTATTTGTGAATAACTGAAAAATTACACACTTTTTCCTTGGTTATTCCCATGATTATATAAAACATTACTAAATTCCCTACAAAAGGATAAAAAAATCATCGCAATCGGACAATTTTTAGCAAATATACAGCTTACTGAAATTTGTATACATGTTGGTTCCAAACAAAAATGAAGATTTAAATTAACTTTTGTTTGTTTTGTGGATTATATTTATTGGTAAAGTAACATTTGATGTCTTAATCTTTTGATAAGTTGCATTTTCTTATTAATTTGGCATTTGATAACAATATGCTGTGCGAATTTTTCGCACGGGCCTACTAGTAACTAAAAATATTAACCAAATACAAAAGGAAATTTCCCTGGATCAAATTCTAACCTTTCAGAAGAAAAAAATTAAATTTTCATCATATTCATTTTTTTTTTCATTAGTTACATAATAGCAATTCACATATGTATGATCAAGTAGAAAAATGGACTTTTTCCCACTCACTGGGTTTAAGTTGATTAAATAACAGTTTAAAGTTTAAGTTGATTAATAACAGTCCACATAAATGCTTTGCACAAACAAGACTAAATTTAATGGACAGGCTTCAATTAAAAAAAATAATTTAAAAAATTTATGATACACTTATTTACACATTTTTATTTACAATTATACAAATCTGATACAATACTATTATACTCTCCCTTTATAAGATCTCTGTACACTTTAATAAATAATTGACTAGTTTTTGAATTCTTGAATGTAATAATGAATTATACTTATTGCTTTTTATAGGCGATTAGAAACTTTAACTAAAGCTTTACAATGATTTAAATGTGTCATTTATATAAGAACTAATTTAATACAATACAAAAGTAGGAATGTTTGCAATAAAAATAAGCATGGAAGCATCTAACTTAATTCTATTCATTATTTAATGAAATACCTAATAATGCTTTAATAGTATTACAAATAAAATAATAACTTATTATAAATATTATATAAGTCAAATATATTATTTACAGGACAGATGTAAAAACAAACAGAACCTACTTAATCACTGTTCACCTATCTGTAACAGTTTACGTCTTTACTTCGCTCAACAGGGGAGGATGGAATAGGTTTATAGCAGGTCTCATGTTAGAACATACAATACATCCTAGGTCATAACCACATATTACAAATAATCTAAAGTTAAGTATTTCTACATGCTTATAAACTTCCTCCTGAAAACAAGAAATTGGCCAAAATTCCATGTTTAATGTAAACAAATATCATCCAAAAACTGAAAGAAAACAAAATAATAAAATAAAGCTACCTACATTCATGCTTGCTTAGAATAACTATTTTAATCAGAACAGATATGCTGAATAATGTAAATTGAAACATGAACTCAGCCCTGAAACGTATATAATACATTGTTTAATATATTTAGAACCATAGACACATATTAAACTTTACATCTACCCAATGCTCAAATGTACTGTGATTTGAAGTGGAACAATATGTAAAATTAATAACAATGTATTAAAACATAAAAAAGCATTTAAACAATTTCAATATTAAGAAAAATATATGAGATAAACTATAGTACATTCTTAAGTAATGAAACAGAAATTCTAATTAAAATTTCTTTAATCTTAAAATCATAATGCTCTCAGCAATGCAATCACCAATCCCTCATTTTTATTTTTGCAAATGCAATCACCAATCCCTCATTTTTATTTTTGCAGACGTTCCATCATAAAGAGACAGATTAATCAATATATACATATAAAAAAACTAATATAATAAATTAATAAAGAATTTAAACATAACCATTATATTGTGTTTTTAAATAGAAATCTAGCATATTGAACAGAGGAAAATGTAAGAATTATGAAAATAACAAAAAACACAAAAAGAAGAAGATAAACATTTTTTTCATAAATTTCCGAACATGTACTTTATTTAAAATATATAAATTAAAAATATAAAGCACTTTCGATAATTGGTCAAATAAGATAGTAAAATTTCCAACAGGGCCAAAAACAAATCTATAACTTTACATATCATACAATTAAACCCAAGCATTATTGTTCATTCTCAGTAACATCATTCATACAGTTTATATCAACTTTTTAAAGAAAAGATAATTTATAACTTGTATATACTATCAAATAATGAAGTATTTTAATTATGAAAACGTTTAAAGAGTCCAGAATTATAAAATTTAACAATGTCAGTCAGACAATCAGACTGAAACCCAAGAATGGGTAATCACGAGACCACTTGGATGATGAAGTGGAATCATAACAATGGATCTAATACTGTATTTGACACCATAGCATCATGTATGTAAAAAAAACAGTTAGCAGAACCATTATCGCAGGAATCTACTTTTGGTTATTAATCATATTCATGACTACTTTCTCTTTTTGAAAGTAATAAAACTTCATTATCTTCTTCGCCCTGATCATTACTAATTCTTGACAGTTTGCTTAGGCCCTCAGTAACACCACACTGGCTCACACTAAAAAGAAAACAATATTTTGGATAAGTACTTATCAGGACTTACATAAACCATTGATACGAAAATACATAATAAAACCATGAAACACTGTAAAAAACATTTTAAGTAAGTTGGGTTTATTTTTTTATATATATATATTTTTTTTTAATCATAAACTGTAGAGAAAATATTCTTTTCATCTTTTTAATTGACCTCCTCAACCTTTTTGTTACTGTTAATGATCAAACGAGAAGGCTTTTCTTCAGCAAATTCAAGAAAATAGATGAAACAGGATGGTTTAGGAGATAAACTATCTATAAGATCTGTCATGTAAAACACTTAGAACAACATACACATAAAACATAAATGATGAAATATTGTTTTATTTACAATTATTATAATAAAATATTTATTTTTATTGTTTTGTCTATTAACAAACAAAAACCAGTTTGAAAAACTAATTTTAACGCGTTAGCTGCTGAGCATGATATCTCTTAAATGTCTTTCCCGACGATATCAGTCCCAGGCGACTGACACTTGTTATGAAGTTCCTAACGGCATCGGACGCCGGAGACATGCATCAGTTTCGAGGTATACCACAATTTTTTTTACTATAAAAGTGAACTAAATTCTCTATTCTGAGTCTCTATCTGTTGATTGTGTCCTCATTGATGGTCAGCAACCATAGGAGTGGACTCCGATGCCGTTAATATGATTTCAGTAAACAAATTATTTTTAGGGATATAAATCTTAAATATTGAAAATGAAATTGGAAAAACTTTATTATTACATATAATTATAATTTCAAAATATAATCTATACATTATTTATTATTTATTTATTTATACATGTCAAATTAGCAAGGGAAACAGTCTAAGATGAACTCTCAAGAGCTACTGCGTGACAGAAGCCCGAAGAACAGAGACCATGCATAAAGAAGACACTATGCACAGGGTGACACCGTAGGAAAATCATTTTTTATCAGTCTGGTACGGTATCGGTCTTCAGCGTCGGAAAACTTTTTAACAGATATAATGATTATTTACGCTCGTATCTTTAAATCCATCCAACTCCCATTCAAATATTTTTTTAAATTACCATTTTAGAAACTTTGTAAGATAGAGAATATTCAAAACAATCCCGGCCGTTTGGTAGTCGAGATGGATATCGGACCCCGGGGACCAAAACCGCAGCTAACATGTTAATAATCTGTTACTTTAAAATATCTTACAAATATTATTTGCTTACTTCTTTACTTATAAGGACCTTGAATAATTTCTCGCTATTTCCTAAAATATTGCAGTCCAGTACTGTGTGTGTTCATTTTAGATGGCAATGTAATTTTCCAAGAACTACTGTCAGCAAGCTTAGACTTAATTATATGACAGTTTGCCACAGTGTAAACAAAGTTTTTTTTTGTATTTCTAAAACTATTGGGGTTTTGTACCTAGTAAAGAGTATTTATGGATTTTTTTTTTTTTTTTTTTTTGTATTAGACTTGACCAAAATGACTTGTAAAGAGATCAAGTATGTTTACTTCGTATTACTTACACAATATCCATATCTTCATCATCTTCTTCAGTGCTGATTTGGAAATATGGGTTTGCTGATGCAGGTCTAAACTTATATCCAGTAAGAACATAAAATACATAAGTGACCATTTCTCTGAACATTTCATCCAGCCATTCATACTGAAAAGATACCGTCATCTGGAAAATAATAGTAACTCATATAAATAAAAAAAATTAAATAATCACCAGTGTAGACTTTCATTTATATCATTAATTAAACACACTAAATAAAAAGTATAGTTCCTAGGTGAAAATCAACAAAAATGAAAGGATATCTGCTAAATACCTGTAGGAGAAATACAATTATTCTCGTGAAATATATATAACAGACTATCATAATGTAGAAATGTCTAAATAGTTTTAACTTTCTCAGATTCATCGCTGCTTTTCCGTCAATCGTAGATGCTTCTTGAAGATATCTTATTGACCTAGAAGAAAAAATACAAAATGTACGTATGGAAAAACTCCACAAATATTATTTGTGCAAAACATTGGTATTATTATTACCAAACAACAGGAAACAGAATAGCACCACAACATAGAAGATCAACAAGTATGAAAACATCAAGCCATGTCTTATGTTCAACATCACCTTCTTCTGATTCTTCAATTATTATTTTAACAACATTAGCCAACACCTTGAAAGAAGTATACACGTAAAATTAGTAAATAGAATTAAATTTTGTGTTAACTGGGGGTCCAAATAATTTTAATGTAGATTAAAATATCACTAATAAGAATGAAAAAATAACTCTCATATCTTTTAGATTCCACCAATTTCAAAGTTTAATAAATAATTTTTATAAAATATTATTCTGGCCATCTCTTAATTTTTGGTCATTTTAGACACTTTTCACTGATATGAGTTGCACGTTGTAGATACTATTAATACGTTTCCAGTCAAACTAATTGTCAAAACATTGTAGGACAAAACATTTACTTTTAATTACTAAGAAATTTTATTTCAAGAGCACATATTAAGTTAAAAACATTATGGAAAGTAATTTATAATTAATCTATTATAATTGATAAATAGACACTATGCAAAATACATATGAGTTAACGTTATATTTAATTAAATAAATCGCTGCTATAAATGAAAACTATCTCAAACATAACCCATCTATTTAATATAATATAATCATCAAAAAATTTGGACATAAATATATAAATTGTACATTGATTTTAATTAATGTTTCTTAATTAGAATGTTCATTTATACTATAATCAATATCAAATTACAGATCAAAATATTTAGCTTTTTTTCTCAACTTACCTGAAGTGGAATCACAATCATGAAGATTTTTTTGTCTCTTTCTGACAAAAGATGTTTTATAAAAGTCCAGCCAGTACCAATTAAAACTATTGTTATGAACAGAACTGAGCCTTTCAACCTGAAATTATGAGCAATGAGATGACAATTAAACTACTATACAACAAAAATTCAAGCTTTGAAAAGTTGAAAAAACAAAAGGTTGAATTTATGTGAATAAATGATAACAGGTCAATTGATTAAAGCTACATACTACTAATTTCATCCAATAAATTACCAAGAATAAAAGAGCCCAATTTGTGTATGTTTTTTTACAATTAAAGGCACGAAATATATTATATAATAGTAAATTGCTAAAAGAAATAGATCTCCAACTTGCCTAAATATCATGATCATGATATCTTCATACCCTCAGACACGGGCGGAGGGAGGGGGGCTTTCGGGCTGAAGACCCCCAAAATGATAAAATATAACCATGTTTTATGGAAAAATATATTAAAAAATTATCTCTTAAAGTATTATTGTTCATGTAATTACATTTAAAAGGACTTAAGGAATAACTTAAACATCATTTCATATAGATAGTTAGTTTCTTTCTTTTTTTCCAAAGTAATTATCGTCATTTTTATGAAAAAAAATAGCTTTTGGGCTGAAGCCCTTCCCCCCCCCCCAAAATTAAATCCTGGATTTAATTTGGGCACTGGATCAGTGCCCTCAGAAGTAAGTTCATTCCACTATCTTTGTAATACGTGTAAAAATTTTATGTGAAATAGACTTCAGCAGTAAATGAGATAATAAAACCAAAGGGTATTATAAAAATGAGAAGTTACAAACATAGAATACTTTTAAATAAAAGTTTGTTGACATTTAGATAAATTCATTGTTTTATTGACCCTGTTCTTTGAAAATGTCTGCTAGAAATTAGACGAAACAACTTTTTATAAGTTATTATTTAAGAGAATTGATTAATTACCTTAAAAACATTACATATATATATATATATATATATATATATATAATTTTAACAATCTGTCATTGTATTTAATTATTTTTTATGCCGTTATTGTTTAGTACAATGTTTCCCATGCTTTTCTTGAAAAAGAAAAGGAAAACTTCAGAAATAAATTGGTTCAAAAGAGCATCACTGAGTAATATCTTCAATTTAAGAGTGGTCAAGGTTAGCCACCCCAAAATGCACCGAATAGTGATTTTCGTGTCATGTTTCCTCAATCCTGTTTTTCTTTAAGTTCTTTCTTTCTTTTCTTCATATTTTTTTAACTTCAATACTCCCTTTTCTTAAAATGCTTCTTATTAAATAAGTAAAAAATGTTTATTTCTAATGATTTTGAACAAACTTACTAAAGTCCCCGCCTTTAAGCCCTTCTTATTACATGTATAGAAATACATATTCAAGAAAATCGAGAAAACAAGTTAGGACAAAAAAAAATGTTGTTATAACTAAGACAAATTTTTTATAACTCAATTAGGAAACATTTTACAGTAAATTATGTTCAGAATCATTTGAAATTTAATCAGATTCTCTACAAAAAAAAAAAACAACATGAAAACCCAACCAGTATAATTTATGTACTCATCTTTTTAAAATATTTCTCTCTTGTTTCCACAGAAATCCATTCAATTTTTGTAATATTTATACCTAAACTAGGTAAGGAAAAGTTTAGGTGAAAACTAATTGGATAAAAGTTTAGGTATGAATTTTTCAACAAATATTATAGAACTTCCTACTGCTCCAAGGAAAATAACATATTGTAATCAGACCAAATTTTTTGAGTATCTTTGAGTGTTTAAAAAAAAGAATTTTTTACACATCTTCATACAAACTGTTTACTTTTCTTTACTTAATTTGTCGAATAAATCAAAAACTACACCTCTCGCAATATTTAAAATACTTATTTAAAAGATAATTGTTAAGTTACTTAGAAACTTTAAATTTGTTTGAAATGCTTAAAAAGTAAGAAAGTTGTGTGAGTGGACACATAAAATATTTATGATATAGATTTAAAGCATAAGTGTCACTTACAAATGAGTGATATAAAATAGAATTGCCCAGGCAGCAACATGTTCTCCTTTAGTTTCAATGAAGTGATAATTTATAGCATGGAAGAGAAGTGATAAAGACTTCAAGTACACCAAAACAGCCATCAAGTAATGAATTTTAAAAACAGTATGACTGAAATCAAAACATAAATGTAAAATCTTTCTAGAAGAAAATAATGAGTGATGAATCTACTTTAATAACTTACTTGCTTTTCACTAATATAAAAACCCAGAAACATCCGGAAAGAAAAAAGAGAAGAGACATCATAAAATAAAGAGCTGGCAATGGCATTTCTCCAGCTGAAAGATAGTTTTCATTGTTCCTTTCTTCTATTTCTATCTGATAAATGAAACATAAAATATATTTAAATATCAATCTATATATACATCAATATTTTGCTATGAAATTATAGTAAGAAGAAAAGTCAATATCAGCGAGCGGAGACAATCCCAAAACGCTTAACAAGGCAGTTCAATCTGTATTTATTTTTTTCAATGGCTGGAATTGAATTTTTAAAATATATATATATATATATATATATATATATATATATATATATATATATATATATATATATATATATATATATATATATATATATCGTTCAATTTTCTCCAAGGCTAGTATTAATACTAATGACTTAATGTAAAAATCAATGATAACATCAGGGCACAAATGGCAGAGATTAGAACAAATTATGTTTTTAAGGCAGTTTGCTTGGTTTCTGAACCAGATTCTTAAATGAACTCAGTTTGGATCAAGTAACTAAACCGTATAAAAGAACTTTGTTAAGTCAAGGGACCAAATTTATCGAACATGTTGGAAATAATTCTGTCCAACCTTCGAGTATTTTAGCGCTCCACACGTTCAAGAAACATACTATTCTTCAAAATATAACATCATTTTTCTATAGTGTTATTGTCTGGGTGACTTGTGTTTTGTTTAATTTTTTTAATAGTAAAAGTGCACATGGATGGGCTCATGAACAGGTGTTAGATTTTATTGAACTGATAAGGGACAGAACATCTAAGCAGGAAAAATTAAGAGAATGCCAAGAAAGGTAATCTGGGAGCTAGAAGGTAAGTAAACATACTGTTTGTGCTTTTCTAATTAAGTTTTTTTGTTTTACTTTCTTGTATGACAATAGAAAACGGTATAGTTTATAAAAACAAGTAATTAGTCTTTAGTGTTTTGTTTATGGTTCTTGTTATTTGATGCACTGCAACTTTTTCTTGCTACAATTTAGTACAAATATTTTAACTGCCTAACCAGATTGTAGAACTTTTAAGTACTTAATTGGTAGTATGTATCAACTATCATAGCTGTGCTGTGATAATTAAAACTGTACAGTTGATGACATATGAGTTCTTTAAAGATAATGTGCATTAATATTGGAATTATTTAATTCTTCTCATTGCATGCCTGTTTTTGATTTAAAGTTTTATTGAGTTCTAATACACAAGTATCCTTAGTATCTCTATATATTTACATTTTCCTTAGTATTTTTTGTCTATATTTGTATGATATCTACATGCCAGACTAATATACATATTCTCTGAACTCAATTTACAGTAATTTATAGGCTTTTTGTTTTTGATGTAGACTGTTCACACACACACACACACACACACACACACACACACACACAATATTATAATAGCAGATATTTTACTTTTCTTTAGTTAAATGGCAGCAAGTATGACTTTTGCCTTTACATATATATATATATATTTTTTTTTCGTCCTCCCCTTCCTCGTCGTTAAGGCTATACGGGGTTTTTCCGGGCCAGGGAGTGTGGGTGGGGATTTAAAAGACTCCTCCGGCACCGAGATGCGAACTCGTGACTATTTTTATATCATTTGATTGATATATCAAGTTGCCGGGCAACGGCGGTGCTGTGCACACGCGTTAGCCCATTCGGTCACCACGCCCACCATTTTGCCTTTAAAATGTCATCTGAGACAAATCCAAGAAATTCATCCAAGTTGTCTTTATTCATTCTCAAATAATTGATAAATGAAGATTCATCTTGCTCCCATAGCTTATTCTGCACCATATTCAAAACCTCTTGTATTTTTTGACGGCGAATGATTCAGGTATTTGTCTAAACTCTTCTATGTTTATTTGGTTGCCTCCTATTTACTTTTAGTAACAAAAATAAATTTGCAAGAGAACCGAGACTACAGATCTAGAAGCCATCATTAAACTCTTTCCGATCCATTATAGAAAGTAGGTAAAAAAACATATATAAGACTGAACGAACACGAAGCCAAATACAAAAGTAAAGTTGCAAGAGTAGATTACTTTCCAGGCACACCTAGCAGAAAAAATTGTTACCTACAAAATAGACTTTTTATGAAAAACTTAAGGGTTTTAAAGGGTCTATTAATTCTGCGATGATCTCCCCAGTGGTCGAAAACCATATTATGCTATTACTAATCCGAGGACAAAGGTTTGGCCAAAAATCTTGACTGAGTAAAACTGCCTTTATAAGGGAGATTCAGACAGACTATATTGAACCCTAGTTTATGATCTCAGAACTGGTTCTAAAAAATATTTACCTGTTATCATAAATGTTTCTCTGATCTTGTCAAAAGGGAACACTTACAGTACAGAATATAGACAATAATCTTATTAGTAGGTAAATACAAATAAATATAATAAATACAAGAATTATACTCACATTGAAATCAACTTCAACACTTTGACCTTCAACATAGTTGGGACAACTATGAAAATAAAGATTGTAAAGACCTTCTTCCTTTTCAGTGGCCACATATATGATGAACTGTAACATAAATACATACGGTTTTTCATTGTTTAAATTATTGGTCTTAACTCATATTATAAAATATAACAACAGTAAATTATTATTCATAGCTCATCAACAGTGATTAAAAAAGTAGCAATGTTTTAATAAATGATGAAGTATCTTTAAATTTAGTTTTAAAAAAATATAATTTACATTAGTATTATATCCTTGCTTAGTTTCTACAAGCGGTAGATTCTGGGTACAGTGTTCATTACCAGTATTTCTTTTCCTCCTTTGATCTAAAAATCAAAATAGGCAATGGATTGATATTATTTTAAATTACAATAATAATAAAAATAAAACACAAAAACAACAATTACTTGAAGTAGCAACAGAGTTTTGAATATTATTTCGTGTACTAAACAGCAGCTGGTCACTGAGGGAGTCTCTTTTTGGTCGATAGCTAAGAAGTTGAGATCTGTCTTTGAAGATGTACAAATTCATCAATTCTGAACTACAATTTATGTTTAACCTAAAACAATAAATTGAAAATTGTCAATGGGATTAAATGAAGTAAAATTTTTAACAATTAATAAAATGTTCCTCAGAATAACACAAGCAAATTAATAGAGAATAAAATAATAAAAGAGGTAATAGGTAGTCAGGTAATCAATCTATATATATATATATATATATATATATATATATATATATATATATATATATATATATATATATATATATATATATAGACTGATTTTTTATATATATATATATATATATATTGTAATGTCAACATTACATGGTGTATAAATAGTGGCGCGAAAGTGGCAAGAGCATGAATTACGTAGCGGATGGTGGGGGAAGCAAGCCTCATGTAACTCAGACTGCGACGGGCCGCCAAGAGGGAAGGTGCTAGCGGCCAAGAGAGAAGATTATGAGCCGCCCAGAGAAAATGTGACAAGCTGTCAAGAGAGAAGGTACTAGCCAGCAAGTTGAGAAAAAAAAAAAAATTAGGGGGCGGGGTGGCCGAATAGGCTAAAGCGTGTGTAACAGCACCGCTAGTTGCCTGGCAACCGGATAACAGAGATTTGAGATGATATAACGGGAAAATCCCGTATAGCCTAAAAGGCGAGGTAGGGAAGAAAAAAAAAAAAAAAAAGTTGAGAAAATAGAAAGAGCCACAAAGTTTAGACTGGGACAATCAAGGTTTTTGAATGTATAATTTCTTAATGTATGTATCTCGTTTCTTTATATGTATTTAGTAATTAGTAAATTATAGTTATTAAATGTTGAATGAGTGTTCAGTTATCAGAACCCAACCTGAGAATTGATCTTATGTGTTAAAATAAATAATATATTCAAAAAGTAAACTCGTTGTTTGATTTATGCTGACAAAGGGAACGTTACAATATATATATATATATATATATATATATACTGATTACCAGTAGAGAGAGAGAGGGATAGGCAAAGCATTATTAATTATTTTTAAATAAATAAAATAAAATCCATTTAAATATACTTACAATTTATTTTTTCTGTCAATAACAAAAAATACTGCTCCAACATTATTACTTGGCATAGAGCTATCACCCTGATGATCTAATAAACAATGATCCAAACGGCCACCAATATAAGGATTCATGGCATCATTCAATGTTTTATCAAGACTAAAACCAAACTAAACCAAAACTTGTTAGAAAATATATTATTGATTTAAATATAAAGGAATTGCAACAAAAAGTAAAAACTAATATTATGACTTATAAATCATGACCTAAACAGAAAATAAATTGTGTTGCCTCTCAATAAAATCCGTGAACTAAAGGAGCTCACTTTTTAATACATTGATACTATTAAATTAATGATTACATTAGTCAAATGAAAAATCATTTGAGACCATTTTATCTACAACCAGAACCAATTTACCTCTAAATCATATTAAAATCACCTATTCCTTTGACTATGACATTTTTTTGTATCAAACCTAACCATGATAAAAGACTCATCTCTGAATCCATATTCATTCAGACGATAACTCTATTACCCTCAAAGTTGATAAGGAGATCCTATGAGCGAAGATGAGGTTGAATTTACAAATTCTTGATTTTAATATTCCTAGTAATTTTAAGTTTTTTATAGACCAGTATTGATTGAGATTTTAATTTCCGCAGGACATTTTGTGAAAGAACTTAAAAACATAAACCAACTGAACCAAGTCTCACACTGATTAGCACTTATGAAGTGAGAAAGCATTGAGTGATCTAGTTATATGATATTGCCCTCCTCTCTCTGTGATGAATCTTGACTGGCGAAACTCCTCTAACTGGAACTACTAGCTTTCTCATAACATGTCATCAGTAAAGAAATTGTAGAATGAACGATGTAAGCAGTTTATTTCTATTCCTCTTTGGATAAAAGTATCATTCATGGAACTAACAGTTCATTCAGAATGGAGGTGTAGTAATAAATGTAATCAACAGTTCCAAAAATCCTGCGTCTTAAATGAAACTGTAGCAGTAAGTAATTATTTTTGATAGCTTCTATATCGAATTAATACTATTAATATTTTATTTGATGGTATAAATCACTAGCATCCTTTTCAGATACACTCAACCAATCTTCAGATTCCCTTTAAGATGAAATACTCCTGGAAGTATAGTTACATTTGTACAGTAGTGTCAAAGGATGATTTCACATTGGATGTTTCAGAAAAGTGACATAGGGTAATCTCATCCAAAGCTTTACTTTAAAAAACTAACATCCCAGAGTGTATTGAAATATCCAATGTCTCAATTAAGGTACATAAACTGACACTCAATAGATAAATGAAGCACTGGAAACTGAATGAAGGTATATATCATTCTTAGAACGACAAACAGAAGAATTTTACAGCCAGGCAGTAACATTACTCAAAAACAAGAATCACTTATGTTTCCAGCTTTCAGAAACAACATTTGGATGTATGAGGAACTAAGTATTGCTTTGATAGAGAATTCATTCTCAAAAATCTTTTTTTTTCTCTATACCTCCATCTTGCCATTTCTGACATACAGGACGTTCTGGAGGTACAACCAATTAATCTAACCAGAGTGAGGAGGGTTGATATTCATGCCATGGATCCATCATAAAACACATTTCCATCCGTCCAAGCCAGATTCGAACTAGCATCATTAACTTGTGAATGTTAAAGTTTAAACTTAAACACACTCAATCATCATCCTCAAACCAGTCACTTGATAAGTTTAAGCTTAGATCATTATGAAAATTATTTTGACTCCGGAATTATGTTACCTAAAAAGTGTTAAATTCCCTCTATAATGGCATTCTCTTCATATCATAACAAAAATAACCGCTTCATTAAATAAAGAAGGTGTATAACTTTTGGAATGAACCACAGCTCACATACCTTATCATTATCAGCATTTCTGTCAGTATGGAAATTCAGCAATTTAACTTCTAAAAATCCACCTTTATAAAAACCAAATGTACTCAAAGCTATGTATTGTCTTTTATCATTCTGAAAAAGTTTAATTCATTAAATAATAGAAATGTTTAGAAAAAAAATCATAAATTGAAAGAACATTAACACCAACTTTTATTGACAATTTATGAATTCTCCCGTAAGATAAATGCAGCAAACAGGAAATCAATAAAAAACTGAAAACTTTTAATTTCATTTTTTAGAAGAATCAAATCAATATAAGCCCAGATAACAGCAAGATATTTAACACAATATATAATTTACTAAAATGTAAACAAAGGACATCTTGCAATCCCGATATGTACTATCGGTTCAAAAGCACACTTATTTCAGATATAATATTTTTATTTTTTTTATTCTTTATTATTGTTAATCTGATGTTGACCAAATTTTAAAATCAAAATATATTTTTAAAATAAATTAAGAGTGAAGCTAAATAATGCTTTATATAATTTAAAAATTGATATGGGGGAGGAGATTTTGACAACAACATGGATAAGATTTTGATTAAGATTGGAATTTGATGTGGGTTTTCTAATTAAATATACACCCAGTAAACATTTAAATTTTATTTTATATATTTTTAATTTAATAATTTATATGATTTCATCGTAATCATGCATTAACTAATGCACCAAAAAATTGAACTAATCCAAAATATATTTAATTTTACGAACTATATTATTTTAGAATTTAATTCCCTAATTAAGAAATGAATAAAACAATTAAACAACCTTTACCATAAATCTTAGGAATTAATATTTTATTAGAAACTTATATACAAACATTTTACCTCCAGGATCTTGTGTTGGCTGATGCCTTGTGTTGTGTACAGGTTAAGTAGAGTAGTAGCGATTAGTGAAGTCATTGAATTTATATAAATATTTTTATTCAAGGAACTGAAATAATAATTAATGGCAGCTTCAGGGGGAAATTGGTGTCTAATTGAAAGTGACCCAGGAGTATTTACAGAACTCATTAAGGAATTCGGTATATATTGTACCAACAATTTTTATCCATTTTATTTTTGTTAAACCAATACTTTGCTCAGGTTAAATTTTGATTACAGGCTGTAAAGGGGTTGAAGTAGAAGAACTTTGGAGTTTAGAACCTGAACAGTTTAAAACACTTAAGTAAGGAGTATTGTATGAAATGTAATTATGTTTAGATTTGCTAATCAAGATCTGTGTTTGGTATAGTTCAAAAGCAACTAGGATAATACTTCACAATTTCGCGCAAGTTCCTATTCTGATTCCTAAGTTCAAAAATGGCATTAGGTTGCTTCTTAATTAGGATAACTAAGCCACTGATCTCAGTTAATTTGTTTTTACTGGAGCTAATACTAAATATTTAAAACTGTGTCAATACTTTTTTGACCCTCAAAATTTACTCTTTATTTTTACTTTAAACATAGCTTTTGAATTCTGAACATGCATTGCTTCTAAAATATAATATTTAAAGACCACTTTGTTAAATAAATATTATTTCTGAAAAAATATCTTAATCCTATTGAGATTTGCATTAAAATTGGAGTGTGCCAATACTTTTTTGACCCACTGTGTACGATAAGCTGTAGTAATGGCAATGATTTCAGTGATATAGATATAGAAGGGTATGCATTTCAACATTGAGATAAATTCAGGTATTTTATTTGACAATGACTTGAAAAAACGTTATTAGAGAGAAAATTGAGCTAGGTTAAAAGCTAGAAATGGTTTTTATTTTTTGGTTACAGAATTACTTATCTTGCAACTTCTATTTTGAAATTAAAAAATTAAATTCATAAAACTATTATACTTCCTGCAGTTCTGTGTGGATGAAAAATGTGATTGCCTACATTTCAAGCAGACGCGTCTCAGAGTTTTTCAAAGAAAGCATTGTCTAAAATGTTTGGACCGAAGAAGGACAACAGAACTGAAAAACTTATAGAGGGCTACACAATTCCACATTGCTTACTTAAGATGATAGCTATTCTATGCATCAATTAAAATGGGTTGTGTAAAATTGTTGGGCTTAGTGGCAAACGAGTGCCTAAAAGGTATTAAATTAATGCAAATTGGTAAAAGTGCCTGAGGCATAGACCAAAGTGAAAGTAGAAAGAGGATTGTGTAAAGGCTAATTTTGAAGGGTTGGGTTTCGATGGTGGTTGGTGGATGGTAATATGTAAACGGCAATTGATGGTTTCAACAAGAGATTTAAGTGTAATCAATATGAAATCATCAAATATGGCACTCTTTTGCATTTTAATATTAGGCGATAAACAAAATTCGTGGATATCAAACCCGCAAATGTTGAAGGGTAACTGTATTTCCCAATCGGCTTCTCTCAGATATTTTATTCTTATACGAAAAATTATAGACCTTGTAATATAGATATATTTTAGCCAATGAAAACGGTGAGGAAGCTTTACTGACCTTACTTGGCAGACACTTGTTTTATAGTAGTTTCAAAGCTCTGATATGAAATTCCAAGTGCTTATCTCATTGAACGTCATGGGCTTTCCTCAACAGACACTCAGACACGATCCACATTCTGAGGAGTTACCATAGTAGGAGGCCTATGAAACAGCATTACCGTGTTGACGAAAATGTTCAAACCACTTAGAAAGTTATTTGGAGGAATTGCATTGGCCCACAATAACGAAAAATGTGCCGAAATAAACATCTGGAGAATATGTTTCTCCTTCTAAAACATTGATTACTTCTTAAAATATTTGAAGCAGTTCCGTAGAAAATGCACTCATGTGGTAGAAAAGCGATGCTGGTATAAGTGCCTACAGACCTCTACCACACCATTCAGTACTCATAAATGGCTTAGTTATAGTGCTATAATAATGTTTTTTGTACATTATATCGATTGTATTAACGAATAAATATTAATACAATATTTTAACTGTCCAAAAAAATTAAACAATTTTTATTTATTTATTTTTTTTTTAATTTAACTTCCTTTATTCTATACAGAGGTCATTTAAGAAGGCTTCTATTGTAAAAATGATATAATTATAATAATAAAACTCAATTCAAAAATACTTTGCTCTGAATATCTTGAATTTTTTATTTAATGTTTGCAATTTAACACTTAGTTTTGTATATTTACTGATTCTCAGAGATAATTTAAATTGTTTATACTTCCCCAGAAATGAGTCATATTAATATCTGTTTTATAAACTAAAATAAAATATACCTAATCTGAACTACATATAATGAATAGGTAATGGGTTGTTTAGTAAAACTCATATATCACTAATAAAAAAATTAATTTTTATTTCCTTTATTTTGTTCGGAATTTGGACCAAAGAAAGATGGAAAGGGCGAGCTATGAGTTCTACGTAACCAGAACTAATTGTTAAGATTTGGTCTCAAAATGAGGGAAAACGCAAATTTGAACCCAAAAATTGGAAAAATACAATAAGCGAACGAGGCCAAACGAATATATAGTGGACAGATGAACAGAATATTTCAAAATGCTGCTAAAAGCGAGGTCAAATGCTGGAGCAGTTTGGATGATATTAAGGGATATTAATAAGGGGACAATCTAGGTTTATTATGGTGCAGACCATTTTAACAGCAAAAAAGATTTGTTCGAAGCAATTGGTAAGTCAGCAGATCTGGATGAAGTTAACCGAACTGCTGCATTCACAGGCAACAAATTTATTAGAAAATGATATGAAAGAACTGTAGTTTTGTCCCTTTAGAAGAAAGGAGATACTAGAAATACTGTAATACCCATAATACTCATCGAGATTCATTCCTGTTTAGTGTACCAAATAAACTACTCAAGAATCGTAGAAGCTAGAATAAGAAACATTGTCGATTGTCAGAGCGATATAGATTAAGAAACTCAAGTTGTAGAACAGAAGTTGCAAATTGGAACTGTCTTCACTTTAAGGCAAGTTATAGAGAAATCCATCAATAAAGAAAAATAGTTCTCTATCTTTTTAATGCCTCACACTTTGGATTTTACTAATATTTACTAGTCTTTCAGAAAAGCTCGTTTCCTTTTAGATTCCTTCAAAAATCTTTTACAAATGTACTAAACAGAAGGAGAACTATTCTCCCTTTCTCGATTGATAACCTGCTTCAAAGTGAAGATAGTCCCAATGTGCAACTTCAATAGCAATCGAAAATAAAGTGGTTTTCACCATAATAAACGTCGTTTACTTCGTGCTGACTTGCCAATTGCTTCAAACAAATATTTTTTTCTGATAAAATGGTCTTTACCAAAATAAACCTGCATCATCCACTTAATATCATCTAAACTGCTCCAGCATTTGATCCCCTTTTAGCAGCATCTTGAAATATTTGTTTAACCATATAATGGATACTGATCCTTGTTTTCTTTTCCAAGATTTTGGCACTTCCTTTCTCGTTCGCTTAATGTATTTTTTCAATTTTACTTTTTCCATCATTTTGAGACCAAATATTAACAATCAGTTCCGGTTGCCTAGAAGAACTCATAGCTCGCCCTTTCCATCTTTCTATGGTTCAAATTCCGAACAAAATAAAGAAAATTAAAATTAATTTTTTTATTAGTGATACATGAGTTTTACTAAACAACACATCAACTATTCATCATATGTAGTTCAGATTAGGTATATATTATTTTAGTTTATAAAACAGGTACAAGTATTAATACGACGCATTTCCAGGGAAGCATATACAATTTAAATTACCTCAAAGAATCAGTAAATATACAAAACAAAGTGTTAAATTGCAAACATTAAATACAAAATTCAAGATATTCAGCAAAGTATTTCTGAATTGAGCTTTCTTATTATAATTATATCATTTTTATAATAGAGGCCTTCTTAAACGACCTGTGTGTAGAATAAAGGAAGTTATTTTTTTGGACAATTAAATTATTGCATTAATAGTTGTTCATTAATACAATCAGTATAATGTACCAAAAACAATATTATAGCACTATAACTAAGCCATTTATGAGTACTGATTGGTGTGGTAGAGGGCTGTAGGCACTTACGTCAGTACCGCTTGAGTGCATGTTCTACGGAACTGCTTCAAATATTTTAAAAAGTAATCAATGTTTTAGAAAGAGAAACATATTCTGTAGTAGAGTTTTATTTCAGCACGTTTTGCGTTATTATTGGTTGTTTAATTACAAATGATGCTTGATTTTCAACTAGAAAATTTTTATGTTAAAAAAAGGACTTTACTGGTGTTTTTTATTGCCTAAGCCATTTGTTTTTTAATATTTTTTTCATGTTTTATTATTCTCTGACTATCCAGCTTTAATAAAAGACCAACTGTGACGAAATTAAGTCAAAGTCGTCATTCCGCTATGTTTGGACAGCATTTCGAGGCAGTGCGTTCACTTTGTTTGTGTGGGAACATTGGCTTTTTTTAAATAAATAGTCAAAAGGAACACAGCGATATGCAATTTATAGGGATGTGGGGGAGGAGGAAGTGCACGGTAGGAGGGTCTGGCTTATAGACTACTAGACAATAAGTATGGGAACAACCTTTCCCCACCTACCTATCACAGATCATGCTTTTTATACCAAATACCAATCAATATAAAAGTCAATACTATTTCATTTGTGTCACAACTGTACTTATTTATTATATATACACAATTAAGATAATTATGTAATATAACTTTGAGAAAATATATACATTTATTCATTCATTCATAGTGTTACAACTGGATGACCGGTGAGTAGATTAGACTGTAGATAATATTCTGAAAGTAGTCAAATGTGTCCAAAAAGGCAAACCCATCTTTGAAAGATATCATTTGGGTTTTATGTCTCTCTTCAGATAATAAAGGTAACGAGTGCAGCCATGAACATGTACAGTGTGACTGATGCAATCATGACCCACCTGTCAACCAGATGGGGCTGTTTGTAAACTAATACCAAAAGTGATGATTTCTATTAACCATTGATTCAATTGTTTTTGGTTTTTAGTCATCATTTTACTCTTTACTGGATAGTCTCCAGTTCAAAAGTCAGGAAAAACAAAACAAAATAAAATGATTTCAATCTCATATTGTATTTTATTTTAGGCCAATTCATGGATTAATTTTTTTATTCAAATGGAAAGCTAATGATGAACCAGCAGGTTCGATAGTAAGGGACAATAGATTAGAGAAGATATTTTTTGCAAAACAGGTAATATACTCTTTCAATTATAGCTTAGTGTTAGTCCTCAGCATTAATTAATTAAATTAAAACCTAGACCAGTGTGATATATTGCTTATTGTCTTACATTGATAACAGATACTTAATTGAGGAATGATATATTAATTCTTTCATTTTACAATTATTTATGAAGACAATCATCTATTGATTTCCTTCTCTTTTTTTTCATTGTTTTATCTCTTTGTTATTAAAAATAACAATGAATTATTTAATTATCGACATTTACAAGATCTTGCTACCTGCAATTTATGAAATTAGAGAGAATATTTCCTTAATGAAAGGTCTGCTTATCAATTTTATAAATTTTCAAGGATCTGAGTTTGAAACACCCTTCAATGATAGGATAAACACACCTTTTACTTCCAAATCAAACTTCAATTCAATTCAAACTTTCTGTTGAGCTGAGGTAGTTCCAGTTTACTACAAATCTACTTGGAAAAAAAAAAAAAAAAAAAACAGTAACTCTAAAACTGGTTTCTAAATATCTTTACATCATATGGAAATGTCATAAGTTTCTTCTAAATTCACAAATAATTTGGCTCCATTGATAGATTCTCAAACCGCATTGATGAAGGCTGGTCAAATATGATGTTTCTACTCACGACTTTCCTTTACCACTTTGGGATTGAATGCCAAATCTAATCCAATTTAATTTTATATACCAAACTTTCATCTATCTTTCATAACACTCATTGAATTTCAATGATTTTTTCTATTGTAGAGAATTTAATTACTTTTTAAATTATATACACCATTTATATCATACCATAAATTATAATATAAATTATATTATATTATATATTGTATTCTATCCAAGCGATCTCTTCGTTCAGCCCTAATGAAAGCCTGAACTTTTTCGGGTGGAAACGTCAGCAAATGTTAAAATAAATATTATTATTTATTTTTACCATTTTTATTTTGACTGATCATCCCAACTATCCTTCTCTTCATTATTCACTACAGTCAATCACCAACCCACAATTCTTATATATACCATTCAATCTATACTTTTTGTGTTATTCACAAAAAAACTTTCACTTTATCATATCTTCTTGGAGACTCACAGTTTCTTACAGCATTCATCTTTTGAAATATTCATGAGGGTCACGATTTCATCCCATGCATATATAGTTTTAATAGAAGTCATGCTTTTGGTTCCCTAGTACAGGATAATTTTGGCAGTACTCCGAAAGAGTAAGAGAATTATGCTGAAGTTACATTCAATAAAAAAAAAAAATAATCTCTAGACAAACATACGTCAACAGGAAAGTATTGGCTGAAAGGTGAGAGAACAGTTTATTCATATTATTTTGTTTAATCACATTGTAATATGCACCCATGTACCAATGCGTATTTTGATTTCCCATAAACTTTTGACTCGTCTTGTTCACATCAGAGACATGCGGAGCATTGCTAATGCTCATTCTAGGTGAATGCTCATGTGCAGAAGCATTAAGCACAAGGTAGGGTCTCCTGATTTAATGGGATAAAAGATCTCATTCATTCCTTTTTTTCCCATTGATCAAACATCTCTGATTTTCTTTTTTTTTTTCAAATTCTGAAAAAATATTTAAGTAGGAAAATATAGAAATTGATACAATAAAAGTGAGCCTAATTTGTAATATTAAAAAAATAATAATTGAAAGTCGTGGAAGATGTAAAAGTTATGTATATTTCTTTAATTTAAGTCATTTTTTAAACATGCTTTACTTTGCTATGTATTAAATAATAACCCATTTAAAGCAACTTTCCTTTTAGTTTAAGTATTTTCTATTGTCTTTATCTAGGTATTATCATTAATTAAAAAAAAAAAAATTATATTATGCATCAATTTATCTGGCATGGTGCTTACTAGAAGGTCTGACACCTCAGTTATTTTTGCTTTTGAATTGATTCCAGCAATAATTTCATAATCATTTTTAGTTCATGGTAGTTTCTTTTCTGTAATTTTGTAAAAAAAATTTAAATGTTGTCTTTGAGAATTTTCAAACATCTTACTTAGCTAATATTATTCAAAACTGACATTGGTCCTTCTAGCAACCAAGCCGCAACAATATTGCATTTATCAAAACTTTTTTTAATTTGTTGACATTTGTTTGTAGGTTATAAATAATGCTTGTGCAACTCAAGCCATTCTTAGTATTCTCCTGAATTGTAAACATCCTGACTTAGAATTAGGTTCTACACTAACAGATTTCAAGGAATTCTGCCTGACCTTTGATGCCAATATGAAAGGTTTAGCATTGAGCAATGCTCATGTAATTAGGAGCGTGCATAATTCATTCGCTAGGTAAAAATATTTATAAAATTTATTTATTTATTTTTTAGTTTAAAACACATTCGTATAAAATATTTTATTCAGTCAATACCAGTTGAGAGTCTTCAACACATAGATTAATTTTTCAATTATTACATATGTCAGTCCAGAGGCAAAACAAGGCATGCGAAAAAAATATGGAACTCTGTAGGTCATTTATTTAACAAACACAGTTAATATGATTTCTTTGATTTTCAAAAGCATATATGAAATCACACTCAGTTTCTTTTCTAAAAATTATGAATTTCCATATATGTGCTTTTGTTTATGGACCAGCTATAGAAATAAATATATCATTTCTATATCCATTTGGTTTCTTCAAGTCTACTTACGAGACTATTAATGAAAATAGAAGCATTTTTTTTACAATGTATATTAATGTTATTGGTATCAATAATTTTACTTTTTTATTTGTATATATTTCATAATACTAAATAGATATTTTTTGTTACACTGTTTCTGTTTGCTTTAGAGACCTTATATATCTTCTCCACCTCTGCCTATCTGGTGTTCATTTTTTTCTTGATTTTCTATCCTTCCTCATCTTTTCCACTTAACGGGTTTTTTCTCTGGACCAGAGTAGAGAACAGGGAATTAATACCAAGTTAAAAGCTCCCCCACCCCCTGGCACCGGGATTCGAACTTGTAATCTTTGGTTTATCAAGTTGCTGGCAACGTGTGTCTTACACACAATTAGCCTGCTTGTCCATCCCACGAAGGACAATTGCTTTTCGATTTTCTGTATTCAGTATCATTATTGAATCATTAGACACAGGTCTGTTTCTGACCATTGGTCTGGTTTGGCTATCTTCCAAAGACAGCTCAGCTCTATCATATCCTCATATTATATCATATCTCTACATATCCTTCAATTTATTATTTATTCTGATCTGCACCCCTCTATATTCATGTGACGTTCTTATTACCTAATACAGTGCTACTTTGAACTGCATTGGTGAGATTCCACCTCTCTGACGTAAACTACTTTGAACTTTGAAGGCTTCTTTTATTTCTTCATGTATTAGTATTCAATATTTATGGTAATTCGTACTTACCTTCATCAATCTCACAAATTTTTTAAAACTTGTAATTATTTTATTGTTTTTAGACATTATTTTAGTAAATTCTTAGTTTAATTAAAATATTATGTTCTTACAGGCAAACACTTTTTGAATTTGACAACAAAAACGCTCCAAAGGATGAAGATATTTACCACTTTGTAGGATACATACCCATCGAAGGACGATTGTATGAATTGGATGGATTAAAGGAAGGGCCAATTGACCTTGGCCAGATCCCTCCAGATTCAGACTGGATTGATTTTGTTAGACCCATTATTCAGAAAAGAATCAATAAGTAAGTTACTACAAATCCTTTATCATATCATTAAAAATTTATCTTGACTCAAATCAAATTTACAATTCCCAACTTTTGCTTAACTAAAAAAAAAATACAGTTGAAAACTAAAAAAATGTATATAGTTATTCAGCTTTGTCAAACATCATTGTAAATTAAAATTTTGGATTGTTTATTCAATTAATATGACCAAGAAAAATTTTTATACTAGGTGGAATTCTACCCTTTTAAAATGTCATGATATTTGTAATAGAACTTCTATATTTATTCCTCTTGAATTTAGGAAATTTTAGCGAGTGAAGTTTCAAATTAAAACAACTCATTTTGTTTGGAATAAGATTTGTGAACAGTGAAGATATAAAATTATTTTTATTCTGTGACAAAAATCCCCTAAGAATAATAATAATTTTTAGACTTTTATGTACATTTGTATGAGAGTTTTCAAAAGTACTCTTGTCAATTATTTAGCAATGAAGGGGCAAGAGTTTAAAAAAAAAAAAATGAAAAGAGATTTGATGAATAGAGATGGATAAAGAATTCCATAAAGAGATTGCAGCGATGACAAAAAGTTAGTTGATTCAAGCAGCTCTTTAAGAGAATATATATAAATCAATAGGTAAGTATCTTCCTCAGCTTTAGTTTAATGATTGAGGAGGCCCTAATAGAAGTTAAATAGCCTCATCTTTTTATAGAGATTAGATGAACAATCTTATTTTAATAAATGATTATTGATTTGTGTCCACCACAGCAAGTTCAAGACTTTTGAAAGCATTCAACTGTTAAGTTGTCAGAATAAAAATAGAGATCAGTTATGGTATTAAAGTAATGAAATACATCATTAATGGCATACAGTCCATTCATAAGATTTTCTAATCATTCCATTATTAGACTTTATCTCCTTTCTAACCTCCTCAACCAGTAGGATGAGACAATTTCAATTCATTTATCTGTTGAAAGAACTGTCTAGTTAAGAGGAAAACTAGAGCTGGGGTAATTATGTGGTAGATATAGTGGGAGTAGCTACAATGCTTTCATTTTACACATCTGTGCTAGTGTTAAGTTCATTGGAGTTGAGTAACTTGATTCATGGAAAACATTGGTAAAGGCGCAATTCCACTGAGGTAACATGTAGCATGCGGCATACATCATGTTACAAGTTGATCGTTGTTGCCTATCGAATGCGTCATCTCTCCACATGATTCAACATGTCAAACAGTGTTGTCGTCTATCTAACAAGCAATGGATCGTTAGGGGGCAACATGGAGTGGACAAACGAAAAAACTTTGTCTTTTATTGACAATTAACATAATTCTCCCAAATTATGAAATAATGAACCTGCCGAATACAAAGATATAAGATTAAACAACAATAAGTTGAAACAATTATCTGATAAATATAATTGTTATATGGTGATGCAGCTAAAAATAATTGGTTTATTTATTTAAATAGGAAAATATAATTGTACGGTGATGAAGGTAAGAAAAAAAATCAAGAATTTGCATTTGTCAGCATTTCATCGCAAAAGCAAGAAAAGAGTGGCTCATCTCCTCGCAAAAAAGGAAAATGTTTTTTTATGATCTACTGAATTTTTCCTCAGGCCTCAATGTACCCAAATGAATATTGTCAACTGCTGGCAGGGATGACACGAAATATACTTTCTAGCAACCCAAATAGTCGTAGAGCCCATGAGAAAAAATTGACATTATTTGATGAAAACTTTAAAAGAATCTTTTTTTATATTTATAACATCTTTATTAAAAAAAAAAATTAGAATTTGACAGTCGGATCTTGTTCCTTTAAAAATGGTGACTGATATTGAATTATTAATAATTAATGAATATTGGGTCAGTAACTTGAGTATCGAAATGGGGCAACAAATTCTGCATGCAACATTAATTGAATTTTGTGCCGCATAGTTGGACGCCTATAATAGGCAACACTAGAAAAGAAGTATCAAGCAACAAAGCAACATGTCGTTCTGTGTTGCCTCAGTGGAATTGCTCCTCCTTAAGAGCACTGGCATCTAATTTTTCATAAATCGATTACATAACTTCCGGTTATGTAATTATTTTTGACAAAAAAGTTGCTATAACATCCCAAGTTTATATCTATCTTAAATATGTATTATCAGTTTTGTATGACTTTTCATATTTGAGCTAGGTTGTTCATACACACACAAACCATTTTGCAGGATTTGGTTATTTGGACTCAGAGGATCTCAAAACATGTATTTTGACATGTATTTTGATATTAGTGTCCTTTAGATATATTAAATATTTCAAGTAATTAAGAATGATTAAGGGGATAGTCGAAATAAAATGAATAATATTCATTTATAGAATAGGAGGCAATATAAATAAAGTGAAATAAGTAATAGATGATGTTCTAATAGGGGCAGGGTGGCCAAGTGGGCTAACGCTTGTTCTAAACACGCTTTGTCCGTCAATCTGATTAACTATGATTATGAGTTTGTGTCCCGATGTCGGGAGGAGAAAGGGAGGCTTTTAACTCTGCCATATTTTCCCTGCCCTCTCCTGTGGCCCAGGAAAACCCCTATAAAGCCTAAAAGACGAGGAAGGGTTGGACAGAAAAACATATACATATTTTGTAATTTTTGATTTATTTAGGACCATTAATTGCAACATGAAATTGATATATATCCTTGGTACTTGTTTAATAGCGGGTAGCGTCTGGCTGCTATCTGCCAATGTTTATAACCTTAACTCTGATAAGCCACTGCTGATCTTTGTATTCACATTTATTGTATTGATATTGTGAACAAAAACAAAAACAAATGTAATAATAAAAAAATACTTTTATTTTACAAGATATGTATTGAATAGACCAAAACATTATACATATATAATTAAAAAACATACGAAAACATTGCAACATATATATAAAAATAAATGAAATAATAAAAATAGACACAAATAAATGAAATAATACAAAACCACTTAAATAGAATATGTACATATAAAAGAAACGATATAAACAAAATATGAACAATTTTATTTTAACTTAATTTCCGTCTTGAAAATATTTGATCACCTCTTCTTCTGAAGACGGCAATTCCCACAATGCAACAACATCCATAATTAAATAAGACTAATTCACGGCTCACACAAGGAACAAATGATAAACAAGAGAATAACTTAGGTTAGAGGTGATAAGGGAGGTTTTGATGCTACCCGCTATTAAACAAGTACCATATCTTTTACTGGTCTTCTTTTTTTTTTCAGGTATAATGAAGGAGAGATTCATTTCAACCTAATGGCTGTAATATCTGATCAGAAAATTAAATATGAAAAAGAACTGAAGCAGCTACAGAAACAAGTGGAGGTTATTTTATTTTATTTTAACCTATTATCTGTTAGTAATTTATTGTCCTTCATTATCTTTTAACTATTCCCCAATTATCCCCATAGAACAAATCCATTATCTAGGGTTCCGCGTGGACAAGTGTGACTGACTCACATGTTCGTCAGGTGACCTACAAAACTGAAATGACGAGAAACCACTCGACGTTTCCGTACTCTAGCACTTACTAGACAAACGCTCTAAGCTTTCAATCAATTACAAAAGACTATATATATATATATATATATATATATATATATATATATATATATATATATATATATATATATATATTGATATTAGTGCCCTTTAGGAATATTAAATATTTCAAGTAATTAAGAATGATTATAAGGGGATAGTCGAAATAAAATTAATAATATTCGTATATAGAATAGGAGACAATATAAATAAAGTGAAATAAGTAATAGATAATGTTCTAATAGGCGCAGGGTGGCCGAGTGGGCTAACTGTTCTCTCTCTCTCTCTCTCTCTATATATATATATATATATATATATATAATATATATATATATATATATATATATATATATATATATATATATATATATATATATATATATATGACAATATTAAGACCTATTTGGACTTACTGAATTAAGCTTTGGAGCTCCACTAAACCATCGAATTCCTCTTGTATCCAATCCAAAATCCTTCGTAAAATCCTCAACGGTCCTACTGATTTACAAGAGTCCTCGTTTTCCAAAAAGCCGTTAAAAAAACATCAATTTGTGTCTTCTCGAAAGAATTCCATTTTAGTTATCTTTTTATAGTATTTACTCCCAAATGATTTATTTTATTCATTTTGCATACATATATACTTATATTGATTACAGGAAAATGGTATGGAAACAGACTCAATTCAGTCAGAAATTGCTCGAATCAAGCTTCTAATTGAAGAAGAAGAGAATAAAGTAAAGCATTATAAACTAGAAAATATTAGGAGAAAACACAATTACTTACCATTAATTGTGGAAATTTTAAAAATTTTGGCAAAAGAAGGTCAGCTGCTTCCTCTTTATGAAAAAGCTAAAGCCAAAGCTCTAGAAAAAGAATCCAAAAAAGTTAAGACGTAATTTATAAACTTGAATAGATTGTACATTTTTTTTTTTTTTTTTTATTGAATATAAATATTTTTACAAGCTATATATATTTTTCCCCAATGAAACTCCGCATACAATATAACCCAGAAGAATTCATTATAAAAAGAAAGACACAGACACCTAAAGGTACTATTTCACGGGCGTTGCCCACGACAGTGACTGCTGTTGCCAACTATTTCCTTGAAACTGCTCCCTGGAGTTGTTATAACCTTAGAATATTTCGTTCTATCTTCGAAGATAAAAAAATGGACTTACTATCTCTTTTTACCGCTTTTTTATTTGATATTTTTATTCTTTTATTTATTTAATATTGTTTGGATTTAGGTATATTTGAATTTCGCTGTAAAATGCTGTTGGTGGAATAAATAAATAAATAATCTTGTTACTTCAACCTTTAAAAAATAATTTACTATTGCATTGTTTAAGTTTTAAGCAATATTTCTTATAATTGTGCCAGAATTGAAAGAAACATAGGAAACAAAACTTATCAACGTGACTGTTATCATCAAAACAATGTTCTGATATGATAACATAACCTATAACCGCCAACAGCTCCACTGCTTCAGGAGTGGTCAGATAGGAGCAGCATAGATATGATGCCATACCTGGACTGCCGAGCAGCGCCAACGAAATAGGTTCCTTTCTATTCCACTGAATCAGTGGTCTACCGCAAGCGGTCGCTGCCGTCGACAGTGCCAGTGAAACACTACCTTAAGTTTTTATTTTTTCGCCACTACGTATCAGTTTTTAAACATTAAAGAAATTTAATGGTTTTTTAAGGATTAAAGAATTTTTTAAAATTAAAATGATACAATGAACAATTAATATTTTGTTACTATAAAAGTCTGAAATGTAGTTATATTTTACTCTTGATTTACTAGTTATTTTTAGGATTTCCTAAAGATAATGATGAAAGATCAAAAAGCTTATCAGAATCAACCTTTTATCAGGTTAATTAGCCTGAAGAATATGGAAGTCCAAAAAAACTTGCAGAAATCATAAAAACTGGACTTGTACCAAACAGTATTAGTTAGTTAATCTGCTAACTTCCCGTCATAAGATGGTTAGTTTAGGACACCAGTTGTCTATAGCTTTATCACGACTAGCATATCCCGAGGTTAACTCGTGTGAAATTAACATTTAGTTTCAACATGAGTTTCACCTTCAAGATTTCAATTAATCGTGATTATGCTATAGATCATTGGAATTTAAGGAATAAGTGATATGTTCCCCCCTGATGCTTCTCATCAGTTTGTCTTTGACTTTCGATGTGAACAGATTTTATTTTGTAGACATCAACTTAATTTTCTCTCTAATCATGAGGGAAGAAATATGTGGTCTGATTTTTGAGCTGTGAAGTGTAATTAAAGAAAAGAGCTTTTTTTTCCCCCGTTGTGGGCATAATGCAAAGAAAAAAAAGCTAAAACAATATGTAAACAGAATGTCCACTATACATTATCATAGAGATACATCATCAAACTTGGAAGTGAGTAAATGTTGAAAGTAATAATCTAATTTGAAAAATATGAGCTTCTAATTATTATTTTTATTTTTTTGCAAAAGTAAAAAAATAAAATAAATAAGATCTGATGTAATTTTAATTTATACGTTACTGGTACCCATGTTGTACCAGAACTAAACAAAATTTGTTATTTGATTGAAAATCTTTTTTTCTAAAGCAGAAAATAAGAATAATACTTCAAAAGTTGTTCATTCCGACATATGGGGAACTACTTTACTTTTGTGATCATATACTACAATATGTCCGTAATAAAGAGAAATATTCAATACACAAATGAAACAAAACAGAAATGATGTATTTATGTTAAACTGACCTTAGAAGTTTAATTTCATAGGCCAAAAATAAAAATTCACACTGCTAGTTCTTTTAGAATTAGAGGCTCTTGTGGGGATAGTTTATGCTAAATGAAGAAACAAAATCTTTTCCCTTTACACAACTTGAGAGAGGTGCTTTGTTTACTTTTTAATCACTTTACTGATTTTTTTTTATCATTTTGATTACGTTTTACATTGTATCAATAACGTAGGTAACGAATTGTAAGTTAATAGCTATCTAAATAGCTAAGAAATTATTATAATTATATTTTGATTTATTATTTTAAATAATCAATCTTTGTAATCGACAAAGATAATTATAAAACTAACCCCCTTCAAAATTTGACCTTTTCAAGATAAGGAGAATCCAAAAATGGAATAAAAGAATCCTTCCGTCCGCAGCTTTTCTGCGAGACTATTGGACTGATTTTTTTGAGATTCGGTATCAACGTCGGAAGGCACCAGAGGATGATCCTAGGAACTAGGCAGTACCATCTGTCCTTTCCTTTCAAGATGGCAGCCAAAAAACCTGTGTCACTATAGACTAGCACCTAAATGAATACCGATTTTGATGTAACTTGGCTAAAGTCTTCTCATTTAAAGTCCTTTAAATTTATCTATATAACACACTTCACCGAAAAAAAGCTGGAAAAAAGTTACAAGGGGTGGTAAAATTAGATTTTCCGATAACTTAAAAAGTAAACACTTGTTGTCTATGGTCATATAAAAATTTCTAAAAGAACAAAAAAAGAATTGTTGAAATCGTACGATTTGGTGCCAAGATATGTTGTTCTAAATATTTTCTACATGTTCTGCTACAAAATTGATATTATTTTTCTTTATTAGTGGAAAATCTTACATCATCTAAGCAATTGAGAATGTCTCTATTTCTTAACAAAATTGTAATGATACATTTGTACATTAGGAATCACTTTTTAATTATTTTCCTGTATGTTATAAGGAAAGTAGTGTTACTTATTATATAAAACTGTTTGGAATTAATAAACTATTGTGTAATAATTTGCAGCATTTTTTTGCTACCTATTTCAGGAAGCTATGTGTGAAAAAATCTTTTATTTGAAGATTACACTGGGTTTTAGGCTGTCTGCCTATTTTGAGGTTGCCATTTCCCTAATAACAATCCAATGTAATTTCATATAAACATTTGTTCATGTAAAACACTACTTTAATCATTTATTTCTCTTATGTGGCGCTACGTCCCGCGTGGAGACAAGGCCTCTCGCAGCTTTGACCCCTCAGTTATCCCTGTGTTGTACAGCCTCCTTTCAGTTTTGGACCGCAAGCATCTGCATTTGTAGCACGTCATCCATCCACTGCAACCTTGGTCTTTTATACACAGAATTTTAGCTGAGCCTGTTCTTGATTCCTGGAGATAGTCCAGCATTACGCAGCATAAATAAGTACCAGCCTTATCAATGTCATATACATGCGATTCTTAGTGGCTCGGGATATTACTCTGCTCTTGAAATGCCCAGCGATTCCATGATAACACCTGTTTGCAGAGATAATCTGATGCTGAATCTTCTGTGCAACATCGTTTTGGGACTGTGAGCCTAGATAAATGAATTCCTCCCAATATGTTGGTATGATTCTCCTCCACAGGGCTGTAGTTATATATTTTGTTTTTGCCCTCATTAATAATAAGTCCCATTCTTTCAGCTGCCCTTTGGAGCTCCAAAAATATATCCTTCATAGCTTCAAAAGTTCTTCCCATTATGTCAATACCATCCGCAAACGCAAGGATCATTGCAGTCCTATTGAAAATTGAACCCCCAACCTGGATTCCATATCTCCTCACTGCACATTCCAGGGCAAAGTTAAAAAGTAGGCATGTAAGTAATATCACGGACTGAATACGGACCATATATTTTACCCTCATAATAGTTATGCATATAAAGCGAACAAGTTTCACGGGAATCCCCAATTCCAACAGTCCGATGTAGAGTGCTCTCTAATTACACTATCATATGCAGCCCGAAAATTAATGAAGAGGTGATGCATGCGTATTTATCTTTTACTCCCTGCATTTTTCTAATGCTACTCTCAGGATAAAGATTTGATCTATTAAGGATTTCCCTTTCATAAAGCCTATCTGATATCTGCCAATGACTTCTTGGGCAAAAGGTAGGAGTCTCTCGAATAGTATACGAGAAAGGATCTTATATGCACTAGAGAGGAGTGAGATTCCAGGATAATTTGTGCATTATAGTACATCTCCCTTTTTATATACTGGACATATTAAAGTATCACTCCATTCATTGGGATTTTTTTCCTGTAGCCAGAAATCCATGAGGAGGGTGTGCATACATTTTACTGTTTCTTCGCCATTGTATTTGAATGGTTCCCCAGGCAATCCATCTCTCCCTGGTGATCTACTATTTCTAAGCAATCTGGATAACATTTCAGACTTTGTCCTTGTCTGGAGGCTCAATGTCGTCCACAGGTAACTGGATATCTATGTCTTGTTCCATACTATTCCCATCTAGCAAGGAACAAAAATAGTCCTTCCATCTAAAAACAATTTCTGGAATGTCTGATATTACGTTACTGTTCAGGCCTCTACAAGCACTTATCCGTGGATGAAAAGGTTTTCCATGCCACAACCTTTTTTTCTTATATGAAGGTTCTTTTCGGACCTCTTAGTCCTGTACTGCTCTACTGAATGGTGGGTACGTCTGAAGCATGAGGTGGTATGCTGCATTTTTTGAAGCTGCTGTTTGACATTCTTGGTCAAACCAAGGTTTATCTCTTCTCCTTTCTTAGAGTCCAAATATTTCCTTATGTCCTCAGTCTGATAATTGTGTCGCATTCTTTTGTCCTTATGATTGGCAAACTTATCCCTAATTTCAGGATCTGTAAGTTTTTGAATTGCATACTTTACTGGTGGTCTATTTCATTGCCTACGGGCTATGGAAATTCTGGTCCTTATTCTTGATATCAAAAGGTGATGTCTGAGCCAATATTAGCCTCTTTTTGGACCTTAGCATTCATCAAGCTAGAAATAAATCTTGCACTCATCAGAATTTGGTCTATTTGATTGGTAGTAAAACCATCATTTGAGCTCTAAGTAGCCATATGTATGTATCCTCTTATGAGGGAACAGAGTGCTACCTACTACCAGCCCTCGAGAAGCAGTAAAATTAATCATTCTCAGGCCATTGCCATTCGTCACATCGTGCTTACTGATAGTTTGGCTTAATGTTGATTCTTTAATCATTTAGTAATATAATATGCAACATTATTTAAAGTATACTATTTAATATTTATAGTAGATTAACAAAATTGTTTTGAAAAAACAAATTCAACTTGAAAAATATTTAGTCTTTCAATAATCAAGTCTCACTAGAAGTTGTTTTTAATTTATAGTTAGCTATAACTAAAAAAGGGAAAATTACATTGGGATATAAAAACATTTATTTACCAATATGTTTAAACTGTGGATATTATTATTTTACAAAATATACATATTAATCTTATTTAATAACACTGGTGGGAAAAATCAAAGCTTTAATCACCCTTTTCATCTCGTTTAACCAAAATCTTATTTAACATTTTTTTTTTGGGTCCATTTTCAAAATAAGGCAGGACATGTTGATGTAAATATTCAGCACACTCTAGAGGGGAAAAAATTATGAATTAGTAATGATATAATTATTAAGAAGTATTAAAATAATAATAATAATAATCTTTATCGATATGATTAAAATAAAAAAACAGTTATATCACAACTTAATGAAGACCATTTTAGTGCACATTAAACCTTTTATTAATGAAATAAGAATCAACTTAGCAGAAATTATTGCACGTGATTAGAAGAATGTATAGTGAATCAATTTTTTCAAAATTTTATTCAAGAAAGTATATTTGACAAGATTTAAATGTGTTATCCAAGCCTAAACTCTGCTCACTTAAGTCTCCTTCAAGTTGCTAACTTATAGTTATTATATGATAAATTACTAAGAGAGAAAGAGTTCACAAAGTATAGCATAATCTTTATATCTATATAAGGGCTAAAACTAGTATCTTAAAATAAAATGGTAAGAGAAAAACAAGACGCCATCATGACAACTTCATAACCATTGAAAGAAAGTTCTAAAATGTATTCACTAGTTAAAACTTTTAATGACCTACCTCATTATTAAATAAACATATAAAATCTTTTAATAAGCATACCTCGTAGAGGAAGTGTTAAAAAAAAAAAAAAAAACGTTTTAAAATAAAATCAAAGAGAAAGAGATAGAAAAACATCTGCCAAGTAAGGTCAGTCTCACTTTAAATGGCTAAAAAATATCTGTATTACAAGGTCTAAAATTTTTTGTACGAGAATAAAATCTCTAGTAGTAGCTGTTTTCGGAAATTTAGAAATCCTTCAACAATAAAAGTTTGATATCCACGAGTTTTTTTCATTTGCAGATTGCATATTTGATAATCCGTGATTGAAAAAAAAATTATTTCATTATGATTAATTAGTACAATTTCATATTTTATTGCCCTCTGCTATTTTCCATTGTAGCAGATTGCTTTTATCAGTGCAGACTACAAAATGTCACCTTTAGCACAAATAAAATAAAAGTTGAAAATTTTTACATAAGGCCTTTTGCATTAATAGTGAAATATACTTAATAGATATGTTTTCACTCGTATAATAGATGGAATTTGCATTAATAGTAGGCAGTGAAATATACTTAATAGATATATTTTCACTTGTATAATGGATGGAACAAAAAATCTAAAGGACAACTTCAACTTTTTGTTTCTTCGGAGTTAACAAGACCAATACTTTTCTTCAGTCAGAACAAACTAATTAAACTGCAGTATTACAATATTTATGAAGTTCATACAACTTTGACAATTAAGGAGAAAATCGAGACCACGACGAGTTAGTTGAACTTCAATAGAAATAAACACAATCACAAATGAGAATTTTTTTTTTTTACAAACTCAGAGTAAATTTTGATTCACATTACATTTCTTAATCGTATTTGTGAAAAAAACTACTCATCAATACAACACAAACAACTGTCTAGAGGTTTAATTAATAAATTAATTATAAAACTAACATAGTTCTAACATATATTACACTAACAAATGTTTGTTAAACAGAATATTTAAAAACTAAATCAGGCTGTAACTAAGGCACTAGATAAGAACTAGTCAATAAATATTGCAATTGCAATTTTTCACTCATACATAAAATGCTATATCATTTTCTTGATCACTGTAAGCACAAATGTAAAAAAGGTGTTAGGTGAATTTTAGTAAAATAAATTACAACCTCTGAAACTGATCCACTTTTCTTTAGGCACACAATGCATGATTATCTTTCTTAACATGACATAAACAAATACTGGTCCCACATCATAAAGCAGAGACGAGAGTTCCTTCCATTTTACTTCTTCCCAGGTTGCCCAATCAGAACGTTTAATCCTACAATTTACATAAAAATTAATGTTCATATCCAAACAAATCATTTTATTATAATCATAATAACTAATCCACTTTGCTTTTTAAACAAGAATATGATCCAATACAGTCTAATCTTTGTATATCAAACATGTTCTTTAGAAAAACGATAAATAGATTGAATTTACTACTTCACTGTCTTCCTTCCAAGTGAAAATTTTATATAGGTCATGTATAATGTAAATTAGCTGATTGTAAACGTTTATAGGGACAAATAAAATATTTTAGTTAACAAAATCATATTAATAATTTTTTTTTTACATAATTTAAAAATTTCATGTTAAAATAAAAATGTGAATATTTTTGTTTAATAAACCAAAATTTTGTTTAAAAATCAGGAAGTTTTATAAACTAAATTGAGATTCAATTGCACTTTATCCACAATAAACTAATGAAAAAATAAATTATTTACTCACATAAAAATCATTAAATTGTTTAAAAAAATTATCAGTGATCTTTTTATTGTAAGTTAAACAATAAAAAGCTTTGTTAAATTACAAATAACATTAATTATGTACTAAGGAATAAATATATAAAATTTACATTACCTATACAGCATCTTTGTGAAGAACCTATCGAATTTCACAGGATGTACAGCATATATTTGAGGGAAAATTTCACAAATATAAATAGCCTTCGCTAATGCAGGTGACACATTATGTTCCCTTCCAATTGAACTCCAGGAGCGGGTATTTAAACGGTATTTTAAACGTTCAACATTATAATTTCGTCTGTTCAACATATCATTCAAAATCAAGTTCCGCAGTTTCAAACGATCAGTTTTTACATTATTTGAAGATGGTCTTAAACCTAAAAAAACAATCTGTATTAAATAAGTGAAATTCAAAATATAGAAATAATCATTAAAATATTTTTCCTATCACAAATGAGTAAGGCACTAAAACTGCTGTTCTTCACGGATCGAGTTCGACAATGCTAGGTAATTATTTATTCTGTTACACCAGCCATGGATAACCGTAGGATCGAGTGACTCTCCTATGGAATACCCGGCCACTATTGACTGGATACTCTTAAATACTTAATTAATTAAAGGAAAAAATCAGTCACAAGAAAGAGATTACTTCCTTTCAAAATACTGAACCCAATAAACAGCTTCGTGGATAGTAATAATAATAATAATACTTTATTTATTTTTATTATTATTAGTTTCTGTATTATTTATTTTTATTTATTGTAAATAGAGTGTGAGTCTGCTCTCTGAACACTATTATAAATGTTCTTGATTGTGACAGAATGTAATACTTCTAAATAAACAAATAAAAAAAAAATTATTCTGGGACGAGTCCCTTTTAGAATAATAAAGAAAGACATAAATATTGGCTAAGGAGCCTTAGAGATACATAAATAAAAATACAGAGTAATTAAACAGTCATAGTAAAAAAATGAAAAATTATAAGTTACTTTCTAATTTTAATCAGTTAATAATAAAAAATAAAAAAATTGAAAAAAAAAAAAGGATGAAGTAAAAATAATGAAGAACGAACTAATAATTTCCATACATATTTACATTAGTATCTATTTACAATTTCATGGGGACTGGATGGATAAGAAATAATTGAACAGGCGGGATTTAAAGGTAGAAAGGGTATTGGATTGACGAATGTGAGAGGGGATGGAGTTCCAAAGGGATGAGGATCGGATAATGAAAGATCTGTCGAAAGCAGCGGTTCGGTGGGCCCTTATGTATAAGTCAGAAGACCGGGAACGAACAGAGGATTTGAATTGAAGGAGCTCAGAGATGTATGAAAGACGGTGGGATTGGATGACTTGAAAGAGGAAGGATGCTAAGAAATATTTACGATGGTAGGAAGGATAAATCCACTTCAACTCTGCATAAAAATGGGAAACAGAGGCGTCCCTTGATATCCCAAAGATGAATCGTACAAAGCAATTTATCAAACGTTTTAGTTTCGCCTCGAGATCCCCAGAGATGCCCCCATATACCGTACAGCAATAGTCAAAGTGGGGGAAAATTAAGGAGGTGACTAGAAGCCTAGGGTTTCAAATGGAATTAGGTGACGATAATAATTTAGACGTTTTAGAGTGGAAATGGTACGGCAGGAAATATTGGATACATGGTTTTTCCAGGAAAGCGTTTGATCGAAGGTTATTCCAAGGTTTTTGATGATGGGGTGAAATTTGATGGGATTATCGTGAAGGAACAGAGTTGGAATATTAGGAACAGTTTTAAGGAGGCGATTGGAGCCTATTAAGATTGCCTTTGTCTTTTCCGCATTCAGCTTCAATTTGTTAGCTCTTGCCGTCACAAATTCTATCCAAGTATTCTTGAAGTTTTTCGGTGGCAGATAATAGGTCTGAGGGCGGGAAGGACAGGTATATTTGGAAATCATCTGCATAGATATGATATTGGGAGTGATGGATCATGAGGGGAAGGTCATTAATATAAATAGCAAACAGAGTAGGAGATAGTGAGGAACCTTGAGGGACACCACAGGAGAGGGGAAGGGTCTTAGATGAAGGTTGATCTGGGACTACAACATACTGGGACCGATTTGAAAGGAAGGATTTGAACCAACTCAGGGCACTGTTGGATAGAGGAATATTATGCAATTTAGTAGGGAGGATGTTATGGTCAACTGTGTGTCAAACGCTTTTGAAAAATCTAAAAGGGTGAGGATAGTAAGATTTTGGTATTTAATGGAGTTTTGGAGGTCATGGGTTATTTTAAGGAGAGCGGATTACGTTGAGTAGCCAGGACGAAAGCCAGATTGGAATGGGTTAATAAGGGAACGTTTCTCTAGGAAGTTGGATAGTTGATTTTGGACAAGGCGTTCTAAAGGCTTTGAGAGGTTGGATAGGAGAGAAATAGGACGGAAGTCGTGCAGTGTGGTAGGATTGGAAATTTTATTCAAAGGCCGGACTAGGGCAGTTTTCCAGGAGGATGGGAATATAGAGTTTTGCAATGAAAAATTATAGATATGATAAAGAACAGGAATAAGGGTAGAAAGGCTGGATTTTATTAGTTTTACTGGAATATTGTCAGGACAATAATCATTCGTGTGGGATTTTAGGATAAATAATAATAATAATAATAATAAGGCTTAGCGAACCTGAAGGTTCGATGCCGACACCACCAATCGCTTGTTACACACCTCCCTCCACCGTTCGCCGTCCAAACCCAGTCCCTTCAGATCGGCTTTAATGCAATCTTCCCCCACCTTCGCTTCAGTCTACCCCTCGGGGACGCTTACCATTCGGCACAGCAAATATTAACCTTTTAGGAATTCTCTCGTTACTAAGCCCAACTTTACAAGCCCATTTGATTCGTCGCGATGAAATTACCTCAATTATATTACCCGGATACAGCTCACGTAATTCGGCGTTGTGTAACCATCTGAACTCTCCGGTTAACTCATCCTTCTTCGGTCCAAATATTCTACACAATACTTTATTTTCAAAAACCTTAAGACGCTGCTCATCCCTTAATGTAAGCGGCCAAGTTTCGGCCAAGTACAAATTTAAATTTTGTAAAATATTATGTGACAATAAAGAACAAAAACAATTACAATAGAATCCCACTTATCCAGTGGTAAAAAAAAAAGAAAAAGAATCAAATCTATATTTTCTATAGAAGTTTTAGTATCCATACAATTAATAGAAGTAAGCTAAGCTATTCAAATTAAAAAACCAAAAGAGAGATTTTTTTACGATTGTATATTTAAAGAAATGTTTAAATAAACTGATTTAATAAATTTAACTTGGTCATATTATAACATTACATTTTTTTTTTCTGGAAGTTATTCTGGAAAATTATACAGTCCACAGAAAAGAAACAAACAAAACTCTTAATTTAGTAAAAAGAAAACCGCTTAGGAAAAGGCAGGTTGGAAATATATGCGAATTCTATACAGACATGGAAAAAAAAAGGGTAGCATACAAAATAATAAATACTCAATTGTAAGGAAATTACAGAAATCTGATAAAGCATCAAAAGAAAATATACTAAAATTCTTTATCATGGAGAACCCATGAACGGAAAAGACATGTACCACACTGATAATGGAATACCATATCTCAATCCACAAGAGGTTGGAAAATCAAATATATTTCTTATAATTTTGACCTTACAAAAACTAAATATAACAATTTATCTAGATATTTCAAATAACTGTTATTATTTTTATGACTCTTGATATCCAAAAACAGCCAAGTAAATAGCTGTTAGGTTATAAGTAAATACTACAAATAATCAATTATAAACAATACCTGAAAAAATCAATATATTAAATATACAATTAATTATATACTGATTTTAGTGTTTTACTGTAATTTTACTTAATATAAGTGTTAAAGTAATGTTGAGTTTTTCTTTTATAAACTTTAGATTAATCGACAATGCCTTAGCCTCAACTAGGATATGGAAGAAAAGTTAGGCTGTACTTTGTGCTATATGCAAGTTTTACACATCGTTCAGTTAAATACATTAGACATCTCACATACATATCACTATCATGTAAACTTATTGTGACAAGAGATGATTCAGATTTTCTAGAGCAAAGAACATTCGCATCTCCCTGTATGTAAACAGACACCCTGTAGATGGAACTTTATTCAGACATAGTTTACTTACTCAATTACCAAGATAGATAGGTACAGATATAGGACTCACATCGAAGGAGTCCAAAATAGTAATTTTTAGAATTTTATTTTTACTTTCACTTACCAATATATGAAATAAACAGTAAGGAAAAGTATTACATTTTTAAATCTGTGTGAGTTTTCAACGGAAATACACGTTTTGATGTGAGTTGAAATAACCACCTCATAAAATGGTTTAAATGTGTGTATGTGAACAGTTTAGCTTAGAAACAAAAAGTCACGAGAAAATAAAATTGCATATTTAAGGTTTGTACATAGCTGGGATGTTAAAGCAACTTTTTCATCAAAATCTGCTGACCGGAAGTGCCTCTTTATCATTGATTTTACACACTTTTACAATATCGAAAATGGCTCAAACGATTTTGATTAAACTCCTTAGGTCAGTGTATTATTAAGTGATTTTTAATTTAAGGTAGGTTTTACCCTCATCAATGCAGCCTGACAGGACTTAAATAACCAATTTTCAAAATTTCTGTCTCTAAAGTACCTCAAATTTTGTATATTTTAAATAATTAACCACTTCACATTACAACCTGAAATAAAAAATGGTTAATTATATATTATGAAACAACTTCATAATTAACTAAAGGAGAAATAATATAACAAACACCTAAAAAACTGAGTGTGCAACCAAGATAGGACGAAAGGTTAGAATAGCTTCCATATGTAACATGAGGTTAATATAATATGGGCTTTGATAATATTATATACATATACATACATCTGCAGTTTTAATAAATGCTATTGTTGGTATTAATTAACATTAAATTGAATATATTTAAGCAATATACAAATTTTAATTTACATATTTACCAGAGCTTACAATAAATAAAAAATATATATAAATTTAACACCCTTCTTTACCAGACTAAACAGCTTGTGGTAGTATATTATTTTTTATAATTAAATAAATAATTATAATATAGTCATAAAAAGAAATAGTTAGTGAAAAAAAAAACATAAATATAATACATTAGATGGCTGTGAAAAATATATAGTAATTAATTGTTTAAAATACCTATTTCTACTAAAAGACTAAAATGGCGTTAAGTTAACGTTGTGTGACGCACGCACAGCACCATATTTTTGTAATAAGTTTTCATGTTTTTTAGATATTCAAGAGTACTTATTGATTTGGAAACATTTCCAAATATTTTAAAAACTAGAGGAAAGAAATAAAGTGTATAATCAGAGAACATCTATATAGAGATTAAAACCATACCAAGAAAACCTTTCTTCTTCAACCTCTCAAATTTTTTAAAAATTTGGTTTCTATGACGATTTAGCATTAAACCACAAACTGAATGTAAATAGGATCCTCTGTAGTTATGATACATCTCAATTAAAAAGTTTTCTTCTTCTTCACTAAACCTTTAAATAAAATTTAAAAAATATTATGGTAACCAGAAATGAATAGTAATATTTATTTTGTAATTTAAAAATTACTTAACAATTAAACTATAGCACACAAAAATTAAGAAACAATTTATTGAGTTTAGTGTATCTGATTCATATTAGGTAACATGTTGAAGTAGACATCTCCCTGTATTTACTCCTTTAGTTGACATTGTGTGAGGGAATGAGAAGGAATATATAGGAATGTGAGGTTGCACGATGAATTGTACTCAATTGTACAGTGGACAAATTATTCATTGAAAAGTCTCATATCGATAAATAATCGATGAAGAAGGAAGAAGGTTGGAGGTAACGAAAGGACCCAGCAAGTAGCAAAAGCTGGAGAAGGCATTCTAGGGCGGGACAAGTAGAAAGGAGGTTGTTAGAAGAGAGGAGGACTGACTTGAGGCGGAACACATATGGGAAGAGAGCCTACTACAAGATTTAGAAGATCAAGTCTATAGTTATAACACTTTAATAGAGTCAATTTATTACAGTTGTAGAAATAAATTATTTTGTTAGACAGGAGTAAAAAATCATTTATTTATTTAGTTGTCCTATATCCCTTACGATTGAAGAATAACAAACCAGGTGAGTCAATTCATTTAAAGTGTATTTAATAAGTCCCACATTTCATATATATATTCTTATTGTTTCTTCTCACTCAATGCCACAAAAGGTATTAGATTCCTGATTTTCCCAACGACAGTTAAACACCCTAAAAAAAAAAGTCTATATCCAGTGCCGGGATTTTGTTTTAATATTCACGAGTGTAAATAATCTAATCCCATGATAAAAGCGGAAGGCTATTCGCTATTCCCGCCAAAACAATTATTTACATTTAACTTTATTTGGTTATTTACAATGTTAAATCTAAACAAAATTAAATGCCATGGTACAGACAAGAATTGTCTTACATATATCATCATGAAAATAAGTTGTCTATCTTGTTCAGACAAAAGGCACAAAAAATAAATTTCTGATAAAAATCTGGTCAGATGAGTAAAAAATTGTCATTTAAAAATAAAATAATCATGGTTAAACAAAGAAAACAACCACAGTTAAACCGCTCACACTATGAAAAAGCAATGTTACATGAGTAGACTTAAACAACATACAAAATATTTTTTCTATTTAATATGTAGCGAGATAAAAATTACATACCTTCCTTTCCTAATCCCCAACTTGGATATAGCTTTAAAAATTGACATTGGATTTCGATCATTTACATAATCTTTACACAGATATTGAATGAACTTTAATCTTAGTTCATTAGGGAACTGGAACTTAGATACTTTATCAGCTAAGCAGGCTCGAATTGCACCATAGTTAATATTATATTCCTAAAAGAAATTAAAAAAACATAGTTATATTCCTAAAAAATATAAAACAATATATTAGTAAAAAGATATTGAAACATTATAAAAGAGACATTCATACATCATCCAGCTAAGACTAAGAACTGCAATGGAACAAAACCTTAAAAATTCCAATCAGAAGTGTTATTAAACAGGTGTCAGAACACCTTCTAACTACTTTTTTTTTTTTTTGCACTTACATATATTTATCCGCACCTGTCAATTATAACTATTGACAATCAGCAGATGTGCTGGCAGAGTCATGAGAAAAAAAAAAATAATAATAAAAAATAAATAAATAAATAAAATGGCTTGATAGGCATGAGGAAAAGCAATACCCAGCGGCATCCTTTCCATGGCTTTTACTTACTTACATACAATTACGTAAGTAGGTCCCTCATCCAGACCCTTTTCAGTCGTCTTCTGGAGTTCTCTGGCATAGTAGTCGTGGCCATTTCATTAATTAGCTGGTTGGAGTGTCCATGTAATTTATTATGGAATCGTTTGTAGTAAGTTCGTATGTGTTCATTGATCGTTGGCATGTGTAAGTCAGTGTGTAAAGTGTTATTATTCACGTACCAGGGTGCTTGGGTAATTAGTCGTAGTATCTTAGACTGAAAAGTTTGAAGTCGTTTTATGTGTGTTGGTTTTGGAATTCCATATATTTGTAGTCCATAAGTCCAGAGAAGTTTTAATAGGTATGTATAAATATTTAATTTCTGTCTTGCTTTTAATTTAGAATGTCGTCTTAGTAATGAATGCAATAGTTTTAATCTGTGATTTAATGATGCACGTTTTTTCTTTACATGTGGACCCCATGTCATTCTTCTGTCAAACGTCAGGCCTAGGTATTGTACTCTATCTGTTTGTGGAATCGGTATGTTGTTTAAGTATACAGCAGGGCATGTTTCTAGTCTTAGAGTAAATGTAATGTGTTGTGACTTTTGATAATTTATTTGAGTTTTCCATAGTTTACACCAATCGTTAATTTTTTGTAAGTGATGTTGTAGGTTAAGTGATGCCTGTGTAGGATTATCGTGTCTAGTAATGATAGCAGTGTCGTCTGCGTAGGTTGCCGTAAGTGTGTGGATACTTTGAGGAATGTCATGTGTGTATATTATGTACAGTAGTGGGACTAAGATTGACCCCTGAGGTACGCCAGCTAAGATAGGTCGAATTGAGGACAGACCTGAACCATGCCGAACGGAGAAAAATCTGTCTGAGAGAAAGGAGTGAAGAATTAAGTAGTAGGTTGGTGGAAGTATGGTTTTGAGTTTGAAGAGAAGCCCCTGATGCCATACTTTGTCGAAAGCTTGGGCGACATCCAGAAATACTCCGGTTGCATATAGTTTTCGCTCTAGTGCTGTCGATATGTAGTCAGTTACCCTGTGTAATTGTTGTGTTGTTGAATGTAATTTTCGAAACCCGAATTGATGGTCAGGAATAATCTGTTTGTCTGTTAGTATATGTAATAGTCGTGAGTATAATAGTTTTTCAAATAATTTAGAACACACACTGGAAGCAAACTAATCGGTCTATATGAAGAAGGATTGTTAGTTTCTTTATCTGGCTTTTTAATCATGGTTATATGAGAGTATTTCCATTGTATTGGAAATTTTGTGGTCCTAAGAATGCAATTGAAGATTGTGGTGAGAAATACTAGAGCTTTCCTTGGCATTTGCTGGAGCGCCTCAGCATTTATCAAGTCATGACCAGGGGTTTTTCTTTTCGGTAATTGTCTAATTTCTTGTGCAACTTGTGATGGTGTGAAAGGAGATGGTAGTAGTGTAAGCTGTAGTGGTATGTCGAAGTTATTTTATGAAAATATCATGTTCTGTATTAATGAAGTCAGTATGTGATTTAAAAACAGAGGAAAGATGAGTAGCAAAGAGTTCAGATCTTTCTTCGTCCGAAACAGCCCAAGAACCATCCTCTCTTCGTAGGGGTGCTGACACCTCACGATGCTTTAAAAGATTCCTTGTGTGTCTCCATAAACTTCCATCGTCTGTCGAAAGGTTGTTAATAAAATTGTCGTAGTTAGTGCTTTTGAATTTTTGAATATGTCTTTTAAGTTTGTTGTTCAATCTGTTAAATGTTTGTTTGTCTGAAGGAAGTCTATTAGTCTGCCACACTTTACGAGCTCTTCTCTTTGCCCTGATTAAGTCCCTTATGTACATAGGATAATGGGGCAAGTTCACTGCTCTTTGTGACCTAGATGTTGATGAGGACCATGCTGCATCTTGTATACTTTTTGTAAATGTTTCAACGGCTTCTTCTAGTTCCTCTTGATTTTTAATTGAACCTGGAACAGAAATATTGGTGTCCAAATGGTCTCTATATGCGTCCCAGTCCATGCAACCTGTTATGAGCTTAGGTCTCTTTTGTGCTTCAGAAGGCGCGTCGAAGAGAACCATGTGCACCGAGGAGTGATCAGAGCAAAGATCAGAGCTTGTATTGACGGCAAAAGGTACGGTTCTAAGTCCTTTTGTAATAAAGAAGTCAAGTAAGTCGGGAGTTTTGCGTCTGGAGGTGGGCCAATAAGTGGGTGAATTTGGAGTTATCGTGTCTAATGAAAGTTCATGGAGGACAGACCAGAGATTTCTGCCTCTAGGAGTAGACAACCTTGAACCCCAGCCTTGATGCTTAGCATTATAGTCTCCACCTGCGATGAAGCATCTTCCGAGACGTTTGAAGAACTCAGAAAACATTGTGGGTGTAAGCTTGTACCTAGGGGGACAGTAAACTGAGGCAAATGTTATAGTGTAGTGTTTAGTGTATAATGTTATTCCTGTTGATTGTATGTCGGGTGTAATGGGTAAGTCTATGGGATTGTGTTTTAGTGATTTTTTTACGAATATTGCTGTTCCTCCATGTGCAGTTTTGTCTGGATGATCAGTTCTATAAATAGAGTAATCCTGGATGTAAATTTTTGATCGAGGTGTCAGGTGTGTTTCAGTAATGAGTGCTATGTCAATCCGTTTTTTGTGCAAGTATAAGTCAAGTTCAGTACTGTGTTGGGTCAGTCCGTTGGCATTCCACAAAAGAATTGACAGAGAATCCACAGTTAAATTATTGTGGGACATAATTAGGGCACCAGACCTGTGTAAACTGTGATAGCTGTTGAAGAAGAATGAAAAGGGGCTGGATTAAGTTATTTAACCCATTAATGATATTAAATAACTGGGAAGAGCTATTATCTACCGGAGGTACCGTCTGGGTAATGCCTCCCCTCATACCTGTACATGTTTTTTGGTTCTGGGGTGCTGAGTTCGATGATGGTTGATTATGTTGCTGCTGAGGTCCAGCGATGTTCTGTGGTTCCACTTGGTTGTTCCGCTGCCGTATTGGAGGGAATTCATGGATGCCTGGAGGTCCCTGTGCTGGCTCTGCTACTGTGGGACGCTGAAGACGGTTTCTCGCATTGCGCTGAACCCTGAGATCTTTCAGCGTCTGGCAGCCTCTGTAGTTAGCCGGGTGCTGACCACTGCAATTGGCGCACTTAGCGGGAGTCTCTCTAGTTTTTAAACATGAGCTGCTTTCGTGATATTCGCCGCACTTCACACAGCGTGGTCGATGATTGCAATATATTTTAGTGTGCCCATATTGCTGACACCGAACACACTGAGGAATACTTCGCTTCTGACGTGGTTCTTCGATTTTAATGTGAGAGTAATATAAAAACTCAATTTTAAAAATGTCTTCTCTGAATGTCTCTTTTGTAACGTCTACGAAAAACATAGGAAGAGGTTTTTTAAATCGAGATATTACGTTTACCACATTTGTTACTTCATAGCCCATATTTTTTAATTCTTCTCTGATTATCTCGACTGGTGTTCCATGATGGAGATATTTAACAACAACTCTTGGGCACCTGTCCTGTGGGAGTTGGTAGATGTGAAAGTCCGTGCCTTTATTTCGTAGACTTGAATTTAATTTGCGATATATATCAGGTGTTTGTGGGTAAACAGTGACACCTTTTAATGTTGATTTTGTCTTCAATGTATTAGGGCCAGCTTCATTTTCTAAGAATGAAATTAAAGCATGATAATTCTCCACACCGTTTATAAAAATTGGTGGAGTTTTATCATTTTGAGGCGGTTGTCTTGTTTCTTCAGTTTGTGAGTTCATCTTGGTTAGAACCTCAAAACTGTTAGAGGTTGGAATAGGTTCTGCTGGTCGTTTTTGTGCTCTTGGCTCGCTTGAATCTGACATAGGTCTTTTACGACCAATAACTAGCTCCCAGGAGCCAACATCAGTGTTTGTATCACTATTTGCTAAGTTCATATTGCTTACCTCCTCGTGTTGTGACCGTTCCACCATCGTTGGCGGTGAAATCCGCTCAACCTTTGTTTTGTTTTTTGTCTTCAGCTCTGTTGTCTTCAAAAAAACTTTTGCTACACAAAAAAATGAGTATTTATACTAAATTATCACTTTTTAGGAGAGACAAAAGCAAATTAACCTTTAACGTTGTTTAACATCAACAGCTGTTCCTCTAACTACTTAAATGATGGTTTAGAAAACAAGTCACCACACAATAACTTTGAATTCTTCTGATCATTTGAAATGGAAGAACAAAGAACTATAACACTAATAATATGTAGTGAAAAGAGCACTACATTTTTGTATGTTAAAAACTATTTAACATACAATTTTATATTAAACAAGTATTGTTGAATTATTAACTTATCAAAGTCCGAGCTTAAAATTAGTTGAAAGTTTATTGTTTTTTTTTACCAAAATACATTTTTAGCAGATATGTGCAGGAAATGATGGAAGATTAGAAAATACACACATAAGAAAAGAATAATAAAATAAATATAGGTACTTGTAATTAATAGAATACCTCACAAAACTGCCTTAATCTTTTTTTTATAAAAGAGACTTCCTCAGGTTCAAGTGGACCCTTTAAACCACCTTCAGATTTACGAAGTCCTTTCAAAGCTATCAATGTATTTGGTAATTCCCATTCAACAAAAATATCTAATTGCTTTATTTTCTGAAAATTAACACTAATTATTATTTTTTAAAATTACATGGAAAAATAAAAATGGTCAAGTAAAAATGTTACATTTATATATTTATGAACAGCCTGTGACATTTCCATCATTGTATCCTTTACACTTTCAATATCAACTTCTTGAGAAAATGAATAATCACCCTCAGCAGAACAATTAGATGTTGAAGCAAGATCTGGAAAAAAAATTTATACTATTACCAAACACTTCTAAACTAGTTTAAGCTGTACACTTACATATCATTACTGTAAAAGCAATCTCACTATATTATCTACTTTCCAGTGGAGTGGAAACATAGGTAACTATGTACTAACTACTCAGTATAATATAGATAATTTTTATTTGTAAAATTAATTAGAATTTCATTAAACTGTTTTCAGAATCAGCAGAAAATTTTGAATAAAATGGTATGTACATCACAAATATATTAGCACTAGATAGTAAATATATTAAGCTGCCATTACAATAATTATATACACAGTTACAAGCAAAATTGTAAACAGGGATAAAAATTATTATCTATATAAATAAAAATATAAATGTTCTTCTTGAAGTCCTTTTAATTTATGCTTGTAAATCGGACAATTTGGTGTAGAGATATAAAGTTTTAAATATTTAGTACTTTTTCTTCGGAGATTTAGTGACGGATTGCTTCTCACATGAACAATTATATCGAGAGCCACACTGCGAAAACCTGCAAGGACAATTTCTATGGAAAATGGGTTTTTGAGCTTTTCTGGTCAATGTTGTCCTAGCGCACATTCTGATTTCAAAAAAATGAAATCTACAATGTTTCATTAATTCTCTATGGCCTTTTATAAAAATCTGTAATTTAAATACAAGAATATTGTGATATAAAAAACTAAGTTACAGTGAAGATTATAGATATTGTGTCGATAACGAAAAAACGTAATGAAATGGTCAATGAAAAGTAGTCATGTAAATACATAATGTATAAATTGTTTGGCGCATAGGCTACAGTATCAATTAGCTTTATTTATAGACTAAAATTATTTTTTCTGTTATGCTTAGAATTATTTTTCTAAGAATGGTGGGCACTTCCAGCACGGCGCCTCCACGCAAATGCCCGGGTATCCTGCTCTGAGGCCGGTACCACTGTTTATCATGGAACTAGACAAAACAAACAAGAGAGCGGTAAGTGGGAATACAATGTTAAAGGGTCTTCAAAATAATCGAATCCTCCTGGACACTGCAAGATGAGCTCGACTGGAAAAAAGCTACAATGCCGCCGAATCCCAGATAATGGGAGACAGAGAATTGATTTCATGAATTGCAAAATTTAATATGAGGAGAAAAAAGAACTCTAGTTTCATCTTTTCAAACCAACCACTTTTTTATGTAAGAAAATAATTTGTAAATACAAAGAAATATGTAATTCGAATCCCGTCGTCGGTGTCCTTTTTTAAGAAACAATATAAATTAATTTTTAGTTATTTTGCTTTTCAGACATAAGCAAATACGCAAGAAAGCGAAGTGTTGCGGGATTGCCACTCTGATTTTGCATTGCTATGTGAGGCTGAGAAGGCATATGTCCCGTTTATTAAAAGTTGAATAAAAAGGTTACAATGCATTTTTGAAAGGTAAGATCTTGCAGGGTGATTCATAGCAATAGCATTTTAAACAAATTTGTCCCAAAAAAATATCCATTATTTTCTGAACGTCTTTTTGGATTTCAGGATGCACCATCTAGTAGAAACACGCGAATAAGCTCCGGCAGTCAAAGAGTTAACATAAAAATTTCCCAAACAAAAATGAGCAAACCAATTCTGACATTGACGTTCTCTTAAGCACTTATCACATTAAACATCACACAATTTTTTATTGCCTGCACAGCATTTCTCTTTTTGGAAGTAAAATAGCAAGATATGATGAAAATGACCTCCAGGAACCTCTATTTTTAAATCACAATAAATCAGATAAAGATAAAGAAATCAGTTTTTTTTTCTTCTTCTTCTTGCAGGTCACTTCCATTGTGTCTTCTTTGAGATCTTGTAGGTGAAGAATTTGTTTCAATAGTATAAATTCGGAATATCTTATTGAGTAAAGTGCTTGAGAGGATGGGGCAGTGTGGTAGAGCAGGCTAACACATTTATAATACACAGGTTACCTGGTAGCCTGATAATCTTAAGATTATAAGTTCGAGTCCTGGTGGCGGGAGCATCAAACTAGTCAAAATGTTGATATTGAATAATTAATTAGCTTCCTTTTCTTTTTACCAACTTTTAGATAACTTTTCATACGGTCAGCAATTTACACATAATATAATTAAACATAATACAAAAATAAAAGGTTTTCAAATAACATACCTAATTCTTCAGAGCTGGTAGAGTCATTACTAACACTGTCTGGTTCAGCACTTTCATGATCTAACATCATGTTCCTTGATTTGTTCATATTACCATCTACAGGAGAAATCTTATATTAAAGAAATAGAACTAAATAATTTTTCAACTGTAAACTAAATTTTCAAATGGAGTTAAAAGAAAATGAATCACCACCAAGAAAGGTAAAAATAAAAAGTTTTGAAATAAAATATTAAAGTATCAAAATTGATTGATTTGTTACATTCAAATGAAGCCTGATCATCATGAAGGGCGTCATTATAAGCTAAGGTGTCTTGCTCATTATTTTCATGTTCAGACATTACCTCCCTTGTTTTGTTTATATCACCATCTGTAATAGAAATATAACTGCATTATTTTGGGACTATATACTAAACTTTCGAATAGTGTTGGGGCCAGGGGTACTTCAAAATCTATGTACAAATCTTTCCCTGGTGAGTTTTCTCAAAGATGGAGAAAGTTAGAGTAAAAATTAAGGGAAAAAAAAATTAGTGAATAAAAATGAGACCTGTAAAAGAGAAAAAAAAAATATGCACATCAAAGAGAGAGAGAGAATCACTTTATTATCATAAAAGGGTGCTGCCCAATTACATTGGGTTGCTTTAAACACAGCATACTTATTAATCGCTACAAACAATTTTCCAAAACTAATATACAATTATATAGTATTAACAACACGTATGAGCATAATATACAATTTTTTTTTTTATCTACATATATTTTTTTTTATCATAATTTTTTTTTCCTATATTTTTATTTATTTATTTTTTATTTATTTATTTTATTTTTACTATTTATTTCATTCATTTATTAGCATTATACATCCCTTTCTGTTCCTTCTCTCATTCTATACATTTTTCTCGTTCCCTAGATTTTCTCCTCTCTTTTCCTAACCTAATTCATAACATGCATACAAATACATAAAGTGCAGTGGACGTGGTCAATAAATAATGTAAAAATGCTGTAAACACGCATGCCTACCCCCATGAACAAACTCTCTATCCATGCACATGGTGATGGATAATTCCCAGGGAGTCAAGGATTATATTCTCTGCCAACCTTGCCACATCCTTTATGTCGACACCAAGGCCCTCCATGAAGCTCCTTGTTGAGTCTGGTATCGTTCCGCGAGCTCCGAACCAAAGGCCTCTCAAGTGGAACTCTCTCGGCCCGAAACTCTCGCGGAACTTTTCACTAAGGAAAGGGATGCATTTCTCATATGTCTGTTTTTTCTTCCTTTCCACTTTTCCTGCCTGATCGAGGTCGTTGGTCTCATATCTCACGGTCGGATCCAAAATCAACGCCGACTTTCCCGTCTTAGGGAATGCTACAATGTCGGCATATCGGGTGGATCCATCCGTATCTATACAATATACTTCCTCGAAACAGGCGTAATCTCTCTCTTTAAGGAGCCTCATCCGTTCATGTTTGATTCTGTGGTGACAGAGCGTTATAAGGAGGGAGTTGTTGGAGCATTTTCCAAGCACATGTGCTGGTGTTTCTGGCTCTCTGTCGCATTTGCGACAGAGGGACCCAACTTCTCTTACCTGTCCGCTGACACCTGGGACTCCATACAGGGGTGCATAATTAATATTTAGTTTCAGGGCATTTGACCATTCAGACCCAGAAAGTACTTGCTTATCATACATGTATTTATTGGCTTTCGGGGTCTCTTTAAAATGGCAAACTCCAATGCCCTGCCACCTGCAATTGGTCCATTCCTCAAACGAATTTTCTCGAAGCGACTGCCGTAGAGCTCTCATATTCCGAATACCCCGATCAACCCCCAATCTCTCGGCACATTCATCAACCTCAGCCGAATAATCAAAGATCGACTGAAAAAGGGCAACGGGCACATTGGACAGTCGCCGAGCAATGGACCAATGTTGTAGAGGAGCCTCCCATTGGCAGCGGATTAATCCTAATCTTCGATACCTCCTGGGAGCGTACAACATCGCCGTCGAGGTGTTCGCAGGGAGCCCAACAATAGCCTTCACACTTCTGCAAATCATGGTGTCGATGCCGTCAAGTATGGCAGGACGCAGCTTTGTGAGGGGCACAGTTTGGAGAGTATAAGTAAGACCCGGGAACAGATTCTCCTCGACAGACAATGGACACCAAATTTGGCATCGGGGCGCACTGTTTGTAATCCGCAAGCCTGCGGAGATTTTCGCTCTCAAAGAGGTCTCTATAATGTTTTCGATATCGGCCATCTTCAGAGGACACCGCTTAGGAGCGTCGGCATTCATTACGGTTTGCACAACCTTTTTCCTTTTATTATAGTTTATCATATTGATACTGTTCTTGCCGACGACTCCTGTCTACTTTGTTCGCTCTTTGGGGATTTGAGACTTGTCCAGCACCCTTGTCAGTCACTTTAGTTTTTTTTTGTTTTTTTTTATTCAATCTATAAAATTTGACGGCTGGGTGCTGGGGACCTGGCAGTTCCGCATTGATATTCTTGAGAAATTTCAGGAACCTGCCTACGGCCTCATCAAAATCAGCAATATTTATCGTGCTTTCTTTTGAGAGGTTCTTGAACACAGTAGACCATCCGATAATGTCCTCTTTAATTTTTGATACCTCACCCTCTCCATTTTTAGGCCCTATAACTTTTTTCACTATGCCCCTCAGTGTATTGGTGTTAGCCTCCCTGGGGTGCTTTTTGGCAATATGGGTTCCTAGACCTCTTTCACCCTTAAAAGAAAGCCCACATATGGGACAAACTTTATTATTAGGGCATAGAACTTCTTCCTCCTACTCTCTGTTCGCCTCCTCGACATTCTGTGGAACATTTGGCAATGCTGGGAAGACATCATCTATCGAAACTGTCTTTCCCAATAGTACACCTTCTGTGTCTGGCCATTCGACTTTTACAAATTTCTTTTCGCCGCCTTCCGCGGCATCCACAGACATCACAGACGCAACAACAGCCTCCTGAGCAGATCCTTCAGTTCTCAGAACCCATACCCTCTGGCCAATCTCGACTTCATTCATTGTCCTTAGGTCCACTCAAAATCCAATATCCCTCTTAGAGACCATGCGTACTACACGCATGGTTAAAACAAACCATCTAAAGGAGAGTGGACCCGTATACAAATAAATAAAAACTAAACGGGAGAGACATGCATATATGCCAACATACACACTTAAATATCAGATTAATAATATCAAATGCTTAAAAGGAGTTAAAATGTAAAATAAATAGAGCCCAAGTTAAAAAAGTTAATCAATAAGTTAAAATCTATCTTAAAACTAAGCTAAAATATAAAATGAAATTAAAATCTATAGACTCTATTGCTTAAAACTAAGTTAAAATATATAAAATAAATTATGGTAAAACGTTAAAATCTATAAAATCAATTTATTAAAAACAAATTGAAATCTACAATTAATAAAATCTAGGTTAAATAGTAATGTACTAATAAATAAGTTAATGAATAAAAACAAATTAAATATATAAAATATATTGTTAAAAATTAAATAAACACACCCACGGTCCACTTAATAAATAAAATTGAATAAATAGATCAGTTGATAAAGCTAAATACTAATTCTTATAAATAATAATTCATTAATTTCAATAATCAAGCTTTCCTGTGATCAGTTTTTTTTTTTTTTTTTAAATAAGAGAGGAGAGAGATAAAATAAAACCAAATTAAACATTATGAATAAAATATAAATAAAACCAACTTCTAAAATTATAAATAAATAATAATAATAATAAACAATAAAAGGCTTAGCGAACCCGAAGATTAGATGCTGACCCCACCAATCGCTCATTACACACCTCCCCCCTCCACCGTTCGCCGTCCAAACCTAGTCCCTGCAGATCAGCTTTAATGCAATCTTCCCACCTTCGCTTCGGTCTACCCCTCGGACGTTTACCATTCGGTACAGCAAATATTAACCTTTTAGGAATTCTCTCGTTACTAAGCCCAACAATTTTACAGGCCCATTTGATATGCCAGGATGAAATCAACTCAATTATTTTGCTTTGATATAGTTCACGCAATTCGGCATTGTGTAACCGTCTGAATTCTCCGGTTAATTCATCCTTCTTCGGTCCTAATAGTCTACAAAATACTTTATTTTCGAAAACCTTAAGTTGTTGCTCATCCCTTAATGTAAGCGGCCAAGTTTCGCACCCATAAAGAACTGTAGGCAAGATAATTGTTTTATAGATTCTAATTTTTAAGTTGCGGGACAAGAGGCGCGAGCTAAGTAGTTTTGTCACAGAAAAATAACAAGCATTTCCCACCTTCAGTCTAACCTTAATCTCTTCTTCAATTTCGTTTTTCTAGTTATTGTAGACCCTAGATACCTAAACTTTTCTACCTGTTCAAACATATTACCATCTATATCAATATCACCATTTTTGCAGTTAACCATATACTTTGTCTTATCCGTGTTTATTTGAGCCCTAGTTCTTTACTGGCATTCATTAACGTTGTTACGTATTTAGTTTTATAGTTTCCATGTCTTCGCTTAACAGTACCAGATCATCCGCATAGCGCAGCACAGGTGTTGTCCCACCCAAATCCAACCCTTTTTAGATACGTATTACTTGGTTTTATTTATAATTTTAAAAAAAAATATCGAAAATTATAAATAAAACCAAGAGAAAATAAATAACTGTTAATATGAATAAAACTAATTTACAGGTGAAACAAATCAAATTAATATTTAAATGTTTTTGGTAACGGTGAGAATAAAAAACGAGCCAAGCTGGAGGTTCTGTTTCCAACCAGGTTACCTTCTACTATGTTTAGCTGTCAAAGCAGTCGATGGTGGGGGGATTGATATGCATATCAATCCTGATCGATGACTCGCGATGATACATACAGCTGGGGTCTTCAAAATGGTGCAGGTGAGGGGAAGATGAAACGAAACGAGCCTGGAGCTTGGTGAAAATGGTGGCAGTAGACGTCCAGCACAATAAGATAACTCCAGACTAGCTTTCCTGCAGTATTATAGCATTATTTTGATGTCTTAATCCCCAAGACTGGGCATTACTGCTAGGCTGGTGCATATAAATAAGCGATAAACATCGCGAATAATAACCACGCAAATATATAAATACTATGAAGTTAAATACATTTCTTGAGCTATTATATTTTAGCTGTTACAAAAAAAAAATAAATAAGCATTTTATTATTAACATTTAAAAGAGGTTAATGGTGAGAAAAAAAATAAATGGAAGAAAAATAAAATGCCTAGATTCGGGCGTTAACAAATGGAATTTAAAAAAAAATTACTAAGAAAGATAAAAATGAATGGTTTCAAAATAACATACCTAACTCTTCAGAGTTGATTGAATTGTTACAATCAATCGAAGTTCCAACATCCTGAACAGAGTCATTATAAACATTGGTGTCTGGCTCATTACTTTCATGATCAGATGTTACCTCCTTTGATATGTTACTATTATCATCTATAACTGATTAGAACTACATTATTTTGTGACTATACACTAAACTTTCGAATGGAGTTAAAAAAACAAAATTATTAAGAAAGATAAAAATGAAAGGTTTCGAAACAGCATACCTAACTCTCCAGAGTTGGTTGAATTGTTACAATCAAATGAAGTTTCATCATCCTGAAGAGGGTCATTATGAACATTGGTGCCTGGCTCGTTACTTTCATGATCAGATGTTAACTCCTTTGATATGTTACTATTATCATCTATAACTGATTAGAACTGCATTATTTTGTGACTATACACTAAACTTTCGAATGGAGTTAAAAAAACAAAATTATTAAGAAAGATAAAAATGAAAGGTTTCGAAACAGCATACCTAACTCTCCAGAGTTGGTTGAATTGTTACAATCAAATGAAGTTTCATCATCCTGAAGAGGGACATTATGAACATTGGTGCCTGGCTCGTTACTTTCATGATCAGATGTTACCTCCTTTGATATGTTACTATTATCATCTATAACTGATTAGAACTGCATTATTTTGTGACTATACACTAAACTTTCGAATGGAGTTAAAAAAACAAAATTATTAAGAAAGATAAAAATGAAAGGTTTCGAAACAGCATACCTAACTCTCCAGAGTTGGTTGAATTGTTACAATCAAATGAAGTTTCATCATCCTGAAGAGGGTCATTATGAACAATGGTGCCTGGCTCGTTACTTTCATGATCAGATGTTACCTCCTTTGATGTGTTACTATTATGATTTATAGGAGAAATGTTAACCAAAAACGGAGAAGCAGATCCTGTTAGATTATTTCTAAAACTAATCTGCTCATCCTCATTGTAGTACTTTGTCTTATTTCCATTGAGAGTCAGTAATTTTTTATCAGCAATAGGAGTACTCAAATTTTCCATTTTAATATATTAAATATTTTATAATCAGATTAAACCTGTTAGAAGAAAATATATTAAATTAAAGAATAATTACTTTGTTTACAGTTAATTTTAAAAATGTAAATCATGTAAAAAAAATTTTTTTTTCAATTTTTGTCTAATCATTTAAAGTGAAATAATTTATTTTCAAATTGAATTCAACCTTTTACATTTTATTACATAAATATTATATATGTTGCTTGGATAGCAAAATACTTGTAAAATGTCAGGTGCTGATGAACTTGAAGTTTTACGCCTCAGAGCCCCAACAAAGAACTTGTAAAATGCATACATCCAGCCCAGCAGTTTCAAATACAAACGATAATTTACGGTTTGAGTTTCATGCTTGATAATGTCTAATATATCTTCCTTTGATAATTGATATCTTCCCTTAAACAGTCAGTTACCATACTTTGGTCTGTGAGGTAGTCTGATATTGGAATTGCACATTTGAGAATATCTATTATACAACCCAAAATTCTGTGGCATAGGTAAAAGCAGAATTGGGCAAATATTATCTGTAACTAATAGCTAAAGACTGTAGCAAAATAATTATGACAGCAAAAAATAAATAGCTAAAAACTCAACTGTTATCTGTTTGCAATGCAATCAAAACAACCATTTAATTACTTGCATCAAAATAAAATGAGACCAACGATCAACAGACTACCAAGTGCCATGCTGAAAGTTTTTGGAACGCTGGATGCCTAAACTAGTGCTAAGTTTACGAAGCTCCAACAGCATATCAAGGAGAACAATACAGACATATACTAAATCTTCACCCAAAAGAGAGGCAGCAACAGTCCAAAACATGAAGAAGGGAATAAGGGCTGCCCCAAATAATAACATCCTAAATTTTTAATCAACCTACTGCCAATAACAAAGTAATGATCCTTTAATCCAATAAAAATGCCACTTCTCTGAAGAAAGGCTGAAATCGAACTCATTCTTGAGAAGAAAAACCTGCGAATAGCCAATCAAGTTAACGGCCAATAGCACTTATTCATTTTAAATAACAGATAATTTAGCTATAAAAATTAGCTACCAGCAACAGCAAAATTAACTGAAAATAATCAAAAATATTTTTTAAACTTATTACATGTTTGGCTTGACCTTATTTAACTAAAAATTAGTTAGCTAAACAGTTAAACAACCTCAAAAAGTCTATATCCAGAGCCAGGGTTTTGTTTTAATAATCACGAGTGTAAATAACCTAGTTTCCCGACATAAAAGCAGAAGGCTATTCACAATTCCTGCCAAAACAAATCATTTAAAATTAACTTTTAACAGGTTATTTACAAAGTTGACGATAAAGGATGTGAGGTGTTAAGTTTGAATAAAGTCTGATTGTTCTATGGAGTTTTCGTCTGAAAAAAGGATTAAGGATTAAGACAAGACAAGGAAATGGAGTGCCATATTTTCTTTTTAACTCTGCCCTGGAAAAAGTTGGGAGAGACTCGGAAATCCAGAGTATACCAGACTGTGGTACAATTGGGTATTTGCAATAATAAATAAAAGCATGTACATTTGAGCTCCAACAGAATTCCAGTGCTAAAGAACATATATAAGATTGAGATTGTACTGTTTAAATAATAATAAAAGGTATATTTGCTGAAATAACACTACGTCTAGAAAGGTATTGTGGGAACTGGAACGTGACTTGAGTTCACTGTATCATGCACGGCAAATATGATACTGTCAAAGTGTCCCTGTACTCTTCTTAATAAATATAAATTTATAAAAGCTAATAAAATACAACAAACTAAATATTTTTATTCAGAGAAGACAGGGTGAGAGAAAAAGTGGAGATATATTCTTGGGTGGAAGTTATGAAGTTGAAAACACTATTTACAGCAAAAATGTGTATGATGCTCTTGTGACTTAGCTAGACTATCTTTATGACGTAGATATTGTGGCAAGCAATGGATCTTATGTCTTGACAAGCAATGGAGGATATCTTCCTGAACCATACCACAATTTCAAATGATAAGTCTGTGGAAATTAGAAAATGACTTTTTACACTGAAACAAGTCTGAATTATAGCCTGCTTATTTAAATTTGAACACATGCTTTTTCTGTTTTCAGTTTGTTTCAAATGGCTTTTTATTTTATAGTATTCTGTTAATCTACTAAATTTCTTGAGTGTTTATGGTCAGAATATCTGCTTATTCAATTCCTAGTTGAGGGTGAACTGTAATAGTTTTTGCGAGTTTTATATTTATTGTTTCTTTGCACCAGTTCCATCTAATACTTTCAAGTGTAACTAAAGTCTCTCTTTTAATTTAATAATGTGATATATTAAATATTATAATTTAATAGTTTTCAAAACTAATAGAATTAGGGAATGGTCTGAGCAAAGACAGAAGCCTTTTTTTATTCTGCCCTATGTTGAAGGTATGCTTCACATTTTCAAATAGGCCTCTGAGGGCAATATAAATTTCAATTTTGCAAATTTCTCTGAGGGCAGTATAAAAGAAGCCAATCATTAAATAGTTTTTCTCTAGGAGGTGCCTGTTGTTTTCATGATGGTTCCAAAAATGTTTATAAATTAAATTAGTCAATCTTTCCACAACGGGTTATTGTATAAGTGTGACTTAATACTTCTCAGGATCTATTATGATTTTCTGTCTTTTAGAGTACTATTATTCTCTTTAAAGGGTAATATCTTATTATCCTATATAACTCACTATGTCAACTTAACTACTTTCATATTTTATTGTAAAAATCAATCAGGCTCTCATAGAACAAATGTTTTCAAAGGATCATCAAAACAGTATTATTTTTATTATATTTTACTTTTTTGGTAAGACCCTTCCCAGGAATCAAGGAGACATCATGCACCTCACTATTATGACACTACTATGAAAAAGTGATTGTTTATTTTATAAATTTTTATGCTTTATAAACATTTTAAAGGATAACCAAAACCAACACAGCATTGTATTAAACTAATTGTAAGTTGTCTTTTAATATTTAAAATTTTCACTTTAAAATATTAGAAAATTATGTATAAATCCTTTTAAAAATTTATCTATTTTTATAAAAATTAATCATCAGAGTTAAGATAAGATGCTATGACAATTCCAAAATGATGATTTGAGGATTGTTGAGCCAAATGTTTATTATTTAATAGTTTGTTAAACCAATACTGAAAACATAAACACCAATAATATATATGTTTTCCAATTTGGTCAATGATCTCTTTTATGTTCCTTGCAGCTTCATGGATCTAAGCTTATAGAAATTTGGTAGTTGTTAAAATGCAAAAAACGAGAAAAAAATTTTTAAATCATCAACATTTGTGAAAAGTTTACATTCAAAGAGTTTTGTACACTTTAAAATAAATAGCAATGAGATGGTGCCAGGTCATGGAGAACAAGACCACTTCCTAAACAAGTTCCAATAATTTCTTACAAATTACTAAAGATGTGTGAGGCTTTCCATATCATGGTGGAACTCAATTCCTTAATGATTTGTCGACTCTGACCAGAATGATTTCATTAATTGGTGACAGTAAATATCTGAATTGATCATCTGGTTTCTTTGTAGCACACTGTACACCCCACCTAATGGACAGCATACTTTTATACAAATTTTGGTACTTATTTAGTAGCGGATAGCGTCCGATTGCTATCTGCCAATGTTTATAACCTTAACACTGATAAGCTCTTCGTATTCATTTTTATTGTATTATATTCATATTATTATATCTTCGTATTCATATTTATTTTATTGTATTGATATTATTGAAATTTTGAACAAAAACAGAAACAAATGTAATAATAAAAAAATACTTTTATTTTACAACATATATATTAAAATACACCAAAACATTATAAATATATAATTAAAAACATTACAAAAATATTGCAATATACATATCAAAATAAATGAAATAATAAAAATAGACAAAATAGAAATCCTCGACTCCTCTAATCATGTTCCTTTGCTTAGAGAAACGGTTTTATTACAACTACGAAAGCATTTCCATTTAATCTTCCCGTTGAACTTCATTTTATGACCTTTATCACAATATTTGACCTTTGCAAATATCCCGGTGTCTTGAAAATATTTTATAGCCTCTTCTTTTGAAAAGGCAATTCCCACAATGTGACAACATCCATAATTAAATAACACTAACTCATAGCTAACACAAGAAACAAAAAATAAACAAGGGAATAACTTAGGTTAGATGAGATAAGGGAGGTTATGTGAAATAAGATTACATAAGAAGGGAGGTTTTGAAGCTACCCGCTACTAAATAAGTACCCAAATTTTTATAAAATTAATCTTTAGATATGATTTGTGCTAATTCATCATGCTTGTGCCATGATCTTGTTTTAATGTAATAGTGGATGACCATTACTCATCACTAGTAATAAATAATCCTTTACATAATATATTTTCATTGTACTTGTTTATAGAATCTCTTCCAATCCAAGACCAAGAAATTTTAAGTGACCGTTAATTGAGGTGGTTATATATTTATTCTTGGAAACTTACATCATAACCAAATTTAGTACGTTAAGCAAGACAGGTCATGCTTCAAATCCCACAATAAAAGTTTGAAACTGATTATGACTTACATTCTGTTACCTAGAAATCATAAATTTTACATAGTTTTGTTTGAACTTCAAGAAGCTTCTTTTCTTATCGTTAATTAAAAAGTAAAATAGGTCAAAAATGTTTCTCTGTACTATAACTTAAAATTGATCTTGAAAAAATAGCTTCAAACAAAACGGCACACAACTATAACATATAATGAGCCAAAAGTAATCCTCAACTAACCAAAATTTGATTAGTATCAAATGTTAAAAAGTAAAACCATATCACTGACAGAAGCTTTTCAAAACAATTACAACGCTCTCTATAAGAGACAATCAAAAATACTTTCTCAGCAACCCAATATAGTCAAAAAAAAGAATGTAGAAATAAAACAACTAGAAGAAAAAATTGAAAACATTAAGAAGATCAAATGTAAACATAAAAGCTGATTTATAAATAGTTCATAAAATCATAGAAACTTCAAATAAATAATTGTTAAAAATGAAAATAGCATTCAGGATTAATGAATAAATATGTTTACTAATGATTAGTAAAATAACACCTGTTCAATATACAAAACAGCAGTCAGCAATTACACTTACATAGTTATGTAACTATTAATACAAAATGTTAACATGATTTGAATTACTCATTTTGGACTCAAAATACATACATTAAATTTATACATAAACACAGTATTAGAGAAGTAAAAAGACATGGCTTTACGCTTAACTGTAAGACCTATGAGTCAACCACCTATTGCAAGAGAAACAGTTAAGAAATGCAGAAAATCATTGAAAAAAAGTGGTGATTCCTTAAATCATTCCTCAAAGAAATTACGGTTGATAAAAAACGATAAGGATACTAATGGTCAAGACTTTTTTCGCGCAATTTCTTATGGTGAAGATAATGATGATGCTAAATATGAAAGAAATAGAAATGTTTTAACAAATCAGAAAAAAATGACTTCATCATATAATCCTGATTTAAAAGTTCTAGGACCACATAAAACTACTATTAATAAAAATTTGTCAATTGGTAAGTTAATGGGGACGAGATTGGAATCAGATAAGTTTTTAAAACCAAGAAATACACAATTTATGGACAGCAAAAATATTAATTTAAGCTGCTCTGGAGAATCTGTAGAATTGATAGGCCTCGTTTTGGGAGTGTTCAATAGACATGATGATCCTTATGGATCAGCAAAAATATTTACGAAATTTGCAGAAGAAGTTGACATTAAAACAAATAGGAAAATAAGTGATATTTTAGATACAACAGGTCCTATTCCAGTAAAAGGACAACAAAAAGTGCTATACAAAATCGATCCAATGTATCCAGCAACAGTTATAGTAGGAATAGGAGATGAATGTGCTTGTTACAATGAAAAAGAAGAAATAGATGAAATGAAAGAAAATGTAAGAGATGCTGCAGCCTTAGGAGTTAGGACACTACAAGAATTAAATATGAAAACAATATTAGTTGATAGTATGGGGAGTGCAGAAGCATCTGCTGAAGGATCAGCCTTAGGTGTTTGGAGATTCCAGGAACTTAAGAATATTAAAAAACAAATCTTGATTCCAAGATTAGAACTTCATGGGGATTGTGATTATACAGCATGGCAAATAGGATTACAAAAAGCAGCAGCTCAAAACTTAGCCAGGCAGCTTTGCGAAACGCCAGCAAACCTCTTGACACCCTTAGGGTTTGCACAGGCTGCAGTAGAAGTATTATCAAAAGCTGGTGTAAATGTAGAAGTAAAAGGCAAAGATTGGGCCAGAATAATGCAGATGGGAGGATTTCTAGCTGCAGCAAAAGGCTCATGTGAAAATCCTATCTTTTTGGAAATAAGTTATTATGGTTGTGAGCCAGATGTCCAACCAGCTGTTTTAGTAGGGAAAGGAGTAACCTTTGATAGTGGTGGTCTTTGTCTGAAGCACCCATGTCATGCACTCAAGTACATGAGAGGCGACATGGCAGGGGCAGCTTGTGTGGTTGCTGCAACAAGAGCTGCTGCCGCATTACGTCTACCAATAAACATCAGAGGATTAATGCCAATATATGAAAATCTACCTGGATCTTGTGCTATGAAGCCAGGTGATATTATTAGAGTTAAAAATGGTAAATCAGTTTTAATACACAACACAGATCATGATGGTCGTCTTTCAATGGCCGATGCCTTATGCTATTCGACAGAGTATAATCCAAAATTTATACTAGATATTGGTACATTAAGTAAAGAATTATTAGAATCTTTGGGACCTGCTGCGAGTGCTGCTTTTTCAAATAATGATTCTCTCTTTCAAACTTTGAAAAATGCTGCAGTTCACACTGGTGACAGGGTGTGGAGATTACCGTTATGGAATCATTTTTCAAACAAAGTAACTTTGACTCAATCAGCAGATGTCCAAGACAAAGCTGTTGAAACTGGTTTGGCTTGTACTTGTGCTGCATTTTTAAAAGAATTCATTCCCCCAGTAGATTGGTTACATATAGACACATATGCAACTGCAGTTTCAGATGGACACACAGAACAATATCTCACCAAGGGAATGTCAGGCCGTCCCACAAGAACTGTCGTTGAATTTTTGGCACAACTAGCCTGTCATTGTGATGATGATGGCCCAGTAAAAGCTGAAAAACAAAACGAGTAATGCAGTGACTAAGTTATGTAAATCTCGTGTCTTTTTGACTGTCCTAATAACATACAAATAAAACCAATAGCAAAAAGAATTTTATTATTCTGAGATAATATTAACAGTGCCCATATATACTTAAAACCTATTAAAGTTAATATATTCAGTTTATGATTCTTTCTTAAGAATTATGCAAATGTGACTCATTTCATTTCACCATAATGAATTATAAATATTTTTTCATTAGAATAGTCAAGTTTTGGTTTTCAACTTATACTAAGGACAAAGTAAATATTATTCAACATACTAACTTAGCTGTTTTATAAACTTAGATATTTTTTATATCTTACTAACATAATTTGGAGAAAGCAGAAATCCTTGTATATCAAACAATAGGTAAAAGGAACAGTTCAACAAATTGGATAATTTTAAACCAAAGTAACTATTTACTGTCAACTACATCTATTTGTATGACTAACCAGTACACACTTCAAGCACACTTAAACCCGAAATTCAAACATCATTGTCAGTTACCTAACTGGCTACCAGGTAAAAGAAGCAGTTCGTGAACGAACTGGTGAAACAAATCCAACTTTCCAAAGCGAATTTTCACTGAGAACTATTGTTTAGTTATTAAACTCATCGGTACCCAACCTCAATCCCAGGACTTTACTTGACACAGAAAAATTGATCTATTCTCCTAATTTCTTAAATCCTAGTGAGGACGGAGATATCGCCAGGTAAACGGGAGAGCCGTTTTATTAGCAGTATAAATTAAATTAAGTGGAAGTAGTTGGATAAATTAGTAAAATGCTTTTATTTTTCGAATACTCCTACTTCGGTATTTCTGGCATATATATGTTGTTCTAGAGGTACAAGCAAACTTATTCTAACCAGAGTGAAAAAGTGGAAATTAACTTTCTTTACATCCCACATTACGGGCGTAATAATCTAGCAATTTATCTCTCTAAAACCCCTATCCTACATCCCTTTTTGCTAGCCAGTTGATTCGAATTATTTTCATAAAACCGGTCCGGTATCTTGACTAAAGATTTTTTTAGGCAGAAACATAGTTGATATATTTTTTTCAACTAAAAAATCCTTCTTGGAGTGCTACCAATGGGTAGTTTCTCCTCATGTTGTACGTGTCATATTACTTGTTCATATTTACTTCTTGTATTTATTATTAATTACAGTTGTAAATTTCGTTAATAGAAAAAAAAAATCCTTACATTCGATTTTTCATTGTCGAAACATTAAAATTTGACTATTTACGAACTAACGACAGACATGACTTATTCTTCGTTCGGCGCTGTGTTCCGTGAAGGACCTTGGCATCCTCAATAATTTTCCAACACTCAGACCGATCCTCTACCGCTTCTCTCCAATATCTCACACCCAGTGACTTTAGGTCTTTCTTAACATCGTCCGCCCATCTTAGTCGAGGCCTGCCTCTTCCTCATTCTCCATTTGGACGACCTTCCATTATTTGGTTTAGGAGTCTTTTTCGATCCATCCAATAAACATGTCCCAGCTATCTTATTTTCCCCGTTTTGATGCAAAAAACTATATCAGGTTCCTCACATAGGTCTGTAAGTTCTGCATTGTTTTTATGCTGTGAAAATACGACTTCCTTCTTTGGTTGGATCGTATATTCTTCTCCTAATCTTTCTCTACCATATACTCAGCAACCTCGCTTGCTGTTTGGTTGGGTACATGTATCACTATCGTACATGACAACAGGACGAAGCATCGTTTTGTATACCCTTATTTTGAGGTTTTGGGACATCTCTTTATTTTGGAATCCCTTTCGGAGCGACCAATCACATTCATTTCCATTCTCTATTCTTTTTTTTATTTCTTCCTCCACTGTGTTATCGTTGGCTAACATTTTACCAAGATACTTGAATTTATCCACACTTTTGAAACTATATCATTCTCGCAATAGACATCCACTTGCTGCGCCTTTCCTGGATGATACATGTATTTAGTTTTGCTTCCGTTCATCACGGAACCGATGGCCCTGTCATCCAGCTGCCTCTTCACATCCCGTAACTGTCATTAAGAGCGAATCTTGATTATTTCCTGTTATGATCACATCGTCGGCATATGCTAGTCATTGAATCTAATAGCACTATACAGTTGCGTTTAGACATTTCACAAACTATGGGAAACAAAATTATCAAACTTAATTAACAGCGATATTATTACTAAACCTTACTATTTCTTTTTTTTTCTTGATACCGATAGCAGATGGAAAATAACAACAAGAAACAAAAACCCCACCATAGTAAAATAACCATTTATATATTTGTCATATAATTTGTGAAATATCTAAATGCACCTTAAAAATGAAACAATAGATTTATAATAACTAAAATATGAATGAATGAAAATAATTTTAAATATGCGATGAATACTTTTGATTGACATCTATTTGTTAAGCTGCGTTTAGATATTTCACAAACTATAGGAAAAACAATTATCTAACTTAACTAACAGCGTCATGATTGCTTCCCGGGCCAAGGAGTGTGGGCGGGTATTTAAAAAGACTCCATCGGCACCGGGACGCGAACTCGTGACTATTTTTATATCATTTGATTGATATATCAGGTTGCCGGGCAACGGCGGTGCTGTGCACACGCGTTAGCCCATTCGACCACCCCGCCCACTTTTATAAAGTGTCTAAACGCACCTTAAAATATCTAACGAAAACTCCGTCAATCGTTGTTCTATATTTTGTTATGTTTTCATTTGAGTCATTCAACATACCCAAATGTGAAAAAAGTCGACTACAAGTATTTCCAATGTGTCTTTTGAGAAATCAGTATTGAAATTTCCAATTAAAATCATTAGTAATATACATAAAAAAGTTTTGTTTGAGAAGAGTAGATCCTTTGGTGTAGAATAGTAAATTTTCATTGATTAATTCGATGATTTTCTTTTTACTTCGGTTATGCGGGAATTATGCAGTATTTTTACTTTTTTTAAAATAACATTTCTGTTACAGGTGCAGTAATTTATTGAAACACAATCGAGTGCAAGAGAAAATCGAATAGAAACACTTAATTTCTTATTTTTACTTTAACTTTTCTTCTTCTTCTTCTTTGTCTTCCTCTTATGCCATTAGTTAGCGTCGAGGAGCCTCAATCCAGCGTAACCAATCTTCCCGGTCCCTGCTTAGCCGCTTCATCTCATTGAGGATTTTGCCTCTTTTACATCCAATTCTTTGAATATACTCTTGGTATCTGATTCTGGAGCGTCCGCGTAGTCTCCTTGCTGTGGGTCGAACCTCTAATATCCTTATAGGATTCAAGTTCTCATTCATACAGCAGTCATGCCCAAACCACTGGAGTTTCCGTCTTTCTAGAGTGATTCGGTAACTCCTAGTTGCTCTCTAATGCTTTCGTTCCTAATGCGGTCCCTTCTAGTTCTCCCAACAGATCTGCGAAGGGACCTCATTTCTGCTGCCGTTATGCGACTAGAGTGTCTGTTTAGCATTGTCCAGCTTTCTCCGCCGTAGGTGAGTGGAGATAGGTAAACAGACTTATATACGTGTATTTTGGTCTTCTTGTCTACTTCGCGGTGGCTGATAATTCTATTAGTAATCTGGTAATACACCTGATTCGCCTTACATATTCTGCTTGATATTTCGGCGTCTATCTTACCCGAGCTACTAATTACGGTCTCTAAGTAGGTATATTCAGTCACTACCTCAAGTGTCTCGCCATTGCAGATCAGTTGTGCATCTTCCCGTTCTTCCCTCGCCATAACCAGCAACACTTTAATCTTGGAAGTGTTAATTTGCACCCCTTTCCTAAGCAACTCTTCTTCCCATTCTACCAGAGCTTGTTGTAGTTTGGTCTTGGTGTCGGCTATTAGGACTATGTCATCCTCCTATAGAAGGGTTTGTATGAGGACAGTTCTCAAATTCCACTTTCCAATTGTTGTCCACGCAGTTCGGCGTTTACAGATTTTGTGGATTTCATCCATTACATTTATAAATAGAAGGGGGCTTAAGCTATCTCCCTGTCTAACTCATCTCGCAATTGTAAAAGGTTCCGATTCCATACCATTTATCCTTACCACTGCCATGGCTCCTTGATAGGCTGACTGTATGGCTGCCTGCAAGTCTCCAGGTACATCCTTGGCTATTAGGGCATTCCAAATTTCTTTTCTTGGGACCACATCAGAGGCTGACTTCAGATCAAGGAACGCAAGATACAGATTATTACTATAAGTCTAATAAATAAAAATATCTATATTGACTTCTGCAAATTGGCTTCTGAATTGTCTATTGTATTGAAATTTTGAGATATATTAGTCCAAATGTTCAAAGCATAAGTTATTATTTGTTTTTTGGCATAGCCTTTTCCCTTTTTTACTAAGACCCAATTTTGAATAATAGCTCATTACAAAGAGGATGAAAAGCAGATCCGATTTTTAGTTTCTGTATTTATTGTACAGATGTCATATACGAAAATTAGTCAAATCGAGCCACTTTACCCGAACGACCTTTACATGGTCGAGTGTGGCACTCTTTCAATACCCACAAAACAAAGTACTAAGTGCCCCTAAAGAAGTTTCCACTTTAAAAAAATGATATTGTTTACAACTAAACTCATTTTTATAAAAACTCCTATTATTATTACAATTAGCGATTTGTTAATTATATGCTTATAATTTTATTATTATCATATTTATTTATTACAATATTTATACTATGGTCTACTTATAAGTGCATTAGCAACTATTTTTTCAGCCAAAACCAGGACGATAATAACGTGAATACATTAATTTAAAAAAAATTAATAGAATATAATGATAGTCATTCCAAGTCCAACATAACAACTTCTTGTTTAATCCCATAGCTATTGTATAAGAAAAATACTGAGATTCGTTTAGATATTTTACAATCTATGGAACAAACAAATATATCAATATTTATTCCACTATGATAGTATTTTTGTATTTGATTTTGATATTTTCAATCTGATGATGGTATCAAGGGAAATAAAATAAATAATTTGGTTTATCCATAATGTCGATGTTAGTTAAGTTTGATAATTGTATTCTAAACGCGCCTTTAGAACAATTTGAACCTATTTACATAACGAAATGTGAGGATTAAGAAATTAATCTCAACCTTCCTATTCTGGTTCATCTTCTAAAATTCTTGGATATTGGCCATTTTTAGTGTGAAAATGGAATAAACCTGTAAATTTAATGATTCTGAAGCACTAAAATTCATTAACATCTCTCTGCTTTCCACTTGAATCATAAAATTATAGATGGATTCTATAATGCAAATTTTCACAAATGTTTAAGAGAAGGAAAAGCAGTATCTCTATGCTTACATAGCAATATTACAATACTCTGCCGATGAAAGTCATAAGAAGGGACGTTAAAGGAACTACTCTATTTACCACCCCAAGTATCGCAAAATGATATGTGAGATGCTTCATTCAAAAATGAATAAACGTAGGAAATTGATATTACGTATTTCAGATAGTTGTGCCTGAGACGTTACAACTTTTTCGTTGATATCGACTGATTAGAAGTGCTATTTTATTTACCTTCTATTATCCATTCTTTGTCACTGGTAGAATGACTGTCATTATTGGTTATAACATTTGGTTATTTAAACTTTTTTTAACGATTTGAAGTTGTATAACTACAACAATGTCTTTAAAAGTACAACCAGGAGTTCTAACCCTTTTCTGCTTCGGAAATTACAAGACACTAATTTTGGTTTAGCTTTAGTGTAGTTCTTTTAGAACTTGACTTTTGTTTCTTTACTTTTGATTCTGGTGGGGAAGTTAAATTTAACTCCAAACTTGGATTATGGATTTCTGGTTTTAGAATTCTGAGTCAGTACTTTTCGTACAATAACGTAAATCTCTACCCTTTCAAGACATGATAGGATGGGAAATCCTAACACCCAACACTTCTAATGTTGAATAATTTGGATGAAGAGTTCGAGAGATCCCTATCTAGAGTGTTGCTGCAATTGATCTTAATTGAATCTGTCGGCATATCAATGTAAAGCTTTGAACATAATAATTAAACTTATTCGGTGTAATTTATGAAATTAAATTTAAAATAAACTTGGAAGGTTTTTTATAAATAACCTCGTTGTCATATATTGATGATATTAAAATGTAAAAATTTAATTTAATCTGTTTATTATTATTTATAGAAAGAGGTTTTGTAATTATAAACTTCAAAAAAGAACCATGGTTTTGCATATTAAGAGGTAAAAGTGTGAATTTTAATTAACAATCAGCAAAAATAATAATCCCGCCAAAGATAACCCAACACCTGGGTATAAACCCATATTGAAATTTAAGTTATCCAGTCTCGTTAAGTTTAGTGATCTTCAAGTTTAGTTGCTGTAAGTAATCAATATGTCTAAAACTGAATCTGATTTGGACTCTATTACGGAAAAGCTTGGTAAAACATGTTTTTCGAAAGAAGAAGGAGTTTCCTTCGCCGGACAATCAATGAAATTGGACACGAAAACACAAGGTATTATTGTTATAATTTACTTATTGTTTACAAATCCTTGTTTTCTTTGTTATTTTATTTTTTTCAAGGGACCATTTATTTCTTTAAAGTCAATTTTCTTCTTCAGTTTGGTATAATTTTCTTATTTTAATTTAGTTGCTAAGTTCTCATTTGTTTCACTGACACATTTTTGTGTCATGTACTTTATTATGCTCACTTTTCAATGTTTGCTATAAATTACTTAATTTTAAACTGCACATTTACTATTTATTATATATTTGGATATCTTTTGTGTTGGTTGAAGGTCTAAAAGTCATTTTTTGTGACTGGAAGTTAATATATTTTGTTTGTTTCTAATATTGTCTTTGAGAAGTATGATATAAGCCAATGAAACCTTGTTTATATCGAATGAGAACAGTTTTTTTTCATTCATGAGGAATTTGATCATTGTTTCATTAACTTATGGTGTTAGGTCAGTGATAATTTTCATAATAAACAAACGAAAGGTACTAGTATGAGTGCTTCACTTAGAAGAGTGGGTCAATATCTTATGATCCTGCTATAAATGGGATTTATAGAATGGAGGAGGATTGATTGTTCATAGCATTTTCTTTGTTAAATTGCATCACTGCTTCTGACTTTCACTTCCTCTGAAGGCCTAAATAAATTCTTTTTAGTTGAGGTAGAGCCCGTATCTGACTGTTTGGTCACTTCTGTCCTATACGTTTCAGTATTCTTAGGATTTGAATTGTTGTGTGATTATTAGATCTTATGCCATTACAATAGTGGAGCATGACTTGTTCCGTAGTACTCAACAAATTATTCCTTCAACTCATTGCTGCAAATTAATGATTTTTAACTCAAACCCCCTTCTCTTCCTCCTGAAATCATAAAATAGATTATGTCGCATATGTACTCAATTATAATCAATTTTGTTCAAGATTGATATTGGTGAAGTTTTTCAAATGATAAGAAAACCTCTGATGGATTGTTTGCAGTTAAGAATTTGTTTTTGTCATTGTAAGCATAGATCCATGTCAGTGGAGCTCACGATTCATTGTCAGATACCTTCACTAATTTATTTTTAAAAAACTTATCTGTATTTACTTTTAGTGTTACTAATTACTTTGAGATTTTATGGTCAGTTAGATATGATTTTGACCTACATGTCAACCAAACATGCCAAGTTTTACATAAATAGGTACCAGTTTACAAGTGTCACTCCAAATTGATGGGTGGCACAAGATCCATCATCATACTATAAATGGAATTCTTATTGACCTAGAGTGTGTGAAGGGAGAGAGAGGTGACCAAATAATCTGGTAAGAAGACTCAACTTCAACTGAAAAGGGCTTAGTATTATAATTAAGGCCTTGATTTTAACAAGGGCTGGTTGAGAGTTAGCAGAAGTTATAAGTTATGATCTATATTATGGAAGGTTATACTGTGAAGAGCCATCCTCAGAATTTAATTTATAGTGTGATCATGATATCTTAGTCCACCCATTAAAAAGGAGTTACACTTGCAAAATTGTACCTTATATATTTTTATATATTAAAAAAATCTGAAAATAGTTCTTTCCCATAATGAGTTCAAATTTAACTCTGTACACACAGTTTAAATAAATAGTTTGTCTGTTAAAACCTCGTTGTTGTAAACTCTATATGAAGATGACACTAGTAAAAAGTAATTTTTTCTTTATTACTAATTTTAATGATATAGGTACTGTATATTACAATATATTAGATTTCTTATGGATTAAGCTTATTTTAGTTTAAAACATAAATGAGCTTTTAATCTGGGAAGTATTTCGATTATAGGCTGCTCCCAACATTATTATTAGTTGGTGGATCAATAGAAAATCCTACTTTAATTAAATTTATATTACTATGAATCTTTATATGGATATCTTCAATTTTTTCCTTCCAAAGTAACCCTTTGAAAAGACTGTTTATTATGGTACATCCCATACAAATCTATATTATGTACCTTAAATATAACATTTTATCCAATAACATTAACATTAACTAATTAGAAAAACATTTCAATTTAAACATAATAGTTAGTGTAAGCATAACTAAAATAAACATAAATATGAAAAAGATATAAAAATCAATGAACATAGTTTCTTAAAATTAAAAAAGTTATAAAGCAGGTAAATATAATTGCATATTCTTTATAAATTTATATATTATGCACAATTATGGGTGACCTTATCTAATTTGCTTACCATTTACTAAGTTTTTTTTTTTAAAGTGTTGTCATGATCGATTTAGATCTATGCCGTTCCTATAATTGACAGTCATAAATTATATGTTTAAAAATTTGTTCTTGTCCGTCTAGAGAGCAAGTATCGTCGCTAATTAAATTAAATCTTTTTAAGTTGATTTGGTCTGTCCATGTTCAGTTAAAGTCTGTGTCAGTTTGTAGTTTGTAGATTTTAGTAAGTTATAGTTGTTTTTGATATTTCTGGAATAAATCTATGTAAACTTGGTGATTTTTCTGAGATAATCCATCGTTCGTTCGAACTTGAAATTGAACTTTATATGAGACAGTGGTGTTTTATCATATAACGAAGATAATAATAATAATGATCATCTTTTTATTTTATTCTGGGACATGTCCCTTTAGAATAATTAACAAGGACAAAAATGTGGGTTTTTGAGCCTCAGATATATAAATGTATTTACAAAGTAAAATAATAGATAAAATAGAAAGGAAAAAAAATCTTCTAACTTAAATTGATTAAAAAGAAAAATAAATAAATGAAGGAACAATGAAATGAAAATAAACTAATAATATATATACATATTTACAGAAATTTCTATTTACAAGTTTATAGGGATTGGATGGAAAGGAAGTGATTGAATAGGCGGGATTTAAAAGTAGGGAGAATATTGGAATGATGGATGTCAGGAGGGATAGAGTTCTATAAGGATGGGGATCGAATAATAAAAGATTTATCGAATGCTGCGGTTCTGTGGGCCACGATATATAAATTGAGTGAACAGAGGATTTAAATTGAAGGAACTCTTGAGATGTATGAAGGATGGCGGCAGTGAATGACTTGGAAGAGGAAGGATGCCAGGAAATACTTACGGCGGTAGGAAGGATTGAGCCACTTCAACTCTTCATAAAAACAGAAAACAGGGGCGTCCCTTGGGGTCCCAAAGATGAATCGTATAAAGCAATTTATGAAACGTTTTAGTTTTGCCTCGAGATCCCCAGAGACGCCTCTATATAACGTGCAGCAATAGTCAAAGTGGGCAAATATTAAGGAGATGACCAGGAGTCTGCGGGTTTCAAAAGGAAAAGGGTAACGGAGGCTATTTAAATGTTTTAAGGTGGAAAAGGTACGTCGGGAGATATTGGATACATGGTTTTTCCAGGAAAGGGTTTGATCAAAGATTATTCCTAGGTTTTTGATGGTGGGATAAAATTTGATGGGATTATCATGTAGGAACAGGGTTGAAATGTTAAGAACAGTTTTCATCAGGTGATTGGAGCCTATAAGGATTGCCTTTGTCTTTTCCGTGTTCAACTTCTGCTTATTAGCTCTTGCCCAGTTACATTTTCTATTTAAGTCTTCTTGAAGTTTTTTTTATAACGGCTAATAGGTCAGAAGGAGGTAAGGACAGGTATGTTTGGAAATCTGTCAACATAGATGTGGTATTGGGTGTGATGGATCATGAGGGGAAGGTCATTAATAGCAAACAGAGTAGGAGATAAGGAGGAGCCCTGAGAGACACCAGAGAATCGCAGTAGTTTCCATTTTGATTTGGAATCAGGAGCATTGGACAGGGCATTGCGGAAGTAGTTGGATTTAGCAAGTCGGATTATGGATTGGGTTTCATTGCGGAGTTGTTTGAAAGATGCATAGTCAACAGGCAAACGTTTTTGATGGTATTTGCGCCTTGCTGCATTCCTTCTCTTTATTTCAGGAATTAGACGATTTATAGTTCTGGTTTTCTGAGGAGCATGGATGTCTGATATGGATTTTAGGTTTGAGGTAAGAGTGGATATCATAGGGTCTATGAAGTAGTACAAAAATATGATATCCCATTGGACAGAAACAAGGTCAGGTTGAAGGGATTCATAGGAAAGAAGGTTTAAATTGTGATAAGAAACTATTTTGGGAGTAAATGTTTTCACGGGCAATTCGTACGAAATTTGGATCTGGTCATGTGATGATAGAAAAGGTACAGAGTGTTGAAAGGAGGAAAGGATTCTAAAGGGTGAGTCAGAGATGTGGAGGTCTAACCAGGTGTCAGAGAACTACATATGATGAGTGGGCGAATAAGGAACAAGATAAAGATTAAGGGAAAATATTAGGTCAGAAAGGAAGTATTTTTCGGAAGATTCTGAGTGTATATTTACATTGAAATCAGCAGAGATGACATTGGGGTAGATGGAAACTACGTTAACAAGAGAGGATTCAAAGAGATGGTCCAATGCAGCAACACAAGGAAGGTAGTAGACTACAACATATAATAAACGAGAGGAGATAGAAATAATTTCGACAAACAAATATTCGATGTGAGGGAAGTCATGAGAGAGAGACTAAAAGGATTTTGGCCTTAAGACTATCATGTATATATAGTCCGACACCACCTCCCATGCGATCAGATCTGTCATGACGGAGGAAAGAGTAATTGGGGAAGGAAATTTGTGAGGAAGGAATAAAAGGTTTCAGCCAGGCTATTGTGTAGTAAAAATTATATAAGAAATATTTCTGGAATTCGTCTTAGTGGGCATTAAGGGATTGTGCATTAACGTAACAGGAGTTTAGGTTATTAGTCATGACTATGATGTTGGGAAAGAGAGTTGTATGGAAAAGGATCAAGGATGGAGAATAGGATATAACAATTTTTTAACTAAAAATTCATTTTTGACATAGCAGCAGAAGGATATAAAAATAAACTAAATGTTGAAGAGGACAAATTAAAATCACCGAAATTCAAATAAAAAATTATATACAAGATGTAAGAAAATATAGGTATTACACGGTGGGCCAGACCCCCTTACCGTGCACCCTCCCCCCCCCCCACATCCCTATAAATTGCATATCGTTGTGTTCCTTGTGACAATTTATTAAAAAAAAGCCAATGTTCCCACAAAAAAAAATGAACGAACTGCCTCAAAATGGCCTCCAAACATGGCGGATTGACGACTTTGACTTTAGTTAGTTTTTTTGTTACTGAGAATCAGCATTTGGCTTAATTTCATCATGGTTGGTCTTTTATTAAAGCTGGATAGCCAGAGAATAATAAAACATGAAAAAATATTAAAAACTAATTGGCTTAGGCAATAAAAAACATAGGCAAAGTCAATTTTTTTAACAAACAAATTTTCAAGTTGAAAATCAAGCGTCGTTTGTAATTAAACGGCCAACAATAATGCAAAACGTGCTGAAATAAAACATCTGGAGAATACATTTCTCTTTATAAAACACTGATTACTTTTTAAAATATTTGAAGTAGTTCCGTAGAAAATGCACATAAGCGGCAGAAAAGCGCTTCTGGCGTAGGTGCCTTCAGGCCTCTACCACACCACTCAGTACAAATAAATGGCTTAGTTATAGTGATATAATAATGTTTTTGTTATATTATATTGATTGCATTAATGAACAAATATTAATAAAATAATTTAATTGTTAAAAAAAAATTAAAATATTTTTTTTAAATTTATTTTTATTATTTAAATTTATTATTTTATTTTTTTAAATTTAACTTCCTTTATTCTATACGGAGGTCGCTTAAAAAGGCCTCTACTGTAAAAATTATATAATTATAATATTAAAACTTAATTCAAAATACTTTGCAGAATATCTTGAATTTTTTATTTATTAATGTTTGCAATTTAACACTTTGTTTTATATATTTACTGATTCTTAGAGGTAATTTAAATTGTATATACTTGTACGCAAATGAGTCATATTAATGTCTGTCTTATAAACTAAAGTAATATATACCTAATCTGAACTACTTTTAATGAATAGGTGATGGATTGTTTAGTAAAATGTATATATCACTATTAAAAAAATCATTTTTATTTCCTTTATTTTGTTTGGAAGTTGGACCATATCATAAAAAATAGGAAATTTTAATATTAAATGCATTATTCTCTCTGCACAAAAGAAACATGGAAAGGGTGAAGCTATAAGCTCTTCTAGGTAACGGGAACTGATTGTAGTATTTGGTCTCAAAATGAGTGAAAACGCGAAATTGAACCCAATCATTGGAAAAATACAAGAAGCGAACGACAAAGGAAGTCTCAAAATTTCAGAAAAGAAAACAAGGATCAGTATCCATTATATGGCTAAACGAATATATAGTAGAACAGAATATTTCAGGTCAAAATGCTTGTTCAGTTTGGATGATATTAAGCAGGTTTATTATGGTGAATACCATTTCATCAGCAAGAAAGACTTGTTCTAAGCAATTGGCAAGTCAGCTGGTCTCGACGAAGTAACCCGACATGCTGTGCGTACAAAGGCTACAAATGTATTAGAAAATGATATGAAAGGACTGTAGTTTTGTTCCTTTACAGGAAATGTAATACCAATCGAGATTCCTTACTGTTTATAGTACTAGAGAGAATAATGCATTTAATATTAAAATTTCCTATTTTTAATGATATGGTCCAACTTCCAAACAAAATAAAGGAAATAAAAATGATTTTTTTAATAGTGATATATACATTTTACTAAACAATCCATCACCTATTCATTAAAAGTAGTTCAGATTAGGTATATATTACTTTAGTTTATAAGACAGATATTAATATGACTCATTTGCGTACAAGTATATACAATTTAAATTACCTCTAAGAATCAGTAAATATATAAAACAAAGTGTTAAATTGCAAACATTAATAAATAAAAAATTCAAGATATTCTGCTAAGTATTTTTGAATTAAGTTTTATTATTATAATTATATAATTTTTATAATAGAGGCCTTTTTAAGCGACCTCCGTATAGAATAAAGGAAGTTAAATTAAAAAAAAAATAATAATAAATTTAAATAATAAAAATATTTTAATTTTTTTTACAATTAAATTATTTTATTAATATTTGTTCGTTAATGGAATCAATATAATATAAGAAAAACGTTATTATATCACTATAACTAAGCCATTTATGTGTACTGAGTGGTGTGGTAGAGGCCTGAAGGCACCTACACCAGTAGCGCTTTTCTGCCGCTTATGTGCATTTTCTATGGAACTACTTCAAATATTTTAAAAAGTAATACACTCACTGCATCGTATGAGATTGTTCTGTAAGCCTTGGAAACTTTAATGCCAAAGAGCCTTTGTAATCGTTGAAGCTTTTGAAGATTGAATTTTTTCTTAATCGCTTCGTGCCAGATTGGTACAGCTTAAAGTATCTTGGGAATTAAAGCTGCTTCATAAATTATCTTCAGACACTCGGATTTTAGGCCCCACATAGCTCTTGCAGCAATGGTCAAATAGGTTATAGTTAGTAAACTCCTGAAGTAAATGCTTTCAATCTGTTTCCTCCAGTTTAGTTTTCTGTCAAATAGAACACCCAAAAAGATTAGTGTTTCAGTTTTGTTTATCTGATCTTTATCTATTATTAGTTTTAAGTCCAGTAGAATTTATTTCTTGTTAAAATTAATATATTTGCATTTCTGTGTATTCAGTTTAAATTTGTAAGTGTTTGTTCAGTCAAGTATTTTTGTTAATACTGAATTTGCTATTATTTCTAAATGTTGAAAGCATTTTCTCCTGATTAAAAGTATTATATCTTCTGCATAGATAATCAAAATAGATAATAATTTTGAGTCCGTTGGTAAGTCAAGTTCAAAAATTGTATTTATAAGGATAATTCAGGAGAAAGACGACACAAATGATCTTTGAGGTGTCCCTATTGAAAGAGTTTTTGTATAGGAAAAAGTATTCATTTTATAGATACATTGCCTATTTTCGAGAAAACTTTTAATTAGCAAATATAAATCATTAGGACAGTTAAATTTTTTAAGATTATATAAAATTGCAGGCTACCAGGCATTGTCAAATGCTCCTTTGATATCGAAGCTGATTGGTAGGAGTTGATCACTTTCTCTTAAAGTATTTTTAATATCCACCATCATTGTATGTAAAGCGTTCAGTGTTCCAGTTTTTGGTAAAAATGCAAATTGGTATTTGCCTAAGATTTCATGTTTAATTACATAATAGTTAAGCCTGTTTTTTATATTTTTTTCGAAGATTTTACTTAAAATTAGTAGCATGGTAATGGGTCTAAACTTATCGCTTCCTGCTTTTAGTACAAAAACTAATAGACCAATTTTTCAATCGTCTGGAAACTCTTTTCTTCTAATTTATACGATCTTATGCCTCTTGTTAGCCAAATATCTCATAGAAACTTTATGTTTCTTTCAAATCACATTAGAATTTCTTCTTGCATAGCAGTTTCTAATAGACTGAAACTGAGTTTCACATTTAATGTTTTCAGTTTTTTTTATTACTTTATTTTTATTCTAAATAGTTAAATGAAAAATTATATGAGTATGGAAAAGGTTCTTTAAATTTGTGTCTAAGGATAGATTTTCTTGGTATTATTATATTAGTAATATAAGAACATATCACTGAGTCCAAATTTAACACATTTTCGATAGTATGAATCATAATTCACTGATAAATCTTTTGAAAAGGATGAGTGAAAATGGAAAACCTGGGTTGAAGAAATGCACTGACTGTAATCCCCAACCAACTTCACATCAAAAATATTTTATAAAATTAATGTGTTGTTATTTATTATACTGTTATATAATATACTAACATTCCAGTTTCATGTTTATACAAACAAAACTATCAACTGTTTATTTGAGAGCAAAATAAATGGAATATCTCTCCTAAAAGAAAAAGGATAAACATGAATTTCTTTTTAGGTAAGTTTTTGCGAATTGAGTGCCTGAAATGCTTCAAGAATATCTCAAAAGTCATCCAGGTGTTTTTGTTAGCTTGTATTTTACGTTTGTGTTTTGAGATTCTTGAAGTACCTGGGCATCTTGGACTTTCCCATAATGAGAGGCACCTATTACAGGTTTCCTTCATGCTAAAACTTTAACCAATACAGTGAGACAGCTTTTGATTTTTTCTTCTGGTTTATGATTTTTTCCCATCTGTAGTAGTTAAAATATTGGTAAATATATTTATTTAAATTATTATTATTTTCATATTTACATTTCTATTTTTATTTTCTACAGCTCAAGTTGTAGTTGATCAGATTAATGCCTGCCCGAATTTGGAGTATCTTAATTTAGAAGGAAACACTTTAGGCATAGAGGCTGCAGAAGCAATCGGAAAAGCACTCGAATCCAAAAGTGAGCTGAAAAAAGCACTATGGAAAGATATGTTCACTGGACGTATGAAAAATGAAATACCTACAGCTTTGGTAATTAATTTTATTTAGCACAATGGATGTTATTGAATATTCAATGTGTTACTGTTTGAAACTAAGAGCGTAAATAACAAATCACTCAATTTAGCATTTGCAGACAAGATTCTTTTGTTTATTTTTTAAAAATAAATCTTTACATCTCTTTCATTTAAAGGAAATAATCAATCTTTAAAGTAAATTTTATTTTTAAAGAGATTTGTCAACTTTAAAAAAAAAAAAAGTAGATTAGAATTATTAGAATATTTCTTATCAGCGAAAACCAAAACCCCGAGAAAAGTGACTTACTAGGTGCCTCCTCCCCTCCTCCCACATCTGGCTCATTACCTAGGAGTGGGGACTTTCAGTGTGTTTACCTCCTTACTAGTAAAAAAAATGTCCCCAAGTCAAAAATTCCCCTCATTACCTTCTATAGTTATTCATTGACTGGATTGACTATAGACTGGATTATTAATCATTTGTTTTGTAAAATATAACATTTAATAATGAGGATGTAGAACTGAATCCAGGAGGGGTTCTAACAAGAATTAAATATTTTGGTTCCATAATTGAAATAGATGGTGCATGTGATATGAAAATAAAAATTAAATTTTCAGATGGCAAAAAGATCATATCAATGCTCAACTAGGTATGAAACCGCAACATCCCCAAAACAAAAAACAAAAAAATCTACAATAATATAACACTGAGCATTATGACATAATATGGGTCAGAAACTTGGACCATAAAGAGCTCAGGAAGAAAGTTCTAGCCTCCGAAATGGACTACTGGAGATGAGCGGCAGGAATATCCAGAATCGATAAAGTCAGAAATACGACCATCAGAGAAAAGATGGAGGCTAAAAGAACCATTCTGGAAGAGATTGAGATAAAACGCCTGAAGTGGTATGGGCATTTGAAAAGAATTCCTGAAGGAGACTACCCAAAGAAGTTCACTTATGGAAAACTAGGAAAAAAAGAAGACGAGGGAGACCTGGGATAAGGAAGTAGAAGAATCCATGATGGGTCATGGTCTATGGGAAGAATGGACCTTGGATAGGACACTATGGAAAGAAGCCATCCTAGCACTTTAGTTTGAGGAAACCCACTATTAGTGGAAACTCCTAATAAAAAAATTTGTAAATGGTAGCATTTATTTCAAGACCTAATTTTCGATCAGGTAACATGATTTCATGAACCAAAAATATTTCTTATAAACTAGTCAATGTATCTGCTGAAGCTAGAGTTTCTAAAATATATCCTTAGGCAAAAAATTGTGCCGCCTCCATTTCCTTCTATACCACCTTTTCGAGCATTCATTGACTGGACTTAACAGTTTAGGGATGGTGATAGTCATATTGATATAATATGTATGCAACATTTTTCGAGGCTCTATGATATCTGAAATAAGTCATAATCTCGAGAAAATGAAGGAACAGTTGAAAAGAGGTAATGCTTCTTTACTCGAATAATTCCTTTACAGTAAAAATAGGAGAATATGTTAAGGCTTATATTGCACGTTAAGGCAAATTGGTGATATCGGCTTATCACCAATGATGACACTGAATCTTAAGGTTTGGTAAGCTTTTTATAATTATTTTTAATATGCTGGTGTGTGCTGTAGTTTATAATTTTTATTTTATATCCATTTTAATATGGATTTATTATTTAAAGTGGTGGTAGTAGAAGGTTTTTCTCAGTAATTTAGTGCTCATTTGCTACAATATATATAATTATTTATTAAATGGTTTTAATTATTGATAAGAGGAGCTGTGATAAAATAAAAATCAAGTAATTGTTCTATTAAGTGGAAAATAAATGATTTACACTATTTAAAACATTTTATTTATTTTAGAAAGCTCTTGGAAAAGGATTAATAACAGCCAAGGCTCAATTAGAAGTTCTGGATCTTAGTGATAATGCTTCTGGGCCAATAGGCGTTGAAGGCATAATTGATCTTATCAAAAGTCCCACCTGTTATACATTGAAAGAATTGAAGTTGAACAACATGGGTTTGGGTGTAGCAGGTGCTAAGGTATTCATTTAATTTTATTTATTACTTTCACTTACTATAGTAAATATAATGTAATATACAGTACGGTAGAGTTTATTCTTATATAGGAGTAATAATTAATAGAAAATAAAATGAATTAAAATGCTATCACTAATTATGTAATTAACACTTTTTGAATCAAGAACAATTTCTTTATTTATATTAATTTTCACCATTAAAATTTTATAAATGTATATCGGTGTATTTTTTTATAGCTTCTAGCTGGTGCTCTAATGGATTGTTACAAAAAATCAAAAGAAGCAGGAAAACCATTAGCGTTGAAAGTTTTTATTGCTGGAAGGAATAGATTAGAAAATGAGGGAACAAAAGCTTTAGCTTTAGTGTTTGAGGTAATTTTTTTTTTATTTCAAAGCAGTACAATTATTTAATTTAAGATCCGTTGAAAATATGTGATGTATATTATGTGTTTTGTTCTTTTAATAAAGGCATTAGGTAGTCTAGAAGAAATACAAATACCACAAAATGGAATATACAGACTGGGAATTGAGGCACTATCTAGAGCACTTGCTTGTAATCCCAGACTGAAGGAAATTAATCTCAATGACAACACCATTAATCCTGAAGGTTCAGCAGCTCTTTCAGAAGCCATCACTAAGCTTCAGAGTCTTGTAAAATTAGATCTTGGAGATTGCCTTTTGAAAACGAAAGGTGCTGAATTCCTTGCTAAATCACTTAAAGAAGGTCATTATGCACTTGAGGTATGTTTCTGTGTATATTTCCTAGTTTCTGTTTCTGTGTGTATATATACATATATATTTATATTTTATAGGATTAGCACTCTTATTTAACATAATTTTGTATATTTATTTCAATCAATAGGCAAATTGCTCAATTATAGATGATAAAAAAAATAAATTAAAAAAGACATACCTTCTTTATCTAAAAAAATATTAACAATTATAAATAAAAGAAATACCAGTGTAGAGCAGATTAACACGACCACTATTCAAGCTTTTAACATGATTTCCAGACTTTATAGCAAAAACAGTGTTTATAGTTTTGTTAGCTCTTTAGTAAGATTTGAAAAGTTACTTATTGTTTGACTCAACTCTAATGATAGAATTTGACTGTGAGTCAAGTGAAAAAATAAATGTTTTGAGCTTTCCTGAGTCCGAATAACAAAACTGTGTGTATGTGTACAGTCTACCACAAAAACGAAAAGTCTTATGAATCTGAAATTACATATTTAAGGTGCTGTGTATGCCTGGGATTTAACAGCAACGTTTTTGTCAAAATCTGCTTACAGAGAATACATAGATTTTACACATTCTTAAAAAAAAAAATATTTTTTTTATTATTAGAAGAAAGATTTATAACTGCAATAATTTAACATTTTAGAAGCAATTGGAAATTACCAATGTGTTAGTTCTGTCAACTGTAATGCTTGTTTTGTACTCTAGAATTTTTACCTTTAATAAAGTTGTAACCACTAAGAATAGAACACGCAAGATGGTATGAACAGTTGTTCCTCTAACCCCACTTGAACGCTTCTTTTGTGCTGTGTGTTCAGAGTCAAAATATTTTGACTATAAATCTTGAACATTTTTTCATCCTTACAAATTTCAAAAGTCAACTACTTACACATTTCTAAAAATTATTTATCTATAACATTTTTCAGGAATTGGTGGTATCTTTTAATAGTATTAAAATATCAGGAGGTGTAGCATTAGCTGAGGCTGTGATGTCTAAACCAAGGTTTAAAAGATTGATTGTAGATGGTAATAAGTTTGGTAATGGAGGAAAAGGAAAAATGAAACAAATCGCGGAAGCTGCTGGGAAAGTTGAATCATTAGGCTGTATGAGGTAACATTTTAAGTTGATATAGATTAACCAAGTTATACCTTTTATTAGATTAGATTAGCTAAGCCCTCTTATTAACATTTTCTGTTGTCTAATTTTTACTTTCACTTACCTATATTTTTTTTTTTTTTTTTTTTTTGGTCCTTCCCTTCCTCGCCGTTAAGGCTATACGGGATTTTCCCGGGCCAGGGAGTGTGGGCGGGGATTTAAAAGACTCCCCCGGCACCGGGACGCGAACTCGTGACTATTTTTATATCTTCAATTCATATGTCAGGTTGCCAGGCAACGGCGGTGCATTGCACACGCTTTAACCCATTCGGCTACCCCGCCTACTTCACTTACCTATATATAAAATATATAGTAAGAGAAACTATTGCAATAGTGAAAATTTTCGACTCTTGAGTTTTCAATGGAAACACACTTATTAAGGTTCCCAGAGTCCAAATAATTTGTCTGGAGCCTTATAGAAAACTTATATTACCTATTTAAAGTAGGTGTATGTCTGGGAAGGGAGTGGAATAGCTCAGTGAGTTAGCCACTATGGTACTAACCTCAAGATCTCAGGTTGAATCTGGTTTATGTAAAGTAATTTTTTATCAGCAGTGGATCAACCATAAGGGAAACCCTTCTTGGACACATACACCCTCTATAAAGTGAGTACTCTTAATTGAATAATTAAATTAATGAAGGGAAAAACCTGCCGGTTGAGCGTGATTCTAGACCGATCACATCTCTGCACAACCGTTGGCCTTGAAACAGTACTACTGGCAAAATACTGAACCCAAAAACCTTCACGGGTTGCAGTGGTGTACAGATATGTCTGAGATGTTACTGCAAGTTTTTCGCTGAAATTGGCTAACCATAAGTAACATTCATAGCATCGACTTTACATATTTTTTTCAATTTTCTCAAGAATGGCTTTAACAATTGCAATTGAACACGGTATATCAATCTTGAATTGAGTGATCTGTAATATTAGATAGGTATTATCCCTATAAAAATATTCTGACAGAGCTTAAATGCCGAATTTTCAAAATTTCTTCTGAAATGCTTGACATTTGTTTGCTTGAATTAATTAACTATTTCCACTTTCTAACTAATTATAAAAAATAGTTAAGTATAAACGATGAAAGCCATAGGTAATCAAAGGAAAAATATGGGCTGATAAGGTAGGAACTGAGACCAGACATAAACACCTTAGTTCACTTTTGTTTTGCGGGTATGTTAGAATGGTTTCCAAGTGTTCCTAACCGTTCCCCTGCTGCAACTGTCTATTCCTAATTTAGGGAGTTTCACTAGTTTAGGGAAATGGGTTCTCGCCGATAACATTCAAATAAGTACCGGAATAAGTGATAAGAACCTCTTGTGAAAATTTATATTTTTTATATGGTCCATCTCTTAACATGTGCCTAATATGATATATCAGAGATGAGAACATTGGTCCAATAATAATTCCTAAAGTCTGAAATTCTCATAAATGGTGTTAATATTTATTTATGTATATTATAGCAATTTTTCAATTTATGACGACAAAATTTACCTACACTTAAACTATTAAAAATACCTACAATGCAACATAAATAAATTTAGTGGTTTCATTTATCACTGACACTCTCTTCAGAAAAAAAACGCTGCAAATTATTCCACAATGGTTTATTATTTCCAAACAATTATACATCGTAAGTAACATTATCTTCCTAGTTACAAAGAAAAATAAGTAAAAGGTGATTCCAATTATTGAAATTTTTTTTTTTAATCAGTAATATGCTAAAAAAAAAATAGCATTACTTCAGTAACACATTCAAAATTTAAAAACCAAAGGATATAACATTTGGAGTAGAACATATAAAAAAAACCGGAGACCATATCTTTGCTCCTAATTGTACGATTTTAACAATTTTGTTTTGGTTTTTAGAAAACCATATACACTATCAACAAAAAAGTATAAACTTTTTGAGTTATTTGGAATTTAATTTTACCATCCCTCGTAACTACTTTTTTTCCAGCTTCTTTTTGTTGAAGTATGTTATATAGATAAATTTAAAGGGCGTAGAGAAAATGTCTTTAGCGAAGTTTCATTGAAATTGGTACATTTGTTTAGGCGCTACAGTCTATAGCAGTGCAGGTTTTTGGTCGCCATTTTGAAAGTAAAAGGCGGATGTCGATGAAGGAGGATCATCCTCGGATGACCTCTGATTTTATATCCAAATTAGAAAAAAATTGGTGCAGTAGTTGCAGAGAAAATTCGTGGACGGCGGACAGACAAAAAATTTGTATTCGTTTTTCGAATTCTACGTATCCTGAAACATGAAACCTCAAATTTTGAGAGGGTTCAAGTTTTTGAATTTTTTGGTCGATCACAATGGTTGATTTTTGAAAATAATAAACCAAAAATATTGATTCTCTTATAATTATAATTTAATCTATATATATACAAATGAATTTATGTCTGTCTGTTTGTCCTTTATGCATTACTATATCATTCATCCAATCGCCATGAAACTTTGGGAAGTTGTTGCGTACACTCCCACGAAGGTTTCTGGCATAGTGCTTCTGCCTTACGATAATTTTATAAGTGTAAAAAAATAAGAATATAATTTTTTATTTGTTCAAAGCCGTTATTCTCCGAAAGTTTTTCATCGATTGCTTTGAAATTTTGACACAGCATTGCAATCGAATTCAGGAGTGTTTTTGAACACTTTATTGCCATCTGGCTTTTCGTTTCGAAATGGAGGCCAAAAAACCGTAGCGCCAAAACGGCTTTAACAATTTTAACGAAACTTGCCAGAAGTCTTCCCCTTGAAACCCTTTTAATTTATGTGTATAACATACTTCCCTGAAAATAAACTAAAAAAATATTACGATGAATTCAAAATTTTATTTGCCAATAACTAAAAAAGTACAGAATTTTTTATTGATAATACCAAATATTATTATGAATTCCCTACAAAATAAAAAAAATAAAATCTTTAAAAACGGACTATTCGTTGCAGAGATATTTAGTTTTAAACATTTAGTACTTTTTCTTTAGCAAAGACAATTTTCATTTTTTTGGTTTTTGATAAATCGAAAACGTTACATTTAATGAAGTAACTGGGAATATTATTTGAAGAGATGATATTGAATGATACCTCATAAATTAAATTTAATAGTAAATTCTATAGTTGTTCTCATTCTTAACTTAAATACTGCACAAGCATTAGTTAATAAAACACAAATGAGAGTGAAGTACTAACAGGAGCTACTTTAAATTAAAAAAATTTTATTTCAAAGAACAACATTCTTTTTAATAGTAGGAATATTAAACCACGCGCGTATTTAAATGCAACATCAAGGCAATGGGTGAAGAGCTCACCGAGATTTAAGAGTTTGAACAAATGAACATTTACATTTTTATTTGCCATAAAATAATCAACATTAAAGTTGAACATTAAACAATACATTAAATATAAAAAAATAATAATAAAATTAAACACGAAAATATATGAGTGGCTTCATATCAAAGACGGATCTCTTTCATTTTCAGAAATCAGAGATTAAGTCAAATTTGAGATAAGTTCAATTCAGACTGTTTCTGATGATTAAGAATGACGGCGTATTCTCTCTGATGATTAAGAATGTTCAAGTTGAATCATGAAAAAAAAAGTCATTAGAATTAATTTAAATTGAAGCCACAGACAGACAAATTTGTTTCTCAACTTTTTAAAAATGACAGATGTCCTTTGGTATTAATCCACTCTTGTGTGCTTTCTATTTTCTTTCTTTTCCATTTTGCCAGACTGAGCCACAGCACTTTATGCATGACTGGATAAAGACAGTAAATAACAAAAATTGAGTTATAAAAGAAATTGGACAGAGACAAATAAACTTGTTTGTACTTTCATCCCAAATCTCTCAATTATCATGTGGAGGATATTCCTCTCAAATCAATCTTAGATGCTGGCTAGTGTCTAGATCTCGCAGCTGTATATTAAAACTGGGTTTTTGTAATTACAATTTGGCTGTCATCAAATTGAGATTTTTCAAAATCTCAATACTCTTATCTGCAAAACATGTGTTGTGCAGCACAATATATAAACATGCTAAAATCATTCCAAGTTCAAGTCCTGGGCCAGGAGCTTTAACTTTGGCATTATAAATTGTTTTGAACACTGAAGTCTTCAGATATTTTTCCTATTATCAGGACTCACCATATAGGATTATTTGTGCACGCTTTCACCAATGTTTTGAGAATTTCCAGTTCAATCATGATCCTCCAAAGACACTTTTTGTGCATGGAATCACAGGCTATTTTGAAATGGATAAATAAGATGTCCAAATTCTGGCTATTTTCCATCATTTTTTTAGTATCTTTTTTTAATGTGAAGATCTGGTCTAGCATACTTTTTCCCTTTCTAGGAAATTCTGCTCTGTGATCGCCTGTTATATTTTCGTAAGTCAAATGTATTCGATTTTTCAGAACATTGGTCATTATCACTCTGTGATTACTACACTCACCTTTCTTTATGATAAAGCAGATTATTACTTGGGGTCCTTGTCCAAACTTGATATTTATCTTCGGTTGATGCATATATGTTAGTTGAGGTATCAAACCAACAACCTCTAATTTGTAATACACCTGTCCTCTTGTTAAAAGTTGATTTCCTTGCAGCTGTGCTAACTAGAAATGCAGTGCTACTTGTTCTACTTATGCTGTTTTTTTCCGCAGTAAAATAGTGTATAGCCATAATGTTTTCACCACCTTCTGGCCATCTTATCATTTGCATGTCAGTAGTATCTTTTTAGTTTGTTGACAAACGTTGAAGTGCCATTTATTTAGTGCTTATAAGCTCCCAACATTTCATGATCCAATGAAAAGTCTGTGATACAAATCTGGGGTCGTTATCATGTTAAAATAGTCAGATTTTCTGAGGCCAGTTTTAGGTTTCGTGATTAGGTGTTTTTTTGTAAAATCAGGTTATTAGTCCTATGCCATCCTCCCAATCTAGAGAACCAGGAGCTGTGGTGTAAGACACGAATGTTGCTAATCTCCATGTGCCTCTCAGGGTGAGAATGTTACTGCCCTCACACGGTAATCAAAGGCTTCCTTTAGTGGTCTGAGTACTCAGTTAGTATCTGCATTTATTACATAAATAATACACAAATTTTTTTGTTAGAAATACATTGAATAAGTGTTTTAATTGGTTATTACCTATGTTAATTTTTAGTTGTTTCATTCTAATTAGAATTACAATAATGATTTTAATGATCTAATATTGGTAATTATTTTGGATCTATGAAGATATTAAATAATTTTATGTAATCTCTTGGTTCATTTTTACAGAATTTGATCTTTATACAGAACATGAAGATCAAATTCACCTATTGATTATTTGCCTTTTATAACTTATTTCCTTGTGAATATTTTTACCTGTTTAGCTCAGCAGAATTAAAAATGAAAATTGAATTAGTATTTATGGCTTTCGTTTTCACTTTTTTAATTTGGTTGATTTGATTACAGATAAATTAGCCTCTTTTATTTTGTCTTTAACTGTTTATTGTAACAATGTTTTTAATAAGTTTGATGTTAATTGTTCATTTTTATTTTAATTAGTGATGATGAAGGAAGTGATGAAAGTGAAGATGAAGAAGATTATGGAAACACACCATATAGTGATGATTCTTGTGAAAGTGATGTTTGTAGCGAGGGTGATGAAGAGGAAGAAGATAAAAATTACGTTGAGAATACATCGACGAGTGATGCTAGCAGTGGAGGTTATCCTGACCGGATAGCTTCTGGATTAACAGGACAGGTTGAAATATTGAAATAAATATCATATCATTTTAGTAACTGTAGTAATTCAATTTTATTATATTATTTAATTTAGTAACTTCAATTCATCCAAAAAGTTGGTTTAATTTAATTGTTTATTTCAGAAATATCACTTGACCAAACTTATCATTATGTGTGTATATTCATTTTTTAGCAAAATCGATTCTCTGAAACTTATACCACTATAATAACCCATGAAGGATCTTATGTTCAGTTCTATGTAAAGGTACTATTTCGCTGGTGCGGTCCACGACCGCGACTGCTCGCGGTTGACTACTGCTTTAGTTGAATAGAAAGGAACCTATTTCGCTGGCGCTGCTCGGCAGTCTAGGTATGACGTCATATCTAAGCTGCTCGTATCTGACTCCTCTTGAAGCAGTGGAGCTGTTGGCGGTTGTAGGTTATGTTATCATATCAGAGCATTGTTTTGATGATAACAGTCACGTCGATATGTTTTATTTCCTATGTTTCTTTCAAGTCTGGCAAAATTATAACAAATATTGTTTAAAACTGAAACAATGCAATAGTAAATTATTTTTTTAAGGTTGAAGTAACAAGATTATTTATTTATTTATTCCACCAGCAATATTTTATAGCGAAATACAAATATACCTAAATCCAAACGATATTAAATGAATTAAAGAATCCAACAAATTTTATCTTCAGGTAAATACTAAAATCCACCCATTGAAAAATCGATTTATATTTTTTAATTAAAGTGGTGATTTACTGATTACTATTGATAAGACTATAAAACATCGCCTGCTGGGATTTTATTACAAATATATGATATTTATTACTAATCAATTATGTATGAATTACTATTACTTTTCAAACTAATAATATCTAATATCAGAGGGACTTTGATGATGAGCATCACATCGAAATACTGATATTCCTTCTCTTTATGAACAACATTTTCTCTTCTTTTTCCAACTCAAATAAAAAAGCGGTAGTCAGAGATGTTCATTATTATAGGATGTTCATTTTTATTATTATATTATGTCCATCTTTTTATCTTCGAAGATACCGCGAAATGTTCGAAGGTTATAAGCAGGTTGTAACAACCTCAATGAGCAGTTTCAGCGAAATAGGTACACCAACAGCGGTTGGCAGCGTGGAATAGCGGTCACTGTTCCAGCGAAATAGTACCTTAAAGGAGTACTGTTTAAGGCCCGTTGTGTAAGGTGATCAGGCCTAGCTCAACTAATAAATTTGTATTTGAATTTTACCTTACAATACTTTGGAATTTTTATACATTTAAATTGTAATGTTGAGACAATTTTTTCTGGATCCTGAACTTCTTTCGATATGAAAGAAATTACATTTCTTATGACATATTTCGGTTCTAAATTAAGTAAAAGGGGGGAGAGGAGATAGGTTAAACCTAATGATCTGAAATTTCTAATATTAAAAATTAACAATGCCAACTATTATATGTTTCATATTTGTAAATCTGTATTGCATTAACTATTTCATTGCTATTTTCTGTTTTATCAAAATATAATACAGCTTCTCATAGTCAGTCAATCAAAATCCATATTGTATTGTTAGTCTCAAATAATTTATTTGGAGTATAGAACTAGTGTGAATGCTATTTTTCTCCCCTACTTGGCCATTTCTTTTATGTGAGAGGGGGCTTTATTCTACGTATATAACCACCCTGTTCTAACCTGAGGGGGAAGATCAAGATTCATTCCATCCTCCACAAAATAAATTTCAATCCATCCATTGACTCAAACTGATACCAATAGACTCGAGATTGCTGAGTTTGCTACTCCTTAACACTCTCAGCCATTGTGTTCTCTAGCATAAATACTTGATTACTTGCTGAAGAAGTGCAGTTATGCAGAATGGGCTTATATAAAATTATGAATATCTGAATTAAGTTTAAATAATTTATTTTGTGCTTATTTTTATTATTATATATTTACCATATTAGCTTTTCTTCCTTTAGGTTTCTGCAAAGGAGTTTTTAGAAAATCCTACTTACGATAATCTTGTAGGTTTGGGAGATGACCCAGTATCAACGATTGTCAGTGAAATTAGAGTAAGTAAATCTGTGTCATCAATCAGTATATATTAAATTATTATATATTAAAACATTGAACATAATATTATTTCCATATAATTTTATGGGCATATGGTAACGAATAAAGTCAATGTTGTGGTATTTAAATTAATCAAAACAGTAATTTTATTAAAATTAATGCAAAACAGTTCGATCCTTTTTAATTGAAGGTATTATTATTTTTTTTTATGAAGTAAGTGATTTCTTAGTTCTTTAGACCCTTTATGAATCAAAACTTTTGCTTTTTCTTTCAATTACAATCCTGTCAAACAATAATTATATCAGGATACATCTTTACCCTTCAATTAATTTTATCATTAGCATTCTGTTTATGGAATTTAATAGTTGATGATTGATTAAAATAAACTGTGTAATGGCCGCTAATGACCTTACTCATAATGTTGGTGGAGAAGGGGAACTAGTCCTATAAGTGAGCCGATTGGTTCTTTTGAGAACCCTTGATGCATACCTTACGGATTAGCTCTCTGTCCTAATCAGAGTGGAAGTTTCAAAATACATATGGTGCAGACACAAGGTAAATATTAACTGGTCCAGGAATGAAATCTATACATCGGTTGCTGGAGGAATTTCGTTCTAATGCACACTACCTGAACTAATGAATATAGAGCCTATTACACAGTTTATAACATTAAATAGAAATTAAAATATTTTGTTAAAAGCAGACTGATAAATATTGATTTCTTTTTTGTACTATTTAATCTCTCTCCTGGATCAATATTTATTTTATTTTCACTAAATACATTTTTCAACTTTTCTTTCTGCTTGATTAGTCTGACTTTTAATATTATTATGTTGCTATTGAAAGACAAATCTACTTGGAAAACATACCTTCCTCTATTGAAAAGCGGTAAGTAGCTATACGACTTATTACTTTTTAATGATTTTCTCTTATATTACAAGAATAAATCTGGGGATAAAATCAATGAATATTACCTGTTTTTTTTTCTTGACAACTTTTTAGGATAATGAAGGTAGTTTTCCATCAACATTGAATGATCTTCCAGAAACTGTTGAAAGAAACAATGAGGAGAATAGTCTTAGAAATAGTTCTAATTCCTTAACGCATTCAAAAGAGGATACTTTTGATATTATTGGTAAAGTTGTCGCTAATAAACTCAGAGAAATGAATAATGCATCCTCAATTTTAGCAGAAAGACTGATAAATCAAGTGTTGTTTGAAGCACAGTTGGGAAATTTGAATTCCAGCTCAATGTTGATAATACATCCCAATAAGTTATAAGCATTTTAGTTTTTAATATTTAGTGTTATATTTATAATTGTTATATAATAATGGCATGTTTTTATTTTGTAAAATTATGTTTGTGTATGAAACATAAAACTCAAAAACCAAAATTTAGGAATAACTGTAAATTAATTTTTCTCAATAAACATTTTAATATTTAATTCTTGTGATTTATAAAGTATTTTTTTGATTTCCCTTAATAGAACTGTATTTTTTTATAATAACATAATTTGGTGTGTTGATTATATTAAAGTTTATCTGTTTTTATACAAAACTAAATATTTATTTATTTGTGTTTTTTTTTTTGTTTTGTTTTTTTGTCATTGGCAACACCTTTTACCTACACTCTGTTATAGAATTTTTAAAAAATTCCAAGGTTTTTTCCACAGCTTTTTCATTGTTGTTCAAGTTTTCTTTTGTGCCACATTCAATTTTTTCTTATATTTTTAAATATAGGACAGTCATGGATGATGTTTTCAACTGCTCTTTGCACCTTACAACTCTGAAATGTTGGTGAGTTGAGTCCTCTTAGTAGATAGGCATGTGAAATGCCAAATCCTTAATTGGCAGAGGATTGTCTCTTCTTTCCCTACAGAGTCAGTTAGAGATTTCATTTGGAACAGTGTCTTTTTATTTCTTTTAATTTAAATACTTTTTGTTGTTATCTGTCCTGCCACATTTTCCACACTTCTCTCTTTAAATATTCCAAAAAATCTTCTATGGAGATTTTGTTAATTATAACAACCTGATTTCTTTCTAACATTCTCGCCATATTGCCTGTTTAATTCCAGTGATTCCACAGTGTGAAGGGACCCAGAAGAAGATTATTTCCTTTCCCTTTTCTATTAATTTTCACCAACTGTTTCTTATAGCTCTCTCCAAGTGTAATTGTCGGTTTTTTGTCTTTAATGGCTAGAATTGCACTCATTGAGTCCATTACCATGGCCCCATCATTACTATCATGTCTCAATATACATTTGAGTTTCTCTTATTGTAACCATCACTCTACTAAATACAGAACAGATCACGCGAAGTTAAAGAACTTTTGAATTTAAAAATTTACTTACTATACCACATCCTATTTCCTTGTTTACTTTCGAATCATTTGTGTATATCACATTATATTTTTTGTTTTTCCATTATTTCATGGAATAAGTTTTGTATTTCAATAGGGAGTAACATATCTTTTTGACAGGCAACCATCGAGTTCTCTGTAACCTACGAAGTATCCATGGGGAATTATTATATTCAGCATACTCAAAACAGTTTCTAATTTCAGTTCTGAAACATTATCGAGAAATGTTTCTACGTAATTTTCTTCCCATCTATTACCTGATTCCTCTCTACGGAATATTACTTTATTTAACATATCTTTTGGGTGTCTTAATTTTGAATCCATACTTTAGTGTTGAATATAGCCCCCTCAGATAGACAGGAGGTTCGTCAGCTTCAACACATTGACTTTTTGCTGGTGAGGTTGACAATGCCCCATTGCAAATTCTTAAGGCACAGTTGTGTACATCTAACGTCATTAAAGTTTTCTTTGATGGGGGACTGTAAACACTTGAGCCATAGTCTTAAATTACTTCTGGTGGTCGTGCAATATATATTCAACAGACTTTTTCTATCCTCTCCCCAGTTCGTGTGTGAAAGATATTTGACCTGGACGATCCGTTTTAGTCATTCTTCCTTTAAGTATTTTTATGTACAGTGTCCATCCAAGCGATCAAATCCAAATAAACCCTAAGTATTTGAGATTATCTACAAATGTAATTTCGGTACCATCCATTCTTATTTTTGGATTGAGCGTACATCCTCTTACCCTGTTAGCTAAATGATAAACTGAATAAGATTTTTAAAAATCTTGATAAATTTATGTATAATTCAAAATCATGTGTTTTAATTCCTATTTGAGCCATTTTATTTTATATTTATGACAACTATAGTATTCGTAGAACTACTTGTTTTATTCTCATAGCTTTTTCGGCCTGATAAAGATGAACATTCTGGGTTGAAAAATTTGTAATAAAATGATCTAAAAAATATATTTTTCACCAAATCTCGACAAACATTTTAAAATAAGAGGCTAACCAACGTTTGCACAATAAAAAAAATATATATTATGACAATAATCTTTAAGATTTATATTATTACTAATATTTTTTTTTCCTGAACAATATGGTCATATAGTTATATTATATAATATCAGAAAATTATTTTTATTATTTAATGAGAACTTTGATTCCTCTAAGACTAAATCGAGTGACAAATGTCAACAAAATTTATTTTATTGTACTTAAGTGTTAACTTGGTATAATTCTATATTCATGATAAACATATTTGAGTAATTTCGTTGGGTAAACAGTTCATATGAACATATATATATCCTTAAATAAAAACTTCAGTGATACTTACAGCTGCAAAAAAAGTAAGATCTAAGTGTTCCCTAATAATCTACTGTGCTGATGAACAAATAATACATATTTTTAATATTCATTAAAAATACGTGACCACTATATATATGTAATCAATATAATTTTCACCAGAATTGATGTATGTTCAGCAAGCTTTTTATCCCACCAGAAAATTTTTTTTGGATTCCTGAATGCAATACTCACAAAAATAATTTTCAATGTCATCCTGATTTTGGAAATTTCTCTTGGTACTACTAAGTTGTTGAGGTGCCTCATTAAATGAAAGTCAGTAGTAGATGCCGTTTGTTTTCGTATACGACACATTTTTCATCACACTATGCGATCAAGAAATGGAGGATCATTTTTATTCTGTCAAAAGCATGTAACAAATTTCAAAGCGGTGATTTTGGTGGTAGTTTAATTGGTGTGGCACCCACTTAATCAACTTTTTTTGCATTTCCAATTGTCTCCAAGTGGTGTGCGATGGTGGATTCTTCACACCGAATTCTACTACCTTTGGTTGCTCTTCTAATACTATTGACCTCAGCTGGTCGTCAACTGTTGAATGGAGGCCACAACCTTGTCTTCCGCTTCAAAATCTGCACTATGAAACTTCTAGATCCAACACTACACAGTACAATCATTTCAATTTTAAATCTTTAAGTATACTGAACAAAGTGGTTTTATTGATTAAATTCTGGTGAAAGAGAGGGTATTAGATAAGTTTTATTATAGTATATAAAGAATAAATATTTAGGATCTGCTTTGTTTATCCAATGGGTATTAAAAGAGCAATGGTGGTAACCTGCACTATTTTTGCATAAACCAAATACTCTACACTTAATAAACTCTCAAGTTATAAAAAATGGTCTCAGTTTTTCACAGTGAGATATGCACTATGAAGGTAGCTGAGGCAGAAAAACAATTTCTGGTCACTCCTTGGGATTCAGATTTGGAAACTGTTTATTTATTGATTTGGTAGTAATTTTGCCAGCCCTATGAATTTTATTTTCATTAAATAAACATCTAATAATGATATAACCAAGTCATAATGACTTAGGTCAAATAAAAGTAGATAAGGATTAATTTACAGGTAATGTAAATAAGGGAAGGTAAATCTATCATTTTCAAGTTATCTACAACAATTTTTAATAAATAAATCTTTAATTTTTTAATAAATAAAAAAGTTATTGTTATTGACACTACTATTCATTGCTAATTTTTAATCATGTTCAAGAAGTTATCTATTTGTAGGCAAAACCTTACAACACACAACTGGATGAATTGATGGAAGCTATAGTAAAAGTAAGCAGCATAGTTCATCCTGAGTGTGATTTACTTGATACAAAAATTGCTACTTCTTGGGAAATGAATACCTCTTTAGAATTATATCAAAAATTATTTGAATGGGCAAAAGAAAGAAAAGCCTTATCTTATGTGAACAATGCCTTACCTGTTCATTTAAGTTTAATTAAGGTTGGTATCAACTTAACCTCATTTCTCTAAATATTATTTTTAATATACTATGGCAGTACCCCTGTCTGCCTAATGGCAGATCAACCCCCATTTTACAAATCATACAACCTTCCATTTAATTGTACTACTCGTTTCTCAGATTGTATACTTGTAATTTATATGCACTATTTTTTATCCACATGAAATAAAATGAACGAATCCATAGTTTAGACAGACTTTTAATTTCTTTAAAAATCTATTTTATATATATCGTGCCTTCTAGTCACTTTACATTATTATGTAATTATAGCTATTCTTATTGCCAATTCGTAACCATGTTATATATTCAACTTTTCCAGCTTTATATAAGCCCAATATCAATTTGAGCCTTTTATTTATAATATTTTCATTGTATGTTATATTATGCTTCCTTTTCTATTTAATAATAATTAATATATTCTATTCAAGAGGAAATGTCTAGACCGAAAAATATCTGCTGTCACCTAGGTAAAGTCAAACTACCACCTTCAGATGAATACCATTTTCTGTACAAATGTTTGTTCTAAAATCTTTATTTTCTATTAAGAGGTTACTGGAGCTCAACACATATGTAATTAAATGAACTGTTGTATAATTTGTAAAATAATCTCCATAGGAGAGCAGCACCATTCAAGCCTAAAGGACTGTGCTGAAAAGTTGAACACTTGTAATCTTCTCTCTTAATACTAAAATAAAATAGGACTTTTCACTGAAAACTTTTTTATATAATAGAGAGCTTTGATTTGCTGTAATTTTAAAATTTAATTGAGCCATGGAAAAGCTATTTGCTAAACTCAGTACACTCAATCCTATAATTAATATTTGCCTAAAGCAAACGGTATCATAAAAATGTTTTGTTTAGTCCTTTGTTAGCCTGAAAATTGAATTTAAGATGGTAATTTATCACTATTACTAATCAATGTAATTTTATTTATAATGAGTGCTAATGCAATAGTTCATTATTCCTTCAGAAATATTATTCCTAGAAAAAGAAATGATTTATCATAAGTAGTACTTGATATAGCAGTAACGTATATTTGATTGGTAAAAGTTTGTAAGTCAATCTTATAAATCCTAGAAAAATTCTAGGTACGTACCTTTAAATTAAAAAACTTCTTAGTATACAATGATATAGCTATTTATTGTATATGATAGTTAAGTCCTTTTTTTAACAATCTGTTGTTTTTTTGTAGCATACATGTTTCGATTTGTTTCATATATTATTTCCTGTATCAACAACTAATGTATTGCATTTTTAAACTTTAGGATGAAGAAACTAGAAAACCAAAATCAAATAAAAAATTGGGTGGTTGTATTCATGCTTTAAAATACTTAATGACGGAAGAAGGCGTTTTCCCAAAAGAAACCATAGCAATTTTAAATATGTTAATCAAAGCACATCAAGATAAATCAAGGAAAAAGGACTGACTTGAAATTGTGAAAAAAAATATTTATTGAAATCCTTTAAAAAACTACCAAGACTACCTGTGATTAATTATACTTATTGATAATGACTATATAGTTTTATTTTATTAACATAACATTTAAACATTTTAGATTAACTTATGTAATGGTATAATTTATTAAATATGTAATGCATATTTACCAATACTAACATGGTTTAAGTTAGATAAATGGTCTTGATGATAAGAATAACTTTCATGAAAAAAAAAAGAAAAGTTTTTCTGTTTAATTTTATAAAAAAAATAATAGTGTTGTTTTGGATGATTTAATTAAAAACTATTACAATTATGTCTTATTTAATCTTTTTAAAATTAGCTTCTTATCACCTTAAAGCTTAAAATTTGTCTTGTTGCTTTTAAAAAAGATGTTAAATTGATGTCTGAGTAATCTACTTTGACTCCAGAACCAACTGAATGGTGACAATTTCTAAACATATTCAGGTAAAAAAAACTCAACCCATTTTTAACTAATAATACTCTGGGCCACTTACATAATGCAATTCATCACCGGATGAGAACTATTTAAATTTTAGTGTGGACATTAAATGAACTCTAACTGATGCCTGATTATGGGTATACCTGAGCTGTAAGATAAAAAACCATGGATATGTTATGGATATGTTCAGCAGTTATTCGGAAAAATCCTTCATATCAGTTTCAGGTATATCTCTATTGTTATATATCAGGCACGTATATAACATTTTAATGTGTTAATTCTATTTGTGCTAACATTTTGTACTTAAGTCTAGGAAGCAAAATATTTTTGAGAAGGAGCAATTATCAGGTGCGTTCGGCTTATATCATCAACAATCTCAGTCTTCTCTCTCCCTTTTCAGATTTCTCTGATCTGTTGTGCTTGATGTTTCTCGTTAGATGCTCTACTTTATTTTACTTTTAACGGGCTGTTTTTCATTCTTTCTTTCTTTTGTTAGCCATTTATTTTTTATTTTTAACTATTGGCTTCTTTTTCTTATCCATTGTTTAATTTTTTTTGTATCAATTGCTCTGATTTTCAACTATTGCTCTATTTTTTAAATCTATTTTTCTTGTTATTACCATGAAAGATTACAAATTTCACTGTCAAAATTGCAATAAATCTTTTGTAAAAGAAATTAATCAAAATATATATAAAGTTAATCATATTGTGAACTTTATCTTCAATTTGTTTTTATTAATTCGTTTATGATCAACGTTTTGAGGTCCTACCTCATCCTCAAGATGATCAAAATTATTCCTCTAAAGGTTGATCATAGCGCTAAAGTAATAAAAATCGGGTGCAGTCATCACACAACTTTTATTTACTGCTCTACTATAAAGAGTAATTATTGTCGGGAAAAATTGGGCTATTATGAAAAGGTTTTGGAGAGCATTATTGAGGCCAACTGAACCTTAATGAACACATTTGTGATTTTGTTCAAATTTACCAATACAAAAATTCAGTAAGGCCATAAAAATAACACAAACTATCAACTATAAGCCATAAAAAACATCAAAATTTCATCAGTCTATTTCAACCACATAACTCTGAGCTCTATATATAAAGAGAAATTAGAATGTAGGTATATATCGTCGGTTTATTTCAAAAAGTGCTTAAGGACATAAATGGAGTTGACCTTTTAAGACAAAAATCAATACAAAAATTCAGTAAGGCCATAAAAATAATACAAACTATCGACTCTAAGCCATAAAAAACATCAAAATTTCATCAGTCTATTTCAACTACATAACTCTGAGCTCTATATATAAAGAGAAATTAGAATGTAGGTATATATCGTCGGTTTATTTCAAAAAGTGCTTAAGGACATAAATGGAGCTGACCTTTTAAGAACGTTTTTGTGAATTTCGGCCTTATTTATTGACAACAGAAAACGATATTTCGAATAAAATGACTCAAACTCTTTTATATATCAAATATAGTTAATTACAAGTACAATTGTTTCAAGTCCACAAACGAAAAATTTTGAAAGTTCTTTGTGTTGTAAGGTTATGAAATGTCATGTAATTGACTTTTTGTAATAAACTGATGATATATTTAATCTTTACAATTGTGGGTTTATGGTTGATTGTAGTGAATAATTGAAGAGAAGGATGGTTAGGGTGTTCAACAAAATAGAAATGGTAAAAAAAATAAATAAATTTATTTATTTTTACATTAACCGATGTTTCTGGCCTTCATCAGTGCTGGGAAAAGCACCAGATAACAATAGGTATAATAACATTGAATAAAACAGAATTAAGATTAAAAATTTGGTGCGCGCAACACACAACTTTCACTCACCGTTCAACTTTGAATAGAAATTATTGTCTGGCCATGTTGGGCTGTTATAAAATTTTAGAAGTGCATTTTTAACCAAGCTGAAGCTAAAAAAATACAGCTAAAAAATCATAAATACCATTAAAATAACAAAAGTTCTATTTGTAATATCACTGCTTGATTATGGATTGTATGATCCATTGATTATGGATTGTAGGATCCATTGATTATGGATTGTACGATGCATTGATTATGGATTGTAGGATCCATTGATTATGGATTATAGGATCCATTGATTATGGATTGTACGATCCATTGGTTATGGATTGTACGATCCATTGGTTATGGATTGTACGATCCATTGGTTATGGATTGTACGATCCATTGGTTATGGATTGTACGATCCATTGGTTATGGATTGTACGATCCATTGGTTATGGATTGTACGATCCATTGGTTATGGATTGTACGATCCATTGGTTATGGATTGTACGATCCATTGGTTATGGATTGTACGATCCATTGGTTATGGATTGTACGATCCATTGGTTATGGATTGCACGACTATCAGTTATTAAACTGTTATTTTCCTTTGCAAAGTTTACCTAAAATGAAATTAAGAGATTATCATTGTCTGTCATAGACAGGAAAAAGGTTGTCACACTGATTGTAAGTGAATTCTGTTGGAATATGGCAAAGGGCAAATTTATCATTTTATTCACTAATTTAATTTTCTAATAGGATACATTATGATTTTTTCGGAACAAACAGATGATAGATACCTAAATATTTAAATATAATATCAGCTCTAGAGTTATTAAACTAAAGTAAATACATTTAAGGTTATAAACGTATCTAAGAAATATTTTTATGTTTCACTTCTTCTTTCACACAAGTACAATGAAATAAGTCTATCACAAAAGGAAGATTCATCAAAGTATTCACTAATTTAATTTTCTAAAAACATGACAATATTTCGGAATAAACGGATGTTGATACCTAATTATTTAAATATAATATCAGATCTAGACTTATTAAAATTATTTGATATTTCACTTCTTTTTTCACTCAAATATAATGGAATAGTTTTTTAACAATGTTGTTGCCTTGATTAGATGGATTTTAAATACTTTTTTCAAACCCAAAAATATTTTAAAAGTTTACATTTAGTTAATAAATTTCATTTAATTTCCTTGAAAACTTGATTTACGTTAAATAATGTTAAGTGTTTTGAAATTATTATTTATATTTTTTTCGTCACTCTCCGTTACCTTCTACAACTTTCTATATTAGATATGGTTCCATCTGAAATTCTCCGCTTTCCAATGATATATTATACCTGTTGTACCTTCTGACTAGTATTCCTGGAGATTCATTTTCGACATGGATGAGCATTTTAATTTTTTTTTCTCCTTTGTTCAATTATCAAATTATTTCACAAGTTATATTTAGCATTTTTTTGTAACTCTAAATAATGTGAGATAATTAATTATTTAAAATAAACCATATTAAAGGTATTTTAGAGGAAGATGTATATGAATATTGAGCATTTAAGCCCTGTAAAGTGACATAAATGGGGATAAGACCTGATTGATATTAAAGACCACTTCATTATACAATGATAAACCGAGTTTAAACAAAATCGTTAGAGCCGTTTTTGAGAAAATTGTAAAAATGTGTTTCAGCGTTGATATAAAGTGGCACTTCCGGTTAGCGATTATAAGGAAAAATTTGCTGTCACATCTAAGGCATATGCCTATCTTAAATACGTAATATCAGTTTAGTACGACTTTTTGTTTTTGAGCTAGACTGCAAACATACTAACACACAGACCATTTTTAGGGACTTGGTTATTTGGACTCAGGGTACCCCAAAACGTGTATTCCCGTGGAAAACTCAGATTAAAAAATTTTCATGATTCCAATACTTATCCTCATTATATATTACATATATACATAAGTGAAAGTAAAATAAAGGATGATAGGTAAAGACTAATAATTTTTAGTAGAACAACTTAACGTAAAATAAAGTAGATATAATGAACATTAAAGTAAAACAAAGTAGGTAGAATGATAACAGTAACAGAGAACTAAGAAATAAACAATAATAACGGTAAAAAAAGCACGGACCAATGAAATAAGCGTAATAAAATATAAGGTAATATAAGAAATTAAAATAGTAATCTAGAATAAAGAGTAAAAGACAGAAAAGAAATTTGAAATTATATAAGGAAATAATTTATATAAATAGAGCATTAATATATTGTAAAATCTATCAAAAATATAAGAGGAGTTGATCGGAGGATGCGCTCAAATAAATATTAAGTTTTAAAAAATAGTATTTTTAATTGTTACTCCAAATAATTAATTTCGGAACTTTTCATCACTCAGAACCGATGTCTAATCACTTCTCTTCACCTCCGTTCAACAATTCTTGGCGTAATAATTAAAAATACTAGTTTTTAAAATTTAGTATTTATTTGACCGCACTCCTTCCCACTTATTAACTTCTTATATTATATCACGCTCAACCATCTCTACATCATTATCAAAAATATAATATAAGAAAAAAAGTATGAGGAAATGTATCATATATAGAAAATAGAGGGTGGGCCGAAGAAAAATAGAATAAGATAATAAAAAAAACAAACCTGCTGTACAAGATGTCAAGTCAGACAAACGAACTTTTAGCGAGAAGGATGGGAGCTGGCAGATGGCGCCCTATCTTATCGAAAAATGAACTAATATGATGGACGAGAGATTTATTATAGATAATATTTATTTATAACAAAGTACCTGATTTACGTAAAAAGTGAGATTAAAGAAAAAACAATAAAGGGGTTTCTTGAATGAGACAAAAGTAAAATTAACTGAAGGTTGAGCGGAAATGAATAGGCTAATTTATAAGGCAATGGAGCATGGCGCCCTCTATTAAGTTTGACCGAAAAATGAACTAATATGATGGACGAGAGATTTATTTATTTATGATAAAGTGCCTGATTTACGTAAACAGTGAGATTAAATAAAGGAAAAGAA